GTTCATAGTTTATGTTTTAGACCATGACCAGGGATAGGGGAAAAAAAGGAAGGAAAAAAACCGGAAAACAAAGAAGGGAAGGTAGAAAACGGATATAAGGGAGATTCGTGATGGTTTGTTTGGATCGTATAGTGTGGTGATGGCGGATGGCGGACGGGCGGGAGGTAAGGTAGCGTAGGAGGCAGAATTAGATATTATCGAGTGAGCAAGCATTGGATGGACGGGACGGAGAACGAAGAGCAGATCTGGCCATGATGAGAGGGGGATGGATTAAAAGCCAAAGCCGAAGCGGCAGGGCGGAAATGTTCAAATATAAAGGGGTATCGCTGGTGATTTTTCGCTGTGTTGAGTGTTCGTGGTGGTGGTGATGGTTGTAGTCGACGGTCAAGTGTAAGTCAAAAGTGCCGAGTAGATGATGCTCTTCTTCATGTCCTTTTCCTTTCCTTTAATTTTGGTCCTGTTGGTATTTTTTTCCTTTTGTTTGTGTTGTTTAATATGTCGTACTCTCTTTTTTTCTTCTTGTCAACATGCTCATCCATCACATCAGTATACAGCATCCCCCAGACTGCTGTGGCGCATAAGGGTCATCACGTTTGTCGACCTAGTTGAGTAGAAAAGCAAGGGTTAGACATGTCCTTGTCAATGCCAATGTTGAAGAAGAATATAATAGAAAAAGGGGGCCGGCCTACCTGTCCCCATACAGAGGGCACCATAAAGTCCTTTGTGTTGTTGCAGTAGTTTATAAGCCTAGAAGATCCATGAGAATTAGCCAAACAAGACCCCCATCGAGCATCACCAAAACTAGAATAATGATAATAATAGTAATAGTAATAATAGGCAGGATAAGACGCACGAAATGGAGGCTTCGGCAACTTTTATACGCGGCCGGTCGAGATCTTCCTTGAGCCGTATGTTGACCTCGGCGAGGCGACGCAGCTTGAGCTCTGCCAGATTCTGTCGTGTCCGTCGTCCATCGCCCCCTGAGCGCAGTTCATAAGCTGGCGGCATTGTGCTGTGAGGGTTCGAGAGAGCTGGCGGCCGTCCACTCCTCTGGACGGGAGACAAGGGAGGGAGAGAGGGAGAGAATGTGTATATGCTATGTGCGATGCGCAGTCCCCTGAGCGGTTTGAAATGGGCGGGCTCTGGGCGGGTAAGAAACGACGCTGTGTGGTCCCCCTTCGCGACGGCCGGGGGAGGCAGGGAGTCGGTTAGAGAAGAGGGTCGGTCGGTCGGTCAGGCGAGACGTAGTGACGGCAGCAGCCTCTGTGACTCGGCTTGGACGAGAGGTCAACGCAGCGTGAAGGGCGGGAGGAACTAGAAGGCGAAGGAGGAAGACGAAGCGAGAGGAAGAAAGAGGAAGAAGAGGAAGAGGAAGAGGAAGAGAAAGCGAAAAGGAAAGAAAGAGGAAAAAGACCGTCACGGTACTGTAACTTTGGTCACGCCTGGTAAGGGGGAAGGGGAAGGGGGCGGGTAAATTACACATATATTACACTAGCTTAGTAAGCAGTTGCTTCTTTTCCCTTTTGGGGACGACATAAGAAGACGACGAGATGAGATATAGACGAGATATAGACATGGAAGATACGGCATGACAGGAGAGAGAGGGAGGTAGAAGAGAGAGAGAGAGAGAGAAGAGAGGAAGGGATAGAAGAGAAGTGCAGTGGCAGTGGCAGTGGTGAGCTGGAGATGCTTACCCGTCACAGCGTTTGTCTCTCACTGCTTTTTCTCGTCCCTTTCCCCAACGGCGCGATCGACGAAGGCGCAAACCGCACTTACTTACATACACGACCGCAAGGGGGACGGATTCGTTCTAGGGGTTCTAGGGGCCCAGCCTGGAGGTTTCGAAGACAGACTCGACCCTTTCTCAGTGGCGGACAACTGCAGCGTATGGGGTCCGGAGTACGAGAGAGCAAAGATGTCCTCAGGCAGCTGCGGAAGAGCCTAAGAGGCCCTTAATTAACCCCATGCAAGGAACTGCTGGCACTGGCGCTGCTCGAGCTTGATTGTTGTACGGGAGTTACTTACTCTGGTACATCCACGCTGGCCGTCGTTCCGTTTGACGGCCACCCCGTAACCGGCGCTGGCTTGCCCACTGTCTCCTCCCTCGCTTGTGTCTTGTGTCTGCATGTGGTGGTGGTGGTTGTGGGCCAGGGGAGAGCTGCTGCTGCTATAGATAGCTCATCTCGCATCTCCCAGCTCGCCCCCATCCGTATATCGAGCGCCCCCATTCTTGTCTCTTGCCCTTTCTGCTTACCTGCCGCTCCAACTACTACTACTAATAGTTACTACTAATACTCCGTAGTTACGACTGCTGCTGCTGACATCTGACTGCGACAACGACCATGACCGAGGCCGGCGACTGCTCTGCACCACGGCTGCTGGCCCCAAGACCGTCGCTAGCTGGCAGTAGATCTCTTGTCCCGCAGCAGCTCACTCTTCCACCACGTCTGCGATCGTAGTACAGAGTACTCCGTCTCTCCCCGTCTTCTCAATTAGCCAGTTCATCTATTCATCTACCAGTAATCATCATTATCATCATCAATATCATTATCATTATCATCGTCGTCTCTTCAGGTTCTCTACCACGTGACTCGCTTACAATGTCTTCTGCTTACCTAATATCTCCATGCCCAAAAGAGAAGAAAAAGAGGAAAAACTCGCCTCCACCTTTTTCGCTCTTCACACAAAAGACACCAACAACGCACCAAAAAGGCCGCCCAAAGCCAGCCATCACGACGACCATCAACGAGGAGGCTCGCCCGGACTCTACACCGCCGCCCTCGCCAGTTCGTGCTCCCGGAGGACTTTTCGTCGTCGTCCCTGGCCTCGCAGAGCGATAACCTTATCGAAGTGAAAAAAGTTGTTCGAGGGAGGGAGAAAAAAATTACAGTGGATATATATACAACGACCACGCCGAACCATACATCCCACCTTCAACACATCCCGATACCATAGGGAAGACCGCCCAGCATGGCGCCTCTCCCACACGTCCGGCCGGAGAATATCCTCAGGGTACGCTTGCTCTGATTTGAAGACTACATCTCGAACGCTTTTTGGCAGTGTATCTATGGGGGTTCTAACTGCTCTTTTTTATAGCGCGCTGAGGAACTTATTGCCGTCGACCAACATGCGTCTGCTTTGACCGTTCTACACGAGCATGTCACCTCGAAACGGTCCAGAAACAGCCCGATTGCCTCTCTGGAGCCAGTCATGGTGCTGTTCGTCGAGCTCTGCGTCGATTTGAGAAAGGGAAAGTCTGCCAAAGATGGCCTGTACCAGTACAAGAACATTGCCCAGAACACCAACGTTGGAACCATCGAGGTATATCTCCCTATATTCCTCCCCTTCCTTTTCTTAGGATATACATCTTTATACTAACCGGCATAGATGGTATTGAAAAAATTCATCGAGTTGGCGGAGAAGAAAGTCACAGAGGCCCAGGCAAAGGCAGATGAGATCCAGCAGTCTCTCGAATCAAACGCCGGAGCTACTTCAAATATCGAGGACCTAGATGCCATTGAGACTCCAGAGACCATCCTTCTTGCTACCGTCTCCGGAGAACAGTCCAAGGACCGCACAGACCGCGCGGTCGTCACGCCCTGGCTCAAGTTCCTCTGGGAGACATACCGCACCGTGCTCGAGATTCTCAAGAACAATGCCCGTCTCGAGGTCATGTACCAGACCACCGCCCTGCAAGCTTTCCAGTTCTGCCTCAAGTACACCCGCAAGACCGAATTCAGACGTCTTTGCGAGCTGCTCAGGAACCATGTCCAGAATGCTGCCAAGTATTCATCCCAGATGCATGCCATCAACCTCAGCGATCCCGACACCCTGCAACGCCATCTAGATACCCGCTTCCAGCAGCTGAACGTTGCCGTCGAGCTTGAGCTATGGCAGGAAGGTTTCCGCAGTGTCGAGGATATCCATACTCTCCTCAACCTAAGCAAGCGGCCCGCAAAGAACGTCATGATGGCCAACTACTACGAGAAACTTGCACGTATCTTCCTAGTCAGCGATAACTACCTCTTCCACGCTGCTGCTTGGAACAGATACTATACCCTCCTCCGCCAGTCTGCCATTGCCGTTGCCTCTGGCCAGGTCTCTAAGAAGGACAACCCATCCGTCTCCGAAGCAGACATGACCAAAACCGCATCCTTTGTCCTTCTCTCTGCTCTCTCCATCCCCGTCATCAGCACTTCTCGCTCTCGTGGTGCTCTCGTAGATGTTGATGAAGCCCGCAAGAACAAGAACACTCGCCTGACCAACTTGCTCGGCATGGCTTCCCCTCCCACCCGTGCTGCTTTGTTCAAAGACGCTCTTAACAAGGGCCTCTTGACTCGTGCTCGTCCAGAGATCCGGGACCTCTACAACATCCTCGAAGTCGACTTCCACCCCCTCTCTATTTGCAAGAAGATTGCTCCTATCCTGGAACAGATCGGTGCTGACGCCGAGATGGAGAAATATGTCCTACCATTGCAACAGGTCATCCTTACCCGTCTGTTCCAGCAGCTGTCCCAGGTTTACGAGTCTGTAGAGCTCAAGTTCGTTCACGAGCTTGCTCACTTCCCTGCTCCCTTCCAAGTAACTCCTTCCATGGTCGAGAAGTTCATCATGAACGGCTGCAAGAAGGGTGATTTGGCTATCCGAGTTGACCATGTTTCTGGTGTCCTCACCTTTGACTCGGATATCTTCTCTTCCGCTAAAGCTGTGCATGCCGGTAGTGCTGCCGGATCGGCTGAGAGCGACGTCGGCGCCGTTCAGAGGCTCCAGAGCACCCCAGCCGAGATTGCCAGGTCCCAGCTCACTCGTCTCGCAAAGACCTTGCATGTCACCTGCATGTATGTTGATCCCACTTACAACGAAGCTCGCATTGAGGCCCAGCGTCAAGCACAGGCCCGCGCCAAAGCTGGTGCTGCAAAGGAACACGAGCAGATCCTTGCTCGCCGTGTGATCATCGACAAGAAGAAGGAGGCCGCTTCCGATGCTCTCCAGAAGAAGCAGCAGGAGGAAGAAACTCAGAAGCGTATCCGCACACAGCAGCTACAGGAGGCTGAGAAGCAGCGTCTTCTTGACGAGCACCGTGAGAGAGAGCGCAAGCGTATGAAGGATGAGCAGGACCGTATCCGCCAGGCTGAGCTGAAGAAGCAGCTCGAGGAACTCAAGACCGGTATCAAGGGTATTGATGTTAGCGAAATTGACCTCGAGGAGCTTGACTCCAACCGTCTCCGAGCAATGAAACTTGCCCAGCTTGAGAAGGAGAAGAACGAACTCAATGAGAAGATCCGAGTAACTGCCAAACGCTTTGATCATCTTGAGCGTGCTTACCGCCGTGAGGAACTCAAGCATCTGCCCGAGGACTATGAGAGACAGAAGAAGAATGATCTCGAAGTCTACGAGAAACAAAAGGCAGAGACCCTTGCTGCCGCTGAGCTCAAGCACAAGGAAGACGTAGCTCTCAAGCACCGTCTTAGCCGCCTTGTACCTCAATTCAACAAGTTCAAGCACAGCGTCACCGAGAAGCGACATGAAGAGTTCGAGCGTCGTCGCAAGGCAGCTGAGCGTGAGTTCGAGGCTAAGAAGAAACAACGTGTCAAGGAAGTCCAAGAGCGTGTTAAGAGAGAGAGAATGGAGCGTGAAGCCGAGGAACGAAGGAAGCGTGAAGAAGCTGAGCGTGCAGAGAGAGAAGAACAGGAGAGAGCAGCCAGAGATGAGGAGAGGAGGAAGAAGTTGGCCGAGGAGAAGGCTGCTAGAGAAGAGCAGAGAAAGTCAGTTGTTCCCCTTATTTTTATATCTTCTGGTATATTACCTAACATCCCTGCTAACCTATGCATAGACTCCTGGATGAGCAAGCTGCCAAACAGAGACAGCGTGAGGAGGAAGTTGAGAAGCGTCTTGCAGCTAAAAAAGCCGGCATGCCAGATCCTCGCCTGGCTCGCGCTCCCCCAACAGCTGCCGCCGAGCCTTCGCGAACTGACTCTACTGAACGCACCGCTCCTCGGCTCAACCTCACATCGCGCGCTGGCGCTGGTGCCTCCTGGAGAGAGCGAGAGGCTGCCAAAAAGGCTGCTCCCAGCGGCGAACCACCCGCTGCTGATGAGTCGTCCGCACCACCTCCACGAACCCTTCCTGGCCGTGAACCCCGTGAGCTTCCATCTCGCGAACGTGAACCTCCAGCCCGCGACCTGGGTGCCCGGGATGCCCTCCGCAAACCATCAGGTTCCTCCGGAGCCTACGTCCCTGTCCACCTCCGTGGCCGCAACAGCCCAGCAAATGGCTCTGCTCCTCCCTTCTCAGCCAGACGAGAGGTATCTTCTTCCGACGCCCGACCCCCAGTTGCCAGGAGTCCCGCTCCCCCCGCCGACAGCGAAGGCAAGCCAGAGGCCAAGCTGCCCCCTCCAAGCTCCGGTGCCTGGAGACCCCGACCCAGACCCCAGTAATAGACGTGTATCATTTTTATTTGTTTCGTCTTGTTCTGGCATGTTGATGATCATGATCATGATAACGGTGGTTGGTGTTGATGTTGATGTTGATGGCTCATGGGACAGAAACGGAGGCTACGATTTCTCGGTTCTTCTCATCTCATCTGCATTTCTTTCCTTTCCTCTCTTCCTCCCTCTCTCTTACCTCCTTCACTCTCGCTTTTCTTCGTCTCGATTCAGTCATCGACCACCTTCAGATGTTATTTTACGTCCAACAAAAAGCCTCTGGTTCTGGTTACTTCGTCCCCCTTTCTCTCTCTCTCTTATTAATGTCTGTGGCATGCATGTCAATTTTATTGGATTTAATTTCGCCTGCTCCCCCTTTCCTCTCCCCAGCCCAAACCAAAGAATTGATTCCCTTTTGCCATCTTCTTTTCCTCTTTCCTTCCTGTTCGTCTTCTCGCTCTTCTGTTGCATTGCTTCTCCACCATTCTACGAATCTGATTATTCTCTTGGAGAGATATATGAGTGATGGGAAGCGGACAAACACATAGCTGGATTATTCTAACGGTAAAAATTGCAATGGGAAAAAAATTTATAAAAATGATTTAGTGTCGTGAATAATTAGTAGATCAAGTAAACGGTATGTAGTGCATATCAAAGTCAATCCTACGCTGGATATCACACTTGAATATTTATCTCTCTCTATCGAATATGAAACTATACAAAAGAGAAATAGGTAGTGGTGGTAAAAACAAAGGGGAAAGATTATAAAACAAATAGGGGGAATAAAGGGCATTCCAGCATCAATCAAACAACAACATCACGTACAATGACGGATGGATAGATAGATAGAATAAATCTATAGCAAAAACCCACCAACTATGTAACAACCACTTCCGTACCAAACAATCTGTCTCTCCACTCTCCGCAAACAGCCTCGAAGCCGCTGACGACATCACCACATACCCTACCCGCTTCCCGCTCTCTAAGCCGCTTGTCCCACTCTCCTTGCTCAATCCAGGCCGTCCCTTCTTCACGCGCTTCTTCATCCCGTCGGATCTCAGACACAAGCTCACGTACTGACTTGAGCCGCCTAGACGCCGCGGATGTCAATTGGCGGGATTCGTGCAGCGTATCACTGAGCGTGCGGAGGGTATGTGTGAGGTCGGATGTTTGAGTAAGGAGAGCCTGTAGGGAGAGAAGTGGGTTTGTAGCAGCATTGTTTGAGACTGAGCTTGTGGTAGAACATTGGGAAGGAGAGAATTCGTGTGATATGGCGGTAGATGTCGGGGCTGATGGGTTGGATTGCACGGGGAAAGGGAGGTTTGGTAGGACGTCTTCTATCAGGGGGATGAGTCCATCTATGGCGTCGGCGGAGAGGACGGGGAAGTGTGAGAATAGGAGAGGGTGGGTGAGCGTTTGTAGAGAGCGGGTTTGGTGTGTTAGATGGGAGGTTAGAGAAGCGTGTGCGGTAATGAGCCTATGGAACGTTAGCAAAATGACTATACCATGACTTATACGTTGTCGTGTCAAGAAACTGACCTGGAGGCACCGCTTTCAACCTCACTCTGCCCGCCTAGATCTCTCAGGCCATGGATAACACGCAGCATGACTTCGTTGCTCTGATGTTCGGCTTCACTGTTTCCAAACCGCGCAAGCTGCTCGATTCCAGCCATCCGCGCCTCTAGAGCAGGTGATATATCTGCACACTCTTCGATATCTGAGTCTGGTCCGTACTCCGAACCATCGTAAAGAGACGACTCGTACCTGCGGTGTCGTTGTGCATTGTTCATCATCGACTTCGGTCGCGGTTTCGACACGCGCAGGCCTCCTTCGCATTCAGACTCCGAACCGTCCTGCCTCCTTGAGCCCTTGGATCCCATTCCAATGCCCAGATCATGTATCGACTCAATAAATTCTCCATTCACTGCGTTGTGATGGCCGTTCCGCATGCCGTTCGCCGGAGAACCAATATCGTCGTCTTCATATTCATCGCCATCTTCCCCTTCTTCCTGTAGACCGGCCATATCGTCGACATCATCGCCCCAGGCGTCTGCAAGCTCATCAGCCAGGCTACCAAGTCCCCCATCCAGGATGGGACTGGCCTCGCCATTCCGGCAGTCGATATCATTGGTGAAATCGGCAGAGTACCGAGACGTCCTGTCGATAGACATGCGGTGCCGTTGTCGCGGAGTCACTGGAGATTGTGGAAGAGAGCCTCTCGCTATCTGCGGCGAGTATATGCCGTTCGAATTCGTCGTGAATGTGCCTGGAGACGTCGGGGACAGGTCGATGCTCGGTGGTTGTCTGCGGTGCTGTCTCGGGGAAATGGGAGAGGAAGGCATGTTGGCTATGCTTCCCATGCCGAAGAAGATAAGTATATATATATTCTGCTCCTTTCTTCGGGATATCAATCAAGATGGCATGTCCCGGCGACTTCGAAGACTCTATTCACCTGTTCCTGGCCCTGTCAGTGTTTTTTCTTGCTCTGTGTAAATAAAAAAGTACTTAGCCCCTGTTTACGCTTGAAAGAAGCAAAGCGGCTGGAAAGCTACCGGGAGTAAAAATAATTAAATAAGTACCTTCGTCTGCCCGATAGCAGGATGGCGGCCTTTATATCTCACTCTGACAGCTGCTTGTCGTACCGTTGGCCCTGGCACAGGCGGGTGTTGCTATGCAGATTGTAAATAACTTAGTTTAGATTATTTCGTCGTCTGGGATGTTTCTGAATATCTTGATAACCGCCGTTCAAAAAGAAAAACTAGTACCACTACAACACAGCAGCCACGAAGTACAAACAAAAACCTCCCAGGAGCAGTCGATATTTATAAGGACACACGACGCGCCTTAAGGCCCGCCGTCCTCTTCTTCGCTGGCCTGCTTCGTGGCCGCCGGCTGATTCGACTTCACCATGGCCACGATCCGGCGCATGACGCCCGTCGACCTGCTCAACCTGAACCTGACCAACCTCGACCCCTTGACCGAGAACTACGACGTGCACTTCTACCTCAACTATCTCATGAAATGGCCGTCTCTCTTCAACGTCGTCGAGGACCGGGACGGCCAGATAGTCGGCTATAGTACGTCTCCTTCGACCTGACCGCTCCTCCGCCACCTTTTGTGCGCCAAACGTTCGCTACGGGCTATTAAGTTGCTGGCAGCGGCCCAACACTTGCTCACAAACAAATAGAAAAAGAAAGACGGATACCCTTGGTATAGACGTGGCATGGCTGGCTGACTTACACCGTCTGTGATATATAGTAATGGGCAAGCTTGAGGCGCAACCACAGGCCATGCGTCACTCGGAGCACTACACCCCCTGGCATGGCCATATCACGGTGCTCACAGTTGCGCCGGCCTGGAGACGGATGGGCCACGCACGACGGCTGACAGAGAGCCTGGAGCGGGCGTCAGATATGAACAATGCATGGTTCGTTGACTTATATGTGCGGGCGGGGAATAAGGTCGCGGTTGATATGTACAAGGGCATGGGGTAGGTGCTTGATTGATAGCTTTGCTGGTAGCGTTGTTGTTATGCTAACTTTGAGTGTGCCCTAGGTATTCTGTGTTTAGGCGAGTGGTGAATTACTACAGTGATGATCCTACGGGGCTCTCAGAAGAGGGTGAAGATGCATTCGATATGCGAAAGCCGCTGAGTCGCGATGTGCATCTGAAGCACTCTCGTCAGGACGGGGAAAACTTCCTTGTAAATCCTGAAGACGTTACCTGATAAAAGGTCGCTTCTGGGGTAGGTGAGTTCAAACATGTTAAATCCAGTGCGTTGATCATTCGCTACGCACTGGGACGTGGCGTACGACTGCTATGAACGAATATTACGGTAGATAAAAAAGGGGGAGGGGGTTTGCTCCTAGATAGATAACCCCATTTATAATATACCTATTTGATTATCATTATTATCATTAATATTCACGTGTTTTTATGCCCGTTCAGGTTCCATATATACAAGAGAAAATAACATCTTCCGGCATGTGGTGTTGGATTAACCACTCTCGCTAGGCCATATAGATAGACCTCCGAATATGAGGAAGAATCCTGCCAGAGGGTGCTGACGCCCGTCTTTTTTGACTAGACATAGATAAATACTTTCGGCCCAGATTTGACAAACCTGGCAATGACAAGGAATATCCCCGACATGATTAGACAGGTTCCAGCCATGAGTTGTACACCCAGGTACTGATTGCCTGATGCATGGATGATGGCTCCTCCGATAGGCGTACCTGCAAGGGTACCAACAGAGTTGAACACAAACGCCATCCCAAGGCGGGTGCCAAAATCTCGTAGGTCAGGAGTTATGCCAATCAGCACCACCGGAGGTACGGATACAAAGGCCCCGGAAAAGAAACCATATAGTATCACGATTACTATGATGCTAGCAGTGCTGTGAACCCCTATCCAACCAAGCGCTATGATTCCGGAGCCGAATGCCATAGGTATCATGACATTCAAGGGGCCAAAAAAGTCGACAAAGTAGTTTGGAATTATTCGACCAAAGGTGGACGCGGAGTTGAGGATGGCGAGGAGGTAAAAGGCTAGATCGGTGCCCATTATCCCTTGGTCGATGGCGTAGGGCTGGATGTACACCATCATGTTGTATAGGCCTAGAAAACCACAGAACTGCGAGACACAGAAAAGTGAATATACAGGGTCCCGGAATGCCGAAAGCTGGATCAAACTGCGTCGTTCTGTGGGCTTGAATCTCATCTTCAATAGGGAAACGGAGACGGACATGGTGGCAAAGACAATGAAACCTAGCACTCGTGTGGCCCACGGGAATCCAAGACTTTTCTGCATCTGGCGGAAGACAATGGGATAGATAAGGCCGCCGATGCCACTGCCAGTTGCAGCTATTCCGTTGGCGATGGCTCTTCGTTTCTTAAAGTATTGCGGTAAAACAGCAACGCCGGGGACAAACACGCAGCCGAATCCTAGGCCCATGCAAAGAGCTTGAGCCAGGAATATCTGCCAGTATTGAGTGGCTATACTGGTCATCATGAGTCCGAGCGGTATCAGGACCCAGCCCACCACTAGGAGTTGCCTGGAATACCCTGCATCAAACAGGGCGCCGGTAAAAGATCCAAAGAAAAGCAGTAAGAAAGACTGCACGGATCCAATCCAGGAGATGGATGAGGGTGATAGGTAGTCAAGCAGGTTAAGCTCATAGTATGTTTGGAATACACCAAACGCTGTGACGACTCCCCTATGTAAACAGTTAGCAATGATGGTCCCCGCCTCAGCTATGTAGATAGGATGATAGCATCATACCATGTATTAAAGAAGAGGAAGAATGAGGCTAGGACTTGGGACCACGCCGTCCAGCCTACGTCGAAGGAGTGTTCTTCGTTGGCATAGCCAGCATCGTCGACATCGTTATTCTCTCCGGGTAAGGTAGTGGAAGAAGCTATAGTGCTTCCACCCCCGATCCCTAGAGAGGAAGTTTGGTCTTTCCCATCCTTTTCAAGGTCGACCATTCTCACGCATGAGGATGGTGGGTATAGAAATGTAAGGGAGGAGGAACGTGATATCCTCACAACACAAAAAGGATCCCATCTTGGATGATATATAAACGGGAGAGCGGAAAGAAAGTGGAGAGAAGGCGATTGGTAAAAAAATGTGAAATAACCGTTCGGCACCGAAAAGTGCTGTGTCTGATTAATCCATCCAAGGCTAGAAACAGGTGTCACATCCACTTAGCAACAGACAAGCACACGGGAAGGCCATGCGGTATACGGCGACTGCGGCGATTCCTCCTATCGTAGGGCGAGCAGTCCGCAACATTAACGGAGCTGGTGGGGCCGGAGAAAGCAACAGCAAGAGGGTAGCGGCATTGGCTTCGGCACTGTAGCGGCAAGAACGGAACAGTTCGTCGATTTTAGTAATTAAGCCAGGCCAGGGATATTGTTAGTCCGCTTATGAATATTTCCGAGGTTCGTCATGGATTCCATGACGTTACCGAAAGCGCTGCCGAAGTAAAGATATCCCAGCCTTGGAGAAGGGGCATATCTCATATGAGACACTCGATTTTCGACGCCATGCATGGAAATACGAGAATCTTGCGGTTGAACGCTGACTGACGTCGGAAGCCAACTTCTTGATCAAGAACTGTTGGCACATGTGGTTAGGGCGCGAGTTGTTGATCTTGTTAGTTACCAACAAAAAAAAAACAATATAGGTTTGTCTTTATCTTCAGTCTTTCTAAGTGGTCCATGCTTGCACCGTTTTCGTTCGTGGATGCTGAGTGTGGACGTTGAATCACTTGCCATCTACAACAATCTCATATCCCTATATGGTGTATGCCATTAGCTAGTTAACTAGTAATACTAAGGATTTAGGGGATATTTGTTTACCTGCAGTTTGGTTTTGCCCGCTATTTACTAAGTTCTAGTCAAGAACGAGAAAATCTTCCACAGCTTTTGATTGAAGAGTAAACACCACTTTGGGGCCTTTATGTTCCGTAGGATACGAAAAAGAAACCTAAAGTAGGCTGGGAAACTCAACTCTAGGGAAGTTTCGAAGCGTAAGTTTCCTAGACAGAAAAGAAATAAAACGCATCAGTACGGAGTAAGTAGTGACCAAATACTGATTTGTTAATATGTTAATACTGACTAATATCTTCGAGAACTTGGGCTGCATTGGAGTATTCACCACACCAACACTTGGTAGCCACAGCCCCTATAGGCCATCTCGATGTATCTGGGAAATACCCGCAGCATACAGCTTGATAACTTCTTCACTTGTTCGCTCTTGATACGGCTCTGCTGCGGTAATAAGGCCGTATATCACACTACCAAACGCAAAAACATCATCCTGGATGGTATATTGATAGCTTTCGTACTTAAACTCATCGAAGCTTGGTTGTCGATATCTAGTCTTGTTGTACACGCTAGAAACCCTGACCCCATCCATTGAACTTGAGGCAAAGTCGGCTAAAACGACATCTAATGTTTCAGTTACCAGTATATTGGGCGACCTTAGGTCATAGTGAATGACGCCCTTGCTGTGTATAAAAACCGGGCCTTCTGCAATCTGCTCAGCCCATTTAAGGTACGGTATTTCGAATTCTATTTTCTGTCTTGCTTGATCGATGCAGCCCATCTGATAATATTCCATCTCAAAGGTGTGACTTAACGGACGAATAAATCTTGCAATTCGTGGATGTGCTCCCAACCTCTCGTAGACCTGCCTCTCAAAGGTAACTTCGTGTCTGGCCTCAGGAAAAGGCTGTTTCATAACGGTCAATTTTTTGGTCTTATCAATGGCGGCAGTTGCTCCCCACGCGATTCTCTCCATACTGAGAGTTAAAAGACCAAAGTATGGCAGTCAGGTGGCAGTTTGATAGTGGTTGTGAGGTCGTTTGCATCTTGAAGCTGGAAGCCGTTCTAGGCACATTCGGCCATTCACGTGACTTGAACTAGGCACCGGCCCGACCCTGCTAGTGCTCCGGGTTCGGGACCATCTACTTAACTGATAATTACTTGATAATAGACGTGATGCCACTTTTATACTTCGGTCAGCTCTACTTGTAATATTACCCATTTCATGGTTTGGGGTAGGTGGAGTGTAGAATACTTTACCCCTGAATGCCTTATGCTCCATCCATGTACATCAATTACATAAGCAGAAAACGATTACATAATACTTGATGATTGTCTGAATTGAAGAATGATACTGAAGAGTGACACCAATCTCGCGCAGTCTGCTGAGCCGCTTCTTGAATGTAAAGTCCCGGTTTTAGGCAGTTGGGGCATGGTACATGGATATACCCGCGTCTACTCGAACTCCCAAAAACCATGTTTGGATCATGAGCTGCTTCGGCAAACATTCAGCCTCGACCAAGTCTTATCTTCGGGTTCGGACATGGATCAGGGACAGGTTGTCCGTCCGCAACAATATCACCTTCAAAATGGCCTACTCGTTTGCGATCTTCGAACCGACGCTTGGAGCCGGTACGACATATCATGAGCGAATGAGTGAGGCGTATATACACCCACATGACGCTGTCAATAGTTAGCTTAGTTGAAAGATACGAACAAGTAGTTGCGAGGGCATTGAGTACATTGTATCCGGCTTAAGTCTTTGTTATTCTTTTTGCTCACAGATTTTGTTGTTCCGCCTAGTCTCGACAGAGAGGGAAGCCCGTCTATTTATGCCTGGTGAGGGGGAGGGACCAATACAGTATTCCCTGGTAGACAGAGTGTCCGATCCATTGGACCCCATGCTATTCCATTCATTTTAGTACATGCATATGTACCGCGTGATATGTTGTCTCAACATCTTTGTCGTGAGTCATGACAGGGGAAGATGCTTGCTCTTGGCTGCCTATTGTCAGAATGCTGGGAAGACGCTGCAGAGGTGGGAGTGTTCGGAAAAGTTGCAACTTGCTGTCTACTTGACTGCTTTATTCTGACAAGTTAACTGAAGGAAAAGCCTAGACAAAACCAAACCCCATACGCTATGCAAAGTAACAAAAACTGGCAGTCTCAAGGTACACTACTTGAGGTGTCAGACGGACATGAGCACACCCAGAAGATAACCACGACAACATTAAAGGAGTTCTTCACACGTCCAATCCTCGTACCTAAAAATGATGTTAGATCGAGAACATATAGATACGACTTTTCACAGTACTAACCAGCCGTCTGGAAGATACCTTCTAATTATTAGTGGGATCTTCTTCTGATTGAGCTCTTTCAGGGCGATTTGGAGTGGATCAGTTTCACCCTCCAAATCAACGAGGATAGGAGCATTCATGCTATTCACGGTATGCATTAGCAAAAGGCTTCAATGGGACATATTCCCGAGCTTCGGCTGCTCACCTAATCTGTAGAGCACGGGTGCCTAGTACTCTGGCCCGTTCGTACTTCGTCATGTACGGTGTCGTTGTCCGCTGATCATTGGCAACTTTTTTCTCACGTTGCTGAAGTATAGTCTTCCCTTGACCTTGGCCAGAGGAGGAATTTGGATCGGCGTTCTCTCCGTTGGTAGTGGCAGGCTGTCCATCACCGTTCAGCACCGCATAGCCCTCTTCTTGCTGGTCATCTACCGCAAAGTCATCGGCCGCAGTATCGTCATAGAAGTCTTCAGCTGGCTCGTAGTCGAGACTAAAGAGGTATTAGTCCAGATGCGCGCAAAAAATTTGTGATGAATATTGATATACTAAGGGGGGAAAGCTTACCCGGCTTCCTCGCGTTCGTCGTGGTCGTCTCCGCCAAAGTCCGACATTCTGAAGGTATCAGAAAAGATGTATAGCTTAATGTAAATAAAATACAGCAAAGGAGCTATTTATATGTGTTGGACAGTGTAATCCTTCCTTTGCGTGCGGTGTTGATGGTTTTTCTTCCTTTTTGCGACGTCGAGAGAAAGAAAAAAAAGTTAGAGATAGAGGCTTGGCATGCCAAGATTTCAACACCTTAAATCGATTTTCGATAAAGAGAAAAAACACACAAAACGAAGCAGCTCAAAATCGGCGAAGTCACAACATCCAGCTAAGGAGTCCTTTTAAGGGGGAAGAGGACTTATAGCTGGCTCTGATAAACACAGCTAGACATATGATTTGCCATGCTGGCGTTTAGTTGTCTTTCGGTAGAGGTGTTTGCGTTTTGAGATTCGAGGGACTATCTACCATGACCGCAACCAAACGAAAGGCAGCTGAAGAAGCTCAGAGGCAGCTGAAGAGGATACATCTATCCGATCCGGCAGGTATGTTACAGCTACTACCCAATTGCTGTGGAATTACACCGTTAACGTGGATAGGCCAAGATGAATTACTCGATTCCGACCCTAACTGCGATTCCTCGTCCATCGTTGACGAAATTGTATATTCGGATGATGAGCTACACCCAACACCATTGACACCCTTTTCACCTGCTTCCTCGAAATACCCGTCTGAGCTGAAGACACACCTCTGTCCCTACTCCGGCTGCAACAAGGCCTTCAACCGTCCGGCGCGGCTTACTGAGCATATACGATCTCATACCAACGACCGGATATTCGCCTGTACCTATGAAGGATGCGAAAAGAACTTTCTTCGCGCCTCCCATCTTAATCATCATGTTAAGAGTGCGCACACCCTTATTCGAGACTATGTCTGCGAGCGTGAAGGTTGTGGGAAGGCGTTCGCTACGGGATCCAGGCTCAGGAGGCACCTTGCAGCCCATGAAGGGCGGGATAAATACACATGCACGGAAATGGCTGACGGGGAGGAGGGAAAGCAATGCGGAGAGTCGTTCAGGAAGCATTCTACACTGTTGAAGCATGTCATGACCGTTCATCTCGGGCAGAGGCCATTTCCTTGCCAAGTTATACTTGATTCAGGCAAGGCCTGTACCGCTGCATTTGATACTGCGGGCCATCTGAAAGCTCACGAAAGCAGAGTACACGGAGAGGCACGGTTTACGTGTACAGAGTGCATTGGCAATACCGAGTTCGAGGAGGGAATGGGGGATGGAAAGCAATATAACTTTGCAACCTATGCCCTGCTACAGTCACACATGCGCTCCGTACATCCTCCAACATGTCCTAGCTGTGCCCATACATGCTCGTCAGCAAAGGAATTACGTCGGCACATGGAAATATCACACGGGACTGTGTCTGTGGAAGATCGTCGGACCTACCCCTGTCAACATCCCGGGTGTGATCGCAGCTTTACGAAAAAAGGCAATCTCAACGTCCATGTTAAGACGGTCCACGAAGGCGAGAAGCGCTTTGCCTGCGGCGAGACTGATCTCTCTACGTCTAAAAAAGTGGGCGGGTGGAATGGCATGGATGCCTGTGGGAAGAGGTATGGGAGTAAGCTTGCCCTGGAAGAGCATGTGAGGACAGCACATATGGGATTCCGGAATGCCAGGGCCGAGAGGAAAGCAAGAGCCGGTGGCCCTGCGGCTACCGGCGCATCGGAATCTGGATCGAAGCGTACGGGCCTATCGAATGTCGCTTTGCTTACTGGTCAAGGATACGCGGAGGAGTCAGTCAACCGCCAGATACCTTGTCTACTAGCCGAGTGTGAGCATAGATTCCACCGAGACTACGATCTCTGGCTGCATATGAGTGCAAGACACGGCATGGATGAGAATGAAGTGCAACTCCTCTTTATGCAGCGAGCTATGCAGGGCGGAAACGAGAGCTTTGACAGGCCGTCATTCGAGTATGAGATGGACATGATAGGAGGCCTTGATGAAGTTGGCGCTGCTGATGACGGTGGTGGTGGCAGTGGCAGCAGCTGCCTTATCGACGATTCGGAGGGCAGATATGCATATCCTCGACCCGATGCTAGCGTCGATGAGATCATGGCAAGCCACGACGATGCCCAGGAACGGGTCAAGGACGATCAGCTAAGCGGGTTGGGCGGGCTTGTAGACCCGCTTCTGACGTACGCTTCCTTGGAGTCGTGAGAAGTAGCGGTACTTACGGGGTATGTATGTCTGCTATGGAGTCGGTTTCCCGTACGGAGTAATAACATCCTTGGGGGTCAGTCCCGCCCCAACCCATGTAACAATGATAGTGCAATAGCCGTACGCCATGCTCTGTTATCATAAGGAGCTTGGCTATCTTGGAAGAGTATTCCATCCTTTTATGCTGTGATGATGATAATGAGAAATGAATACAAATATAATAATGGCTATTATTAGAAGAAGGAAAATAGTGCGTTGTTCTGTCATTATACGGGGTACTCTACTTACATGCAGTTGCCACGATGCAAGTAGGCGATCGGTTGTTTGCTTTCTTTCTTGTTTTCCCTGCTTCGTTGAACTTACTCGATTCATATTAACTAATTATTGACTGTCTGGCCGAAGATCTCGTCGTTGCTTCTTCCAGCAAGCTGGTACCTCTGCCACGGATCGACGTCGGGAAGCCACAAGCAGCAATTACCTACGTAATCAGAGCCAACAATGAAAAACGATATGGCAACGATCATAGCTCTGCCTTTGTGTATACTTACCCAATATTCTTTGTCATGATGGGACGGTGAGTATAAACTCTTCACCGACGTTTCGTCTTTGTTTCGACCTCTCCACCGCGCTGGCCTTTGGTCCGTGGGGAAGAGGAAGAGGAAGAGACCGACTTGCTGAAGATCGAACGTATCGCATCGCGTCTAGCCCTTTGGACAAAATCTCGTACGGGGACTGTCCACGCGATTGCATCGACGGCGGTTGTACATGCATCCGCCTGTATAACGCTGTTTAACCAATGTCATCCCCGTCTAGCACAACGTTGAGATCCTTTGCCGGACGGGGTCCAAAAGGCCCAGGGCCTTGCTCTGGCATTGGACATGGGTTCCCTGATGGCAATTGGCCAAGCTCCCCTCCCTTGTGAAGTTAACATAAGGCTGGTCTGTCAGAATTCGGTCCAATTGCTAGTTAAACCAGCGGTCTCGGCGGTAAAGCGCACAAGGAGAGAGACAGATAGAGAAGAATTTGCGAACGCGTCACCCAGGCTTATATGATGGCTATGATGTGATATTTATGGCGCACCACTGCGCGAACGAAATACGGAGGATCAATTGTTTCAACCGCAGGCAGGCTGGGGACGGTCCTGGGGACGAGGTGGACCAGCCAGCCCACGAAGTACACTAACCAGCTGAATCCTTTTTATACTTAAATTATAAAAGTGGATTGAGTGGCTTTCGTCTTCGTGAGCAGGAAAACTCGCTCTCGGGGTAGATACCATTCCCCGTAGTTGATCGCAGTTAAGAGTCCTCCATCCCTTGGCCCAGGTCAATACGGGAAAGCATGCAGGAGGGACGAGATGCCATGAACTCTTCGGTGCGGTGCATCTGTCCATGTTTGGGCATTCTTCTTATTCTTAACTCCCCCGTAGCTTCTTGTCCTGCCTTCTTTTCTTTCTTTTCTTTTCCTTGTCTGACTGCGAGCTGTACGACCTTGTCCGGGTCAGGGTGTTGAGAGTGGTCTGAGACATGGTTTCTGCTCGTGCTCTTGCTGGAGAAACTAGTAAGATATCACCCTCGCTTGACCCTTGGGCTTCCTTTTTTCCTTTCTTTCCTTTTTTTTCCTTACGATATTGAGTTTGCGAGCTAAGTGCTTTCGTTAGCGCCTTGCGGGATCAAGGGAAGAAGAAGAAGGCAGAGAGAAGGGACTTTCTTGCTGCTCGATTGATAGCAAAGTGTGGCTGGCAGTGGAGGCGGCGGCGGCGGCGGAACCAGCGGAGGAAGAAGTAACTCTTCCGTATCAGTTCAGTCTTTGAGGAATCTCGCTCGGCTCGCCCAAGGACAGGCGTTGGCGCTGACAGGCCCCGTATCCTTGCGTCGCTGTAATGACGGAGTATCTGTCTGTAATACAAGGTTGTCTCTCGCTGCCGCAGCGCAGTGAAGCAAGCCGGAGCTGGCTGGGCTCCGAGTTAGTTCGTGTACGGAGTAAGTAGCGTATGTAGGTAGTGAGTTAGGTTAGTTAGGGCGGAGGCGCCTGGGGAGACAGAGAGAGACGGAGAGGGAGGTCGTCTTGTCTTCCCTTTTCGGTCACTTTGACTTCACTTCTTCAACCTCAACTTCTTCAACTTCCACATCTTCGTCTTCCTTCGCATCAATCGCAGATTCCAAAGTGCTTTCTCTGGCCTTGGATCAGCAGACGCTAGACTCAAGCTCACTGCTACCTTATCTACTTAAGCTCCAGCGCTAGTTTCATCAAACTACTATTTACCGTCGTCACCTGGGTTGCTCTGCTCGCCGTCAACACTGCTCCCCGTACATACGCCATGGATCACGCTCTCCTGTAGAGACACAGGTAGACAGCACCGGATCAACGAGCTTTTCAACAGCGTCTTTGACTCCCTCACCCAGTCCCATTCTTACACTCTCTCTTACCTCCCTGAAGACTTCTGCTCTCTCCGCCTGTTCTGTCGCAGATCGTGGGAAAATCTCACCTGGCACTTCCGGCGCTTCCACGCTCGCCTTGTCAGCCCTAACCGCCCGCTTCCTCCCCTTACACATGGCTGTTGAAAGAAGCACGTAGAACTACCAACCCCCTTTTGGCAGGTTTTCTGTTGGACAGGCCGGCTGTCTTGCCTGCCAGGACGTTGATATCGATCACCGCAGACTTTCAATTGCATTCCTCACACCATGGGTCGTTTAAGAGGTTGGTCTATCTTCTTTTTTGGTCAACGAAGCATTAAGACACCATATATTCGGGCCAAAAAGCTAACTGCTTCACAGTTCCATCCTTTCTTTCCTCCTCTCGTCCAGATGGACAGAAGGGCAAACCGGCAGCGGCGTCGGTGTCCATCTCCACCCCGGATCTTCCTGGTGCCTTGACACAATCACCGTCGAACAAGCCCTCAGCTCCGGGCCAGGAGCAACAGACATCCACGTCGCCTTTTATTAGACGCACACGAAGGCTAAGCAAGCCTATAGCCTCTCTCTGGGCTCAGAAATCCACGCAGGGTGGGAATGATGATCGGAATCAGAGCCAGAGCCAGATCCCGACAGCTCCTGCTTCACCTCCATTCGATACAGAACCCCAAGTTGTCCCGGAGCTCGAGCCTGTCTTTGCCTACTTGAATAACCAGGCGAACAAGCTATACCAGGAGGGATACTTCCTAAAACTTAATGATTTGGATACCCGTATGGTTTTCTCTCTTTAACTCCCGTCTCCAAGTTTGCGAGCTGATGTGTTGACTCTCTATAGAAGGGCGGCCATGTACCGATAGACAGTGGGTGGAGTGCTTTGGACAGTTGGTGGGAACAGTCCTTTCAATATGGAATGCGTCTGCACTCGATACAGCTGGGGGACAGGCAAATGCACCACCGAGCTTCATCAATTTGGCCGACGCTACCATCAAAATGGTGAGATGTTTCCCTTCCTGTTACTCGTCAGAGATAACCATCTAACAGTCTAGTAGATGGAAACGCTACCTACCAAAAACGAAACAAACCAGCCACTGCAGAACGTTGTCAGCATTAGTACGGCAGGGAAGAACAGATATCTTCTCCATTTTGACTCCCTGCATTCCCTCACCCAGTGGACGGCCGCAATGCGATTGACGGTGTTCGAAAATTCGCTCCTTCATGAATCTTACACCGGCGCCCTCATTGCCGGTAAAGGCAAGTATCTCAATGGGATAAAACTTATCCTTGAGAAGACAACTTTCAAGTATGAGGACTGGGCCAGAGTTAGATTTGGTGCTGGTACGCCCTGGAGAAGATGTTGGTGCGTCATCTCCCCACCAGGAGAGAAAGAGATGCAACTATACAACCGTTCTCTAAAAAAGAGGTCCCCTTATGATCGAGCACCAACACCTCCCAAGGGCAACATCAAATTCTACGAGACGAGAAAGACTAGCAAGAAGGTAGCCCCCATTGCGACCATTTCTGATGCTTACTCTGCCTACGCCATTTATCCACAGGCCCGGCCGCTCGTGGATCAGTCCACTCTTGTCAAGGTCGAAGGCCTGGTTACTATCGGCGAGAACACTTCAGAGGGTTTCGTCTTTGTGCTCCCAGAAATGCACAATGCCGTCTCCGGATTCGAAACAATGATTCGCTGGTTATTCCCTGCCTATGATGCTTTCCGCCTTTATGGGCGCCCTACTCGCTTGCTGGCTGATACTGTTACTCCCAACAGTTTGATGTTTGCTATGCCGAGTAACAAGCGCAGAGGGTACCTTGATATCCTCGACGTATCCGCACTCATCCACACACAAGGGAGCGAAAGCTGGAGCGCCCGAGAGTGGAAAAAGCAGCTAAAGGATGCAACATCACGTCGAATGACCTCAAATACTAATAGTAGAACGAGCAGTGTCTCAGGCCGCCGTAGCGGGAAGCGCAGCAGCCTCCCCCAACGTGGTGGGACAGTGCGTTTTGGTAGCGCGACAGTTGGGTCGAGGAATGGTGAGCCTAACAGCTCATCTGATACTGTGTCTTCGAACTCTCCAACAAAATCTGGAATATCCCACACCCGTTCTGAGTCTGACAACACAGGTCTCGCGTCAGCCCGACGTGGCCGTCGCAGCCCGCCATTTTTTGAGAATAATATCGGAGAAGATATTCCAGAACACCCACCTACACCACCCCCAGAAACTGCTCAAACAGATGGGCCTTTCGAAGTTGATGGAACTGATAGCCGCAGTTCTCCCGACAGCGGCGCTTACATGGACAACAATAACGCCGTTGACCGCCTGGAAATTATTCAGAGCTTGCAACCCAACCCACCCCCACAAGGTGTGCCAGAGTCACCTGCCTTCTCGCATGACCCTCGAGGAACGCCTCAGTTCAAACCTCAGCCGTCTCCGGAGATTGGCCATGCGGCGAAGCGTATGTCCGTTGGAACACTAGATCAGTTAGTGGACATGAATAAGAAAAATGGCAGCCTACATGGCCTTGCCGTGGCCGGTGCCACCGCTGCTTGGAACGCAGCGAGGGATAACAAAAAGGAGACCTATCCTGGACAAGGGGCCCATGCTGATACCCGAGGCGTAACCCTTAACCGCATTAATAGCATTGGAGCTTCTAGCTCGAATTACTCTCAGGGGGGGAGCCCGATAACTCCTAGCGACACTGCCAGCAACGTAAACGTCGGTGTCAATATCAACTTTGCCGGTACACCTACTGAAGGACAATCTCCAATAAAGCAGCAGGATGACGCCCAAAGCCCACCATTACATAGGCCAATTGCCCGCAAACCTGTTGCGGCAGAAATTTCTGTCGCGGAGACTGCAAGTGTGAGGACGGAGTCTACCCTGGGAAGCTTGAGGGATAACATCGACATGGACGCTCTGGACAGAATTATAAGGCGACCGCGATCGCCTTCGCCTCCCCCACCGCAGCAGCCGAAGTATACATTCAAACAAGAGGTTGCCGTCCAAGATGATGCCAGCTCAATTGTAGCTCCATCATACGCAAGTTCGCATAAATCTTCCGCATCAGTCCGGTCCATTAAGTCCGTTCAGAAACCCAGGGTGGGAAAGATGAAGGTCGTTGGCGATGCCCTGCCAAAGACAGACGATCTTGTCATTGGTGATGCCCATTATAAGCATCCCGCTAAAGCTCCTTTAGAAGTGAGCTCCGACATCCCAGAAGTCGACTTTGGGCCCACGCATACATATAAGCCTACCACGAGACGACCCAGCACATCTGATACCATGCTTCTTCTGTCTTCTTCTCATCAGCGTAACCCTTCTGAAGGTACTCTCGCAACTAGGGGTAGAAGACTCTCGACCGGTCGTCTACTTGAACATCTCAACCAGGAGTCGAACGAGTCCCCATCCCCACCGCCTCCTACGCAGGAACGTGAAAGGCGTCGCAGTGTTCTCTGGCAACCAGGCATGGTCTCGGACAGTGGCCCCGTTACCCCTGGCCCAACCAGCATTTCGGCAGAACAATTTGTCCACGACCGCGCTTCCAGGTCACAGATCCATCTCCCTGTGATGCCCACTCGAGCTACACCCCCTCCCCCTCGCCCAGCATCAGGAGATTGGTCTACCTTTATTCGCCACCAATCATCCGCCACTCAGCTTCCTCAACGTCCGCACTCTCGTGGTGCAAGCGTCATGCTAGATATGCCAGCCCGCCCTTCTTCTCGCGGTGCAAACACCATACTTGACGTTCCTCCCCGACCATCATCTCGTGGTCCCAGCGTCATTCTAGGGCCTCTCGATGCCCCTGCTCGTCCTTCCTCTCGGGGTGCCAACCGGATGCTAGCACAACCAGATATTTCTGGTCATCTCTCAGCCCGAGAGCAAGAGCATGTAGCTCGTATGACCGGATCTTCATTCCTTAATTTGAACAATAACCAGGGCCCACAATTCGGTTCCGGGCTTGTCAGTACCATTGACGCTCGGGAACGTGAGAGAAAAGCTATGAAGGATGGTTTCAGTGGCCAAGCAGTACAACAGGCAATTGCCCAGAGACAGTACCAGGCACAGGCGCAAGCACAGGCACAGGCTCAAGCCCAAGCCCATGCTCAAGCCCAAGCTCAAGCACAGGCGCAAGCTCAGTACCAACTTCAGCAGCAGTTCCAGCAGCCTTTGGGTACATCCCCCGGATATGCTGCATCCATGCAATTCCCATATTTCCCCCAGCAGCAGCAACAGCAACAGCAACAGCAACAACAGCCAGGCTACTATGTGCCACCTCAGGGGCAGCAATGGCAACCTCAGTACCATGCATAATCTGAGCTCACGAACTACAATTTCCTTTACCTTGTTTGATTCCCATCTATTGCACTGTCTCAGTCACATTAGAACACCTACTTTCATTGCCCATTTTCTATGATTTTTGCCCTCATTTCTGTTTCTTGTTAATAATGACCATGACCGCATTTCTATATTCCCACCATATCCACCACCAGTCTTTTTATCTCTCATTGCTTGTCCTTTCCTAACCATATCTGCATTTTGGAATTTTTTTTCCCGCCATCCTTGCTTGATTTCAAGTACACACCATCACCTTGCTTTGGAACAATACATTTCTTTCCTCTGTCTTCTTTGTCTACTATTTAGATCTCGGCCATCGAAATCCCTCATATCAACAATTACCCCATCTGTCTACCTATCTGGTCATCGCGTTTCCTTTTTAGTTTTGCATTAGGAGTTTGATTTACTTATTGTATTTGTGCTATTTTTCCCTCCTACAAGCTTATCTCTTCTTTGCAGCCCAAGCATCCACCAGTATGATAATTTCCACACTACGCCATGCTCCATGATGTCGCATTGAATTGCATTCGTTTTAAAATGGGAACTGGAATCAATGATAGATTGCTTACTGATAGATTTTCAAAGTTACGCATCAAAAAAGCTCCCTACGGAAGCTAGGATTAATAACAAATACAATGTTTTAGGCATTGATTCCAATTATATTACCCTCTTTTCTTCTTCCTCTGACTGTTCTGCTGAATTAGCCTATCAAAAACCATTTGCTATGAGATTACGCTTGAGGAACGCCACCTTCCTACATAGATCGAGTGCACGAGGCTGTACCGGAAGGGGCAAAGGTGCAAAATGATGGTAGAGTCTGAAATACTGCATTGAAAGGTCACACCAGGAAGCTCAGAAAAACTCGCTCAGAAGGACCCCCTTTTAATCGTATTTACCAGTCAATATATAGAACGCCAAATTTGATCAATCCCCGAGAGCAAAAAAAAAAAAAAAAAACGAAAATAAACGAAAAGGAAAACAGGGAATCGAAAAAGGGATAGTGCCCACGGAATAGTGGATATGCTATAGTATGACAAAGCGTAGATAGAGGTGGTGTATAGATCAGCTCTTGTGCAACTTCTTCACCCTCAAGCCTCCCTCGTAAAGCAAACGGTCGACAGCAGCGGCAACTGTCAATGTACCACCAATAACAGCACAAACACCAGTGAAGAACGCCGAGAGAGATTTTGGTCTAGCTTCGCGATTGATCACTTTCATGGGAGATATCTCATAATTAAAAATGACAGATGGAATGCCACCACGAGTGTGTTGGCGTTCCTTGTGTCCCTCGGCAGAAGCGTCTTCGGCATCGAGTGATCGTTGGTGCGAAGTAACTGAATATTGATGGGTTTCAATACTTCCTTGCGTGCCAAAGTAGACTCCATGGTTGCCGAGAGGGATATCTTTATGGGCCTGGGAATGCACTTCGCTCGACCATGTGGGATCCCATCCAAGTGGGAGGTAAGATGTCGACACTACCTTAACAAAGTACATGAAGTTGTATCGTGCTTCGTCAGTCTTATGATCAGATTTGTCGAGAGGGTTAATAGTATCTTGATGCGTCCATTTCCATCGGCTATAGAGCTCTTCGGGAAGCTGGGGCCCAAACCGGAGCTTGTGTATGGTGTGGGACATAGTGTGTGGGACTGGGGTATGATAATAGTTATCTAGATCGTGGGCATGGAAATTTCCAGCCGTCAAGCTGCGGCCGGGAGCAATATGGAAGTTCCCAGCAACCTTGTTCACACGAAGAATTCCTTCAATGCGACACCCTTCATGACGTTGCTCGTCAATACGCTGGGAATAACCTTCGTCGATACATTGGGCAACGTTCTCGCCGCGGCCAAAGGCCCAGTTCTTCTCCGCATAGGCATCACGGACTTCTTCACAAGTGTTACAGCAACCAGGCTTCTTTGCGTTGGAGGGTGCAGGAACGCCGTAACAGTCTCCACAATAATTTGGATCGAGGTGCGCGGGAGAGTCCTCTTTCTTATGTCTGGATAAAACACAGGTTAGCAGGGGTTCTATTAGATTGAGCAAGGCTCTATCAAATCTAGGTTTGGGTAGCATACAGAGCCAATGCTGTCACATCAATGACTTTTCCACCTTCTGCCGCAGAGCTAAGGCGGACCTTGTTCACTCCATGATCAACGTCTGTCTGGAGTTCGCCTGATACGTCCATAACATCCAGGGTGAGCAGTTCGCATGGGAGGTTTGGGAAGGTCATGTTTAAGTGGATTTCCATTCTCTCGCCTATAGCCGAATGTTAACTTCCTTGCCATGATGGCCATAAAGGCGTGATGCCTACCTCTGCCCTTATCAACGATCAGCTCGGGCTGAACGACTACTCGCCGATAATCCTTCCATTCGCCCCAAACCAGGTATAAAACAACAAGCAATGCAGTTATGGTGACGATTCCACCCGACCTCGTTCGTATCCGCGCATCTTCAACGGTTTTAGCGAAGGCATCAAGCCTTGTGAATCGAGATTTGCCAGCCATATTGGGTGATAGTGTCCGCTGAGGTCAAAATCAATCAATTGGCTCGTAAACAGGAGAGCGGACTGCGTATTTCTCTTAGATTTGGTGAATACACGGCCTCAATTCACTGTTAATCGGTATGTGGAGTTGGAGGTATAGAAACGTGAGCTCAAACGAAGGTTGTCGCAGTGCCCATCACTGATCCCACAGAGAGAGAAAGAGGGAGAGAGAGCTATAGTAAATGGCAGCGAACTGGCAACCCGTACGGGAGTGAAGTATCCTCGAACAGACAAGCAACTCCTCGTGCACAGAGGAAAGTCCGCCGTCACTTTTGCGTCGATTTGAAGCTCAGCGGGAAAGGACACATTGAAGTTTTGCTCTCATTGGCCCGGAATTTGACTGACTAAGCATAGTCACGTGGTAACGTTCTCCACTAATATTGAAAGCTTAAGCGGCTAGATTTGCTTATCTAATGAGAAATTACGTAATACGTACCTGATGTTCTGGTTTAGAAATTGATGACGATATTGAAGAAGTTTGATCAGAAGTTGATGGATACCATTTCTGAAGCAACAGTGAGCTGGCTTTACATTATATGCTGTATATGTTGTTATACTCACTACCTGTAGCTGGATAGCGATTGCATGCATAAGCAGTATAAAAGGGCTATATATATTGGTAGTACAGTATCAGAATTATATGGATACAGGTAACACAGCGAGGTCTAGACCAGTAAGGTAGTCTTTCGTTAGTACCAAGGCTATGTAAATCTATGAACATCTCAATCTCTCGCTTCGACATTGGATGGCTTCTGCGTAGAAGGGTCGCTGCAGAGCTAAATGGATTACATAAGCAGCATATCTTTTCAGAGCCGCACTAAGCCCGATTCAGCGCAGCCAGTCACTGGACTTTCTTTTTCAAAAGGCAGAAACTCACGAACACTTTTGCTTTCTTCATATTATCAACCACTTCAACAGCGCCTCAAATACCGCCCCTATATACCATAGCAGACCCCGTCTCCAGAAATCCCCATCGATAGGTACTTTTGGGCACATATTCAAGTTCGTTCTGCTGTTCTGGCTCTTGCATGCTAGCGCGACGCAGTTCAAAATAGCGGGCCGCAGACCTGTCGCTGCCTGTTCCGGTCTCCGTTGAGGAACCAAGACGCCGCCGGTCTCACCGTATTCTCCTTGCAAACGCATTCTTCCGTCATGCTGCAGGTCTCAGGTGGAAGGATGAACAGCTCCAACAACCGCGGCAGAGGCTCCCGAGGCAGGACTGGAGGAGCGGATCGCGGTGGCATCCGTAAACGACCCGCCACTCCTCGAGTTGATCGAGATGGAGACATGGACATGGCTGCCTCTGGTGCAAGTGCTGGGAAAGGCCGGATAAGAAGTTCTCGTGGAGTTGCTCCGGGAAGATCGTCAAGAAGACCAGGCGAGAAAGAAAAGACGATCGATGCTCTTCAAAAGGCCATATTCAGCAGCTCTTCCTCCCAGGCCAATATCAGACATGGGCGTGGGATTCCAGATGGACCTCTGAGGCGGAATCTAACCCAGATCAAAGTAAGCGGGTGGAAAAACAGCAAAGCGGCATCGAATCCCGACGGTGGCGTTGTCAGTCTTGTTGCATTTTTGGAGAAGAAATCGGCGCCGCCCGACCAGAACGCTACGGCCCCTGGACGATTCAAAATTACAAAGGTATGTGCCATATCACGTTCACGTTCACGTTCTCGCGGTTATCGACACACTCTGCAGCACCACTCTTCTGCGTTGTCTACGTTCTCATATCAGCTTGAACGATACATTTCTCCCTTCTGAGAGCGCCCAGACATTCTACGAATGCTATCGAGTTACTGCAAAGAAGATCGGTCTCCAAGGTTAATTATGCCTTGCTAACATTCAGTAGTCGCGGGTTGAAGGCGACAGTATGATAATATCAGTTCGACCCGAGCAGGTGGATGGATTTTTACGATTAAATGGATTTTCCTTTGCCGGAGCACCCCTTACAGTGGAGCTACTTGATGGAGTATCTATGGCAAATGCCCCTTCACAGTCGAGTCAAGGGCCATCTCAAGCCGCGATCGATACGAAGGCTAAGATGAGTGCTTTTCTCGCAAAGAGATATTCAGAGCCAGGAAAACTACTTGATCTATCAAAGTTGGGTACAGATCCCGATTTAGTGGAGATGGGCATGTTTAACAGCGTATCAACGGAATCGAAATTTTTCCCGGCACTCATGAAAGTGTGCGAGCTTACTTTCGACTCTGCTGCCAAAAGAAAGGCAGCGGTCGTCAGCGTCAGCTTAGCGCACAATCAACTGCCAAGTCTTACTGCTGTCACTTCTCTTGCACAAACGTTCCCGGATATCAAAAACCTCGATTTATCGCATAATCAGTTCAAGGATATCACAAGTTTAAGTAGCTGGAGATGGAAATTTCGTGGCCTCGACTTTCTAGATCTTACAGGAAACCCAGTATGCTCAGAGCCAAGTTTTAAGGAAACCATGATAAAATGGTATCCTCAGCTTCGGACATTGAACAATGCGGCAGTTAGGACAGCCGAAGAAATTGCGGCGCAGAAGAAGACTCCCATCCCCGTGATGGGCCCCAGTTTTCAGGACGAGGGTCAGATTGCGGAAAATTTTGTCAAGGCTTTCTTTGCCGGGTTCGACAACAACCGAAATGATCTTCTCAACGGGATTTATGATGCGAAATCTATATTTTCGTACAATGTCAACACTGTGGCGCCACGGGCGGCACAGACGGAATCAACACCTCCATGGGACGCATACATTCGGAAAAGCAGGAATCTCGTGAAAATCAGCCACCTCCCGGCCCGTGTATCACGCAGTTTTGTCGGTACTGAAAGCATCCGCGAAGTATGGAATTCATTCCCACAAACTAAACACCCAGAAATTGTTTCCAACCCCAAGGAATGGCTGATAGAATGTCACCCCATTCCCGGTCTCCCTGATATCAACAACCAAAGTGCTACTGGTGTTGGCGGCCTTTTAATTACAGTACACGGAAAATTCGAAGAGATATATCCTGGTGCCGGAACCAAATCTCAAACCCGCAGTTTCGACCGGACATTTGTCCTTGGGCCCGGAAATGGCCTAGGGGGGCTTAGGGTTAGCAACGACATGCTTTGCCTTCGAGTATTTGGGGATTGTACTGCATGGATTCCAGAGCATGAACAAGCTACAGCTGCACCTGTACCCCAAGCTCCTCCACCGGTAGTGGTCACACCAGCTCAGCCTGCGGCCGTTCCGCAAATAGCAACTCAGCATCCAGAAGCAAAGCCGGGTTACGGAACACCTCAGCCGGGAAAGTCCGAGGAAGCTCTTAAACAAGAGCAGCTTATACTGGAGATAAGCTTCAAAACCAAGATGACGCTGCAGTTCTCTGAAATGGCTCTCAGTGGTAACAACTGGGATATGAATTTGGCGTTAAAGAATTTTGAAGAACTAAAGGTTAGTGACAAGAAATTAAACCCGGTAGCTCCTTTCCTCTGTAGTTAATCAATGCTAACAAAATATTACATTTAGGCACATGGAAACTTGCCCGCCAATGCATTTTTGCCAGGTGCATGAGTTATCTGTCGTATGAGTACTGGAAAGAAGAAAGAAAGAAAGAAAGAAAGAAAGAAAAATCCCCCGTCAGCGTATCACAGCCTGCCTTTTAATAGCATTGACATTATATTATATTCATCCTCCGCGCTTTGTCCCAGAAGATCCTTTTCTCGCAACTTTTTACAGAGACCCAACTCTGGAATAACCTATGAAACGAACAAATTCATTGGCTTATCTTGCCTTAGCAACGGACTATTCTATCTTTACCACCGCGTCCTTGGTTTATAAGGAGTTTTCTTATTTCGTTTTACCTGCATGGCGGAAGGGGGCGTGGGATTATACCATGTGAAGTGTACTTTAGCTAGAAGAAAATATATCCGCCCAAACTGGGAGCGCAATGAACCAAGCCCATATTCTACACAGTTCCGTTCCACGTCTCTATGAAATATATTCTCCAGCAAAGCCTGACTATCCCTTCGATGTAGTGGTAGACTAAGCATACGTAGATGGATGGCTTAGACGTGCCACTAAATAGCTAATACATCCGGAAGCCAAGCTCGGCGAAAGCTCCAACCATCGTCATTTTCTCCAAAGCACCAACAACAGCCGGATTGCTAGCCTCATAAACAACAGCTTCGAAGGAAGAAAACCCTCCCACGATATTTTACGCAAACCTCGCTCCTTGAATACGCTGGCTAATGCCGCTGCATGAGACCATATAGAGCTGCCGCACCTCCTGTGCCACAAGGCCACCAAATGCGATTAAATACAGCCTTCATTCAACGTGTTTAACTATCCATCACCACACCTATGCCAACAAACGGGGACCCAGAGATCGACCCACTGGATGGAGGCAAGTGTTAGGACATGATATCTGATATCCAGCAGCGTTCTAACTTCTAACAGCTGACTATAACCCTATCGAACACCTAAACGCCATCTTCTCCCACCCATCTACCCTTGTCGCTGTGCCCAAGACCTCCCAAGCCCTCAAGGTATACCAAGATGAACTTGACGAAAATATCTCTACACTCGTGGAAGCGCAGGCAGCTTCCAACCTGGAAAGCGTTGAGCGTATCCGCAATGCAAAGGAAGACATGGCCGAGCTGTTTAAGAAGATCGAGGAAGTCCGGGAGCGAGCTTTGAAAACGGAACAGGCGATTACGGCGATGACAGCGGACATCAAACAGCTGGACAATGCAAAGGGAAATCTGACGCTGTCTATGACGACGCTGAAGAGGCTTCAGATGCTTACTACCGCGTATGAGCAGCTGAAAGCACTAAGCAAATCACGGCAGTATCGGGATTGCGCACAATTGCTCCAGGCCGTTATACAGCTGATGGCGCATTTTAAATCATACCGTTCGATTGATCAGATTGCTACACTGAGCCGCAATGTAGCAGATATACAGCGGGAGCTACTGGAACAAGTTTGCGAAGACTTCGAGATCATATTTGCCAAGGGTGAGACAGCGCAAAAGAGAAACATTCTGGCAGAGGGATGCCTGGTCATGGAGGCATTGGGAGACATGGCTAAATCGAGGCTCATCACTTGGTATTGTAATACGCAACTAAGAGAATACCGTCAGGTTTTCAGAGGAAACGAAGAGGCCGGATCCCTTGATAATATCTCCAGGAGGTATTCTTGGTTTAAAAGGATGCTAAAAACCTACGACGAAGAGCATGTGACAATTTTCCCGGCCTCCTGGAAGGTCAACGAGGTTTTAGCAAACATCTTCTGTGAAGGTACTAGGGATGACTTCAAAGGGATACTTTCCCGGTCGGTTCGCAGCGGACAGACCGTGGACGTTAATCTTATACTATCTTGCCTTCAAGAATCCCTTGATTTCGAGCAATTCCTTGATAGGCGTTTCACCAATGCATCTCGTGCATCTACGGATACCTTTGCCTCCAGTGAAACGCCCATTTTCTCGCAGACTATATCTGAGGCCTTTGAGCCTTATCTAAGTTTATGGGTATCTGCTCAAGGCAAACAGCTTGACACCCTCATCCGAAAATATAGGGAGCAGCCCATTAAACCAGAAGATGAAGAATATTCTCCACAACTGGTTGTACACTCTTCAACGGAACTTTTCACCTTCTACCGCTTATCCCTTGCACAATGCGCCAAACTCTCCACGGGCAACTCTCTTGCAGAATTGACGAAGGTGTTTGCGAAATATCTGGATCAGTATGCTCAGCAAGTACTACTCCATTATATCAGCGATCACTCAGGAAGTCAGACTTCTTCCAAACTGCCATCATGTGAGGATCTTACTATGGTCCTGAATACTGCAGATTATTGCTATACTACTTGTAATCAACTTGAAGAGAAGATCAAGAGCAAGATAGACGAGCCGTTTAAGCAACAAGTGAATCTCCAGAGTCAGGCAGATTCGTTCATGGGAATAGCCAGTGCAATTGTCCGTCTCCTTGTGCGGAAAGTTGACATCGGACTAGAACCGACCTGGAGAGAGATGCGGAATACAAATTGGAGTGCGCAGGATGGTGTCGGAGATCAAAGCCCATACGTTGAAGTCCTTTTGTCGAACTTGAAGTCAAAATCGGATGAGGCCTTAGGGATGCTTCACAAACAACAGTATCAGCGGGCATTTGTCGATAATCTGGTGGAACATACGTCAACAAGTTATATCTCAAATATATATCAGTGTAAGCCAGTTTCGGAAGCTGGTGCAGAGCAGGTATGTGTGGCTTTTTGATCCCTTGTATTAATCTACCGGTATCTAACGCCTCTGCAGATGCTTCTTGACAGCTATGGCATAAAAACAGGTCTAACGGGTCTTCTCTCACCGGCTCCCGCTGCTTTTACAAAGCGCGTTCACCAAAGTTTCCAGAAAATTGATACCCTTCTTAAAACTCTACAGGTTCGGGCCGTTCCGCCGGAGGCTCTTGTACAGGCATATCTGATTCACATTGCTGATAAAAGTGACAACAACTTCCGGAAAATACTGGACATAAAGGGGATAAGGAGTAAACAGGAACAGAACCGTCTTATTGAATTGTTCCAGGCTCATAAGACATCCAATCGCCACGCTCCAAATCTACAAGAGAGCAATCCCTTAATTTCCTATCTACAGCCACCAGCTCCTGCTACCCCTACTACTCCCTCTGTGGCCCAAGGCCTCGGCTTGGCTAATCTCGGAGGAGCCACAGCTTCTTCTGGAGCTAACGCGCTTCCTGCACGCTTCGATCCATCAATGCTCGGCTCTGCTCTTATATCAGCCGCTCGCGATGGGGTTGATAGGCTTGGAACGCCAGGTTTAGGGAACCTCGGAAATACACCTGGTGGGATTTCGGGTGGCAGCGGTCGTGCAGCGACTGGTTCAGTAGCTCAGTCTGGATCAGGAACACCACTATCAAACCAGATTATAAACTCGGCAGGACAGAATGCGGATGCAAATGAAGGAAGCTCTTCTGCCGCTGCAAACCTGAATGAGAATCTCAAAAACATCGGAAAATTTTTCCGTAGAGATCTCAGTGGTTTGGGTGGAAGGTTTGGAATAGGCAGCGATGATGGTAGTCAGAGATGAGCGGATAGTTAAATTCAGCCTGCATTAAATATAAATATTGGACTTTCTGTGAATGTCCAATAGCTGTTTCATAATAGACTATTCTGATTTCGAATTCACGTAGCGTATCATCATTAATTATACCTATTTACTGTATGATTGAGATATATGGACTATCGACTGTCTATCCCAAGTTCTATTTTTGATATATATCTCATAGGACTGCTTAATCTCATCACTTCTAAAGAATTCCAGATCGTTCAAATTTACTCGTCTAGTTCTACCACCGATTGATGCTCTAGGTAAAGTTAGTATACGTTCGTCAGAACCCCGAAAGTTATTCAGAGAAAGGTCATACCCCATAGTCTGCTTGCCGAGGCTATTATTACCTCTGCTTTTGCAGTTAACTTTGCGGTAACTCTCTTCATGTCTTTGTTATTGTTTGAGTACGAGCTACTCCGAGGTTGGCCCTATAATTGTAGGATTAGAGATGAGGGCAGCGTAGAATGGGCTAAAGTCAACTCACCATCATTAACACAGGCACCAGATCAGTAGGTGCAGCTTCAGCGAGAGATCTCAGGGTTTTAAATCCATTTTCCCAAAGCAGCCTTGCTGTTCGACTTTTGACATAGGTCACCTGTGCCATTTCTAATAGATCCGCTCTGGCCCCAGCCTGAAGGCGGTCACGCATATGATCTAATACAACAGCGAGCATGTCCCAACCCATCCGTTGACAGAATTTGGCCATTCCAGCCGCAAATCCATGACAGTTTTGAGCAAGTGTCTGTACAGCTCCCCGAGCAATATTGTATTTCTTTGCAATTGACGAGACTGGAATTTCATTGCTTAAGTCGCGGAGTTGAAATGCTGTATAGACACGGTTGTAGACTCTCAGCAAAGCTGGGTCCTTTATAGAAACGTGACCCATGGCAATAGAGTTCACCAACCCTGGATCAACGCCCACAAGCTGTATAGTACGTAGTCCGCTGTCATCTAGGCCATGGACTTCGTCGCGGAAAGCCATCCAGTCAATTTCGGCAGAGACTTGTAGTGGAGAAAACATGTAAAATATATGCATTTCGCCATCCATCACAAAGGCCTGTAGGGCACGTTTTAATTCCCCATAGATGAAAAGTCCATCATCAGGGCTAAATGCGGACGCGACAATCGCTAGACCAAGCTGCGTTGGCTCAAAAGTCTCATCGCTCGATGATTTCACAAGTTCTGCATCCAGAAGCTCCTGGAGAGTTGACTGCACCATATCTAAAAGGGTATCTTGTGCTTCGTCATTATGAAACAACAGACTGCTCCTGATATAGTCATTAATAGCATCACGACCAGATACCAGCTTAGTAGCAATGGCTTCAAGTAGTGCCCTGATTATTTGTCAACAACTGCTGGTTCTCGTTGAATATCAAGGGATACGCACCTCTTGATTCCTGCTCTGCCTGGAGCCAGCCCGCTCGCAATGGCGGGCAACTCGGCTTCCAATAACCCAACTACATCTTCCCAATCTTTACTTGTACAGCATAAGTAGGTTTCGCCAACTTCATCCTTACCTTTTCGGCCCGCTCGACCACGCATCTGTCGCCTTTCAGGGATTAGCACTGTTTCACATAACCAGTGAAAATCCAACAAATACTTACAGCATTGCAGGTCCAACTAGCTCACGGCCCATTCTTGCGCCGCAGAGAATCACACGCCTAGCGGGGAGATTTATCCCCGCAGCTAAGCTACAAGTGGCTACGAGAACTTTGAGAATTCCAGAATCAAACCCTTCTGCGATCAAGACACGCTCTTCAGTCGTTAAACCAGCATCTATGAAGTATAAGTCAATATTCGTCTGGTGGTTTCAAAGGTAGAGAGGTGGATACTGACGGTGAAAAGCAACACCTCTTGGTATAGTTTTTGCAAAGTAGGTATCAAGTCCGCAAGGGAGGCTTTGCAAACTTGCTACCAGATCTAGTCGCTTTTCGATAATATCTGCATCCAGGGTATCTGGCATTGCATCTCCTATGAGCACCGCATTTGTCTGACAAGCCTGTCGGCTCCCACAAAATACAAGAGCGCCATAACCCGCAGCCGCAGTTTCACAGGCAAGGGCGACCATAGCATTTGGAATCGGGAATGCCAGCTCCCTAAATTCCGACTTACGTATGACTCGGCACGCCGAAGCTGGAATATTATGTGAATTGGACGTATTAGGTTTGATCATCTTCCGAAGAAGACCCTTTGTGGCTGGCACTGGATAGATATAATCTTCAAACACTAGGAATTCTTCAACGGGTATCGGACGATATCGAGATATATAATAATTTGCATTCAGCCACTTTGCAAGCACCTCTGTATTCTAGAATGATTCTCGAAAGATAAGCTACTAGTTCTAGTTCCCGGGGTACATGAACAAAAATGTAGATCTTACCGATAAAGTTGCACTCATACCAATTATCTGGATATCTTGCTGAAGCAGGAGAAGCTTCGTTACCATAATTTCTATTAGATAGCCGCGGTGTTCATCATCAAGCATATGCAGTTCATCGAGGACGATTACACCAAGCTTGTCAATTGTGCAATCTTCAATGGCAGTATTGACTAGAGAGTTGGCCTACATAGAGTTAGCAATTATTGCTTAGATATAGCGAAAATGAGTTAGAGGAAGCAACCTTTTCGATGGTGCATACTGCGATATCTGTGTCTGACCAGGTTGTCCTGGTCTTGCTCCCACCAAAAAAACCTGTAACTCGAATGAAGTTCTCTTCAGATTTGAAACGAGAAGGGTGAGCATCTCCACCAGCGGAGTTCTCAACATCGACATCATCATCATGTGTGCATCGGGGTATCCCTTCAACCACACGCCTGAGCCATTTCAACTTTTCTTGAACGAGAGCAACATAAGGGAGAACCAGGATAGCTTTTTTGTCTGGGCAGGTAAGGATGCGTTTCAGCATTAATACATCTGCAACCAACGACTTACCGCCCCCGGTCGGAGCACTGTACACCAGATTCTTTTCTCCTGAAAGATGGCCTCGACCAAGAAGACATGATGCTTGCCACGGATAGATAGCGTTAACGCCTAGAGAAGCGAAATTCTTAACCAGGGCAGCCGGCAAGCCGTATTTTGGATGGCTGAGAGAGAGGACAGGATTCTGAGCTGGCCCAGGAGTACTGGATATAGAAGATTTTTGCGAGCACTCTGATAGATTCTGCGAGCGAGACAAGTCAATATTGCTAAGGTTAGATAGCGGTTCTATCTTACTAGCCCGCAAGCGTCTGGTATCGTGGGAATACTGCGCAGTGTTGGTTCTCTGCGCTCTTGACTGTGCGTTCAACACCTGGTGCGCGGTGGTGAAAGCTGGGAGAGTGTCATTTTCAGAGCGTGACCGTTTCGCACCAGCAACTGAGAGGGTTGAGGAGTTTTCCCAGGCAACATCAACGCGTTTGGGATTCATGTCAGTTACATGGATGGATGGGTCACTGAATCCGCCAGATACCCCTGGCCTATGGTTTATGTATCGAGACCAGGCGCGTAGTTATTTATTTAACCGACGGAGCAAATCTCAAACTAACTTCGTTACCATGTACCCCAACAACCAGCCACTCGCGACAGCATGCATAGAAGCACTATATCCACCTTGCTGTTGATCCGTCGAGACTTCTATTATCTCGTATATTGACTACTGCTCTTCTTCATAGACGTTGGTTGCATAGTTAAACCAGGCGCGCAGTCAAAATAGGGATGAGGCTGATATTGCTCAAACGGGCAATTTGTGCCGAATCCCGGGAACTACGTCCAGTTTTTCTATATAAACTACAGGTAACTAGGTAGGTACTTAAATGTTTGATTGTTATAACTTGCGGAGTAACTATCACTGTTGTTATTTATTATCATCCTACGGAGTACTTTATCCTAACCTCATCACAAGGGTAGGAAATGAAAAAAGGCGACGGAAAATATAACACGCCTGGTTTATGACTGATCATTCTCGCTGTTGCACAAGACTTGCCACCTCCACGGCGCTGATCTACGGAGTGTCCGCAGCACGGGCCTAATTAACCTGCGGATGATGGGACAAAGATTCCAAGTCAGGGGAAGAAGAAGCTCTACTTTTGAGCGTGTCCTCACATATTTAGGGGCCGACGAATGACGGAGTGACCTCGGTGGAAGGGCAGGCGAACAAGGATACAGCGGAGCTAATATCCCTGCCGTCGCTCTCTCCAAGCATCGCGGTTGGGGACTTCTTATTTGTTGCAGGGGAAGGAGCATACCTACGTTGCTGTTGGTTGTCCCTGCCGGTTTACTATTCATCACCCACAGTTCTTACTTCAGCCAGTTCGAGATGGCGGCGTTCGTCGTGTATTCCTCAGGATGGCCCTTGTTGGTGAAGAAAAAGAAGAGATAAAACGGATGACCCATGGACTTGGGGTCAGGTGAAAGTGCCGGCCTGTCTTGCCTTTGTGATATGCCCGTGGATAAAAGGAAAAGGTTATAAAACCGCTTGATAGAGTCACAAGCATTCAACTTCGGCGTGCGTGTGTATATATAAACGCCGCTCATCTCGAGCCTTCTCGCCCCTTTAGGACCATTCTTTTCCGTAACTCTAGCGGCGAATATCAAAAAAGATGTCAATATCAACGTTGAGACGCTTCTTTTGGCTGGGGGCATTGCTCTCGGCTACCATTCAGGTTTCTGCGCTTCCAACAGCTCAGGACCAGGTATGCAATGGCCATCGAGAGTACTGTGATCGTCGATACTCGGAGCTGTCATTCGTGGGTGCTCACAACTCTCCGTTTGTTGGACCACTTCTCCAGCACAACCAAGACATCACTGTGACTGAGCAGCTGGATTTTGGTATCCGATTTCTCCAAGGACAAACGCACAAGAACGATGATGGCGTCTTTAGCATGTGTCATACATCGTGTATCCTAGAAGACGCTGGGAGTGTCAGCTCATTCCTCCAAACGGTCAAAACATGGCTAGACAGTCATCCAAATGAGGTGGTTACCCTCTTGATCACAAACGGGGACAGACTTGATATCAAGGAATTTGATGATGCTTTCAATGCTGTCAACGGAATCAAGGACTATACCTTTGCACCAAAGTCCAAGCTTGCCCTCGGCGATTGGCCAACGTTACGCGAATTGATCACGACTGGCAAACGATTGATAGTCTTCGTCGGTAAGTGTTTCACATTATTAACGGGAGAGCAAACCTCGCTTCTCCCGAACCTTCGTGCCTGCTATATGCTTACTTTTCCTGAACAGATTACAAGGCAGACACCAACAGATTTCCATACCTACTTGACGAGTTTTCATACTACTTTGAGACTCCATTCAGTACCACTGATGAGAACTTCCCGCAATGCAAGCTTGACCGCCCGACCGGCGGCAAGCCTGACGGAAATATGTATCTGGTTAATCATACCTTGAATGTCAATGTTTTTGGCATCTTCCTCCCTGATCGATTCAAGGCCGATAGGACCAACGCTGCTGTAGGCCAAGGCAGCATTGGCGCCCAGGTTGACCTATGCAACTCGATTTACCATCGCAAGCCCAACGTGGTTCTCCTTGACTTTATCACCGAAGGGGATGTCCTGAAGGCGGAGAGAACGATGAATGGGCTTTGATCCTTCACGGCTACATTTTTGCTGAAGACTTTTAATGTTACTTGGCGGCTTGTTCGGAAGCGCCGTCCTCATGACTTACTTATAACTAGAATATGAATTAATGAACATATTGTGTTAATGGATTATATATATCGAATACCGCACAGAGTTTTTCTCTGTAATACTTTCAAAGCGTTGCCCTTAGAATTTGGGATGCATGACTCCTTCCCGAGCATGAACCCCATTAAAGAGAGGCTAACTATAGCTAGTATGTAGCTGCTCCGTAGCTAATCTTGACGGCTATACGTCGGTCAAACATCACCCAAGGCACAAACAAACAGCCTAGCGGTATGCCTTGCGTCCCCATCCAAGCTTCCCCCCATCTGCACTCTGTGTCATCAACAGCATAACGCGGAGCCCGCCGGTAGAGCTGTCCCGCCTTTGCCAGGGATCCAGCATAGCTTCATGCGGCAAGTTGTCCATCGCCCATGCTCGCCCCAGGCAACGTCGCATCGAGGCCAGTTCTGCATCGACTGGTTGGCCACAACCAGAACGCCAAAAAAGAAATAACCACCCCACAGCCTGGCGATCAGCGGAGGAGAACAGGGCAGCATGTGCAGCGTTGGGTGGATGGAGGACGGCCGTGATAAGCTCACGGAGCTGTTCATCGCAAGTTTACTTAGCAATTCAGTTAACTAGTTACGGGGCAGCGCAGGTGAAGCTGGTCCCGTCGCCTGGGGGTCAAGTGGCCAACGAGTTGAGGAATCTGCATCTGTTCTCCGTAGCTACTTATGCAAGGAGCAGGAGACTGCAGTATCTGTCAGAGCCCAAGAAAGACGAAATATGGACAAGACGGTCCGACTATCAACCCAATGGATTCATTGAAAGATAGCCTGTGATGGCTATGCAGCGGCAAGATTCGCTGATCTCCATCATCCAGTGGCTTCCTTTCTTTTTCGTCCCCCAGCTGTTCAAGGACGCCTGTTTTTGCCGGTCTGCTCTTCTGGGTAGTTTGGCCTGAGCAACGCTGACAATTCTTCTTGTTATACGAGAGGAACGTGTTCTCTACTCCACCGTGGTTAAATGAAGGCTTTGCATGGTGGGCTCTTCGGCGGAATTCCTCACGTTGTGGACGTGTTCTTCTGTTGAACTTGCATCATCATCTCACACAGCATGTCCGGCATATGTCTATCTATACCCATAGTGTATATAAGAGACCGATATTCCTCCCTTCCTGAAGAATATATCCTCCATCACAACAAACACCATCATCCACTCCCTCCTTCGGATACTATCTACATAGTACAACAGTCAAGATGAAGTACACTCTTCTCGCCGTCCTTTCTGCTGTGACCGTCCTGGCCACTCCAGCTCCCCTCCCAACTCCACCAAACATTCCATCCGCCTCTACTGCTCAATCTCTCCTTGCCGGGCTTACCGTCGCCCCTCAGGGCCCCCAAGACGGTTACAGCCGTGACAAGTTCCCCCACTGGATTACTATCTCCGGCACTTGCAACACTCGTGAGACTGTCCTTCGCCGTGATGGCACCAACGTCCAGGTTGACGGCAGCTGTGCCGCTACTTCTGGCTCTTGGTTCAGCCCTTACGATGGTGCTACCTGGTCTGCTGCCAGCGATGTTGATATCGACCACGTTGTCCCATTGAGCAACGCCTGGAAATCTGGCGCTGCTTCCTGGACCACCTCCCAGCGACAGGCCTTTGCCAACGATCTCAGCAACCCTCAGCTCATTGCTGTTACTGACAATGTATGTATCTAACTTGTGAAAGTTTATGGAAAGTATCATACTAACATGTCAATCAACAGGTCAACCAGGCCAAGGGCGACCAGGGACCAGAGTCATGGAAGCCTCCACTTCGTAAGTTTCCTTCATCCTCGGATAATTATTTCCTACATAAAATTACTAACACTCTTATAGAGTCCTACTGGTGCACTTACTCTCGCATGTGGATCAAGGTCAAGTCCGTTTACGATTTGACCGTCACTAGCTCTGAGAAATCTGCTCTTACCTCTATGTTGAACACTTGCTAAATGAACCCTCTCCGAATCCAACAACCTTTACGACATCACTGTAAATAGCGACGCTTTCTTTTTTTATCTAACCTCGATATGACTACCTATCCTTGCGCAGGCAGGACTATACAATCTAGATCCGAGTAGCGTTTCCCACAAACAGAATTAGTTATTTCTTTACATCCAACTTTGATTTTTCTATTCTTTTCTAGACGTGTAGATCTTAGTAGCAGCCAGCTAAAAATAAATCCCACGCCTACACTTGTTCATCTTGATAACTTGTCAATCACCTGGTGGATTTCAAAGTGAGATTCATACTCTATTCACTCGATCTATACAAGTGGCAGATTATTGGTTAGATTAGAGTTTAAGCTCAATTATCTTATCCAATGAAAATTAATTTTGACTTCGAACTTTATATGGGAATAATATTCTTCCATTGATGGGTTACTAAGCACTCTATTTTGATGGCCTCAAGGTTCTATTCTTTGCTTCCACTGTACCATCAACAACATCAAGAGCTCCCTTGCAGACAGAAAACCGTGGCTCCTAGCCTGATGGTGTGTAGTATTGGTGCATCTGGCACTTATGCTCCAATGGATTTCTACAGCTGTACCCTTCCGTCCGCCTGCACCCGCTATTCGATCGGCCTCGACCATGCTTTGGACGAAAGGGGTACCATATTCATCGATAGCTCCTAGATGGGTTCTCCCGCGCAGCTATGCCCGAAGTGCTAGCTCGTCTGCTTCCTCCCCTATAAGAGATATTAAGGACTCTAGAATCCACGTCACTGGTTCTAAACTGTGCAGTAAGATGTACCGTCTTCAATAACCAGTTACACCACGTCTAATATCTAATCTTATATAGACGATGTACTTGAAAGACTAGCCCCAACTCTACCAAAAAATAAGCCTATCGATATCATTGATGCATATCCAGGTTTGGGTATATGGTCTTCCCATTTCCATGAGTATGTGCGCCCTCGACGACATATATTACTCGAGCCGAACTTTAGAACATACGAAGCGCACCTAAAACCCTTACTCGAGTCACCAGACTCGCGGTATGTACATGTACCATTGGATCCAGCCGTGGATAGGACATTCTCAGATTTATTTAAAAAAGGATACCTGCCTGAACAAACTGAGCGCACAGAAGGATCCACAGACGTGAACGACACGTTGCTAGTTTTGGCCAACATGACGCTTCTTCGCTCAGCTACAAACATACGGGCCACAGACTCGCGAAAATACTTTGAATCAATGCTTGACCAAAGCTATTTTCACCGTTACGGCTTGGTACGGATTATTGCGATATTTCCATCCTCTAATCTAGACGCGGTTCTACCCAAGAGTATAAGCAGGCGTCGGAGGACGCAGGCTTTGCTAGAAAGCGTAGCTTTAGAAGCCAATGAAGTAGCAGGAGATACAAGCGAGACCACGCATTTGACTCGACGAGGTCTGCCTGTCGTTCAAATCAGTGCTGAAAGAGCTGCAAAAAGGGTTGAAGAGGCGGCTGTAAGAGTGCCACCCGGGCGAAAGCCAGTGCCTCTTGAGCTTGCTCCAAAGCCCATCACTGTAAAAGGGGTTAAACACTCTTATGTGCCGCGGCCCATTCATGATTGGCATCATGAATACATTAAGGCGCATAAGGACCTGGAAAAGGAACAACAAAAAGTTGACGCGAGTAATCCGGTACCTGCGAAATTGAAGGGTCTAAGGAAAAATTTTGCCGCTCTACAGAAGAGATACTTATACGAAAGTTCTCAAATTCGATCTGCGCATGAAGCAGATGACAGGCAGAGTGAGATAGACGATATAGAAGCCGATCTTCGAAAGGTGATGAAAGCAGCCCTGCCATTACCTAATCGTCGAGAGGCAGTGAAAATTATCAAGAATCTCACCCTACTAAAAGAAGAGAGGGACCTTATCCTCTCCTCCCTAGGGAAACAATTTATCCGCCACCATTACCCCTTATTTGTGAACGAACGGCGTTGCGTCACGGGCTCGCAGTCCAGCCCATCCGTTGACCCTCTTTTGCTCTGGGACAAGCGAGCCTATGAACCACTTCACGTCGAGAAGAACGAGTTTTCCCCTAAAACACCATGCTCGATTATAGACATTCAGCCAAATCCTGACTCTTTCATCTTTCAAGCTCAGCGCGAGTTCAAGGCAGCGAATGAATCATTCAAGTATATTTCTGTCTTAACAACGTTCCGCGCATTGCTGAGAATGTTTATACCCTATCCTAAGAAATCGGTTGAGCAGGTTCTGCGGCTACTGTTTGCATCCAGGCCTGTGACTGATTTCCCGTCTGCTATACCTTCGTTGGCAGAGTATGCTACGCCCAAGATTACAGTAGATGCCAAGGAGGCGGCCTCATGGAAACATGTGAAGACCAATAATCGGAGGGGAGTGTTTGTAGGATATGATGTGGACTGTTTGGCTGAAGCCACTTTACAGCGTATTCCTAGCAAGGTGTTTTGGGATATTGCCATAGAGTGGGAGAGATGGCGCCTCGAGAAGAATTTGCCAGATACACTATCGAAGTCGCTTGGCGGCGCATTTATCTCAGACATGAACGAAGCCTTTGAAGCTCGACGGTGATCTAGCACATTTACTATGGACATCTTTGTTTGCAGAAATATTACTGTGATACCAAGGGAATAGAGTCAATGCAGAGTTTCGCCGCGAGGCGATTATTATTTCAATCTATGAAGGAACGAATGGTTCTTGTCTCAAAGGAGCGGCGAGTCCATATACTGTGTAAAAAATCCCGCAAGGAATAAGACAAAGAAATAACTCCAACCACACAAGCCAGCACAATTCAAAGACTGAAACCAAGATATAAAGAGTGATCATGGGTAAGTGCAGGAGACCAGACGAATAGCAGCTAACATGGTGAATAGTGAGAAACGAACTGGATCAAATCTATACCCAGTATAAAGAATCAAACGAATAGCTGATCGGTTCAGTGGCCGCTGTAGGGCACTACACCGCTTCAATCTAACGTCTCGTCGGGCTCCTGAATACGAGACATCCGCAGCCTCTCACTTAACTGGTACAGAGGATAATTCATAAATCTTGTCGAATTTGAGCGGCTTTGCGGTATAGCGTTTGTATCCGCCGGTGCATCAGGTCGATCATTGCGAGGGACCACTGTACCATCAAGCTCCCACAGGACGCTTCTACTTAGGTCTGATGGTGCATCATCCAGCAGTAGATCAAATGCTTGTCGGGGGGGTTCCCGGCCCTGCCCACTTTGGAAGCCAGTTCCACCCGTTTCTGCTGCAGTGTCTTTGGAATCAACGTTGGAGGCTTCAGATAAATCCATTATTAATGAGGACTGCGGAGAGAATGTCCCGTAGCGTTGGTTATTCTGTCCTCTCTGTGGCAACAAGAGTGACTGCGTAGGATTCCTCCAGTTGCCCTGAAACCGAGAGAGACCCTCGGTGCCTTCCGTAAGGTTCTTGACAGTTGAACAAGTACAACAGTCAAGAAGCGGCTCGGAGCCATCTTGTTTGTCCGACTGCCCCCTGCTTACGCTAAACCGTTTGCGCTTGAACTGTGTGCCGCTCCGGATGGTTACTTCGTACTCTCCTGCATGCCGGACTCTGAATTCTGACACGGGCGTCATTCGCCGTGGCCAGAGATGGCTATACCAATTCTGTCTACCGATCTTAAGGCCAGCAGGTAGCTCATCCAAAGGTATCAGAGGAACTTTGGTACCGGTAGGCCTAGTGATATAGAACTGTGGTCTTGGTTCGCGGCTTGCTTGACTGGGCTGAGACCAAATGATGACTGTTCGGAGGAGCGTTGATATCCCCGGAATCCGTTCCATAAGCGTACCCCGGTTTACCTGTGTTTCTGGTACTGTTTCATTGTCTGAGTCTTGATAGATATCCTCGTCTCCGGACGATGACTCCTCTATCTGCTCCAGGCTGTCCGGCGTGGCGCCAGGAAACATGTGAATAGTCCCGTTTGTCGGCCGTGATGCTTCGCGGTTAGGAGGCCAGGCCATTTGAAGCAGAGTTGCGAAGGGGCTCAACAGGTTAGTCATGATTGGCGATGCTTGTCTGATAGTATATCTCTCTAATCCTTTTCAATAATAGAATGTATATACTGCGATAAGAAACCAAAAGGCAAACCAAGCGAGGGCAATTAGAGGCAAGAAACAGTCAAAAAATATAGGGATAGGGATATATCCTAGATACATTAAACGAATGTATGTATGTACGACTGGGATAGCGAGTGTATGCGGAGGAAGAAGAGGAGGAAGAGAAAGGAAAAGAAAACCAGAACATTTACATGTTTTTGTCTGCCCATGTTTACCAGGATTTGATATTTGATATGGAAACTGCAACGGAATAAGGGAGAAGGAAGGTAGAAGGGAGCAAACGGCAGGCTCCGCCCAAGGAAGTATCGTATAAAGAAACACAACATTGAAACTGCTCTAATGCTATGACTGTCTGGATTGAACGGCTTAGGTCTAGCGATGCAAAGATGAAATGGGAAGAAGGGGAAAAAGGGATACAGGAATAGTTAAACAAACGCCAGTCTTATCATGCTCCAGATGCTGGTTCGTAGTTAACAAACAAACAGAAAAAAGGGATAAAAGTACAATCAATCATAAAACATCACATAACATACAATAAAAGCAAAGAAAGTGCGATGGTGGCGGGTATGTAAAGAAGAGCCTATGTTAAAAGGCAGGCGTCCAGTCCACCGCTATCCTAGAGCTGCGATCTCACCCCTGATAACACCCAACCATGCATTAGCGGTCGCTCTGCTGTCTACATCCTTCAGAACAGCAGGAGATATAACCCTCTCCACCACCCCCTTGCGTGGGATCCTAGTTCCCTGCTCCCCAGCACGGACATAGTCGATCACACGATGGCCATCTCTGGCAAGGGCAAGGGCTCTATGTCTCTCCAGTCCTGGGTAGACCTCTCCATAACCGATTGCAGCAGCGACCAGGGTGAGAGCCAAGGCGAAGATGTCTGAAGAAGGTGCTGGAGTTGGTGGTGCCGTCATCGAGCTGATCGATAGAAGTTCTGGGGCTGTGAAGGGAAGACTGGTGGCTAACCGGGAGTCGGCAGTCGAGTTCAGAGCCATGTTGCCGCCATGGGAGTAGAGAGAAGAAGTAAAGTCGATGAAGAGCAGGTCGAATGCATTTACTGCAGTGTCATTGATGGCCCCTGAACTGCTTGATGCAGTGGTCGTGGTACCAGCAGCAGCAGTGAAGTCGCTGCTGATGCTGGGAACCCGAGGACGAAGGAGAATGTTTTGAGGCTTGATATCCCCGTGGACGACGCCTGCTTCGTGCATCCACCGAAGTCCCTCGACCAGCTTGGCGGCGGAGGAAAGCCAGGTTGCCATTCCCAGAACAGGTTTGAACATGGTTCTCGTGTTGAATACAGCAGCCGCTTCTTTAGCTCGAGTTTTGATGTACGAAGCAAGGGAGAGCGGGATGGCAGTCATGACAATGGCATGTTCAGAAGGAATGTAACCGTGAAACGGCACAACGTGAGCTGTACTTCCTGGCATGCGGTGGAGAAATGTAAGGATATCTGCTTCAGCGGAGATGGCACCGTATGCTGAACGTCCAGAGGCCACTTTAACTGCGTACACGGTGGTATGGGTGCTGCCACTACCACTGCCACCGCTACCACTCCGGTTACGTGGGCCCAGCATAGGAGACGAGGCCGAAGAGCCGCGAGTGGGAGTTTGGGGGGGCGATGTGCCCAGAGAAGCAGCGTGGTCGAAGCTAATGGCACTGTAGACGCTACTCCAGGCGCCTCTGCCGTACTCTATCCGGCAGCCGTCCTGGCCATAGCGGTACTTGAGCGGGAGAGAACACTCGCTGGGTCCGTCGAGCTGCGCTGCCCAGGGCGGAGGCACCTGCGACTGAGCGCCGTCGAGTATGGGTATTATCCGAGAGCCGCCGTCCTCTTCGACGGGCGTCAGCGGCGGCGTCAGACTCGAGCCAGGCGACGGGGCGGAAGAGAGGAGGCTCTTGGCGGGGGCGGCGGAGGCGGCGGGAGGCTTTACTGCCAAGGGCGCCTCGCGGGCCGGCGGAACCATGGCTGAGAAATTTTCTTTCTTTGCTTTATTCTCGCTCTTTGTGCGTGTGTGGAAATTAGACAGGGCTGAGAACAACGGGGTCGACGGCGCAGCGATGCGGGACAGCGAAAGAAGGGCGCGAGAGAGAAAAGACGCCCGCAGAAGAAGAAATATATAATTTAAGAGTCAGGAGGAGTTTGTTCTCGGAGAAGCCGGCTGAAGAGGGGGGAGCAGGAATCAGGCGGGCTCGCAGGATGTCGAGCAGTGGCGATGATATATAAGTGGACTATATATCAATCAAGTCAGGCGGGCAGCAGTCACGGTCAGAGCAGACAGTGAGAGAAGCTGGTGGAAGCGGAGAATACGAGGAGTGACAGAGACGAAGAAGCCATTTCGACAGTGCAAGTCTTTCCTTCGCAAGAGAGAGAGAGCGAGAGAGAGACAGGAAGACGGTGGCTTAAGTAGATCGCGGGCAAGGACAGCGATATATATATGTATATTTGTATAAAGAAAACGGGCTCGAGAGGACGAGACAGCAGGAGGACAGGACAAACGGACAGGACGGCAGGCTGCTGATCCCTTTATATAGTGTTGATATCCGCAAGGAAAAGAAAAAGAAGAATAAGAAGCAGAATAAGAGAAAGACGAGCGCACAAGAGTTGTTGCGAAATAAGAGTTGGCAGCGACAGGACAGTCCGACCAGCAACGGCGAAATCTGCGGTTTCTATTTATTCAACAACAATTTAATGGGGGCCCTTTTTTGCTTCTTCTTCGTCTTCTTTTCTTTTTCCTCTGTTATCCTTCTTCTTTTGCTGCTGATGCTAATGCTGATGCTGCTGCTACTGTTACTGCTGCTGCGCTCAGCCTGGTGCGAGAAAATAAAATGACTGTGTTTCCATCCCCCCTGGACCGTGGACCAGAGTTGCATGGCATGGCATGGGGCCGTGGGCAAGGGGGGAGTAACCGTGAGTTCATAGTCACTGTCATTCCCGAAGCCAACAGGGAAGGGGAAACCCTGGAGACGAACTCATAGCAGCAAGGACATATAGCCCTGTCCCCGTCTCTTCCTTGAGTGAAAAGTCCGAAAGACTGACTAGTTGAGTGTGTGTGTGGGAGTTTCTTTTCCTTGCGACGGCGATCTCGAGGGGAATGAGAGTTCGTCCGCCATCCCAGCCAGGTCATATTTATACTCCTTATATAGTTAAGGACAGAGTTATTATGTTATAACCAACAGTCTGTCGGGCAGCAAGCTTCTTGTCACAGCGCAGCGTCCCCTGGGCTTCCTTGGAAGACAGGGCGCCTCCGAGCTTCTGCGAACGCTAGAGCCTGGCATGGCGCCGTCGCGGATCGCCATGGGGTAGAGAGAGGCGTGGCTGACGGAGGAGGCCTGCTAGTCGTTGCAGAGGGAGAGTAGAAGTGGGATAGGTCGCCGTCCATGGCCAGGCGAGGGCTGGTCGCTTTTGCCAGCCATCTTCCCGGTTCTCTTTCGATAGTCGGAGCAGGCGGTGGGATAGTTTGGTCTCTCCGATGGCTGAGATGCGCGATGGCGTTCGTTTGACTGCCTGGCGTAGTAGACGAGTAGACGAGTAGAAAATATAATAATAGGACAAGGCGTAGATGCAAAGTAGCGTCTCTCTTGCCGTGACGTCACTTGGGCGTTTGGGTTCGGCGGGCGTCGGGACGGCGGTTTTTTGGGTATCAGTGGTATCAAAAGACGCGATGGAGAGAAGAAGAAGAAGAAGAAGAAGAATAGAAGAAGAAGAGAAGAAGAAGAAGGTTAAGATTAAGGATAGGGATAGATACTTGCAGTCCTTTTATGTCTGATCATGAATCATTTGCTCTTTGCATTTCTCTATCCAGCTCGCCAGCCTACAGCGCTTGCAAGATCTCGTAAGTAGGTACCAGAACCAGCTTCCAACCAGGCACAAACAACAGAAAAAAAGGAGTAAAGGGCAAAAGGACGTGGCAATCAGCATACCAGAGAGGCCTCCCATTCATCCCTTCTAGAACCTCCTACTCCTCCTTTTTCTTCCGTTTCTTTCTCTTTCTTTTCCGTTTTCTTTTTGCTTTGTCAAGATAAAACAGGGACATGACCACAACACCGTGATAAAGACGAATTCATGCAATGCAGTTGCAGGATTTTTTGGGAAGAGACCAAGGAAAACGAATGGGAGAAACATGGAGAAAGGCAGGAAGAAAGGAAAACGAATATAATTATCATCAAAAAGGCATTAAACAACCCAGCCAAGTAACACGACTTTAAGCAAAGGGGAGGAGAAAAAGCGAGAGAGAAAAAAGAACAAGGTAGAAAGAAAGAAAGAAAAAGATCACTTCCTCAACTGCTCCCTCTCAACCTCATACATAAAATCGTGATAGGACTTGTCAAAGTGGTGGGCACGTACGTAACCGTCTTCTCCGCCAGACGCATAGCCGACGCCGGCAGGGTGGACGGCGATCGTGTTCAGGGGACCGAAGTGGCCCCTGACACGGCCGATCTCGTCCTCGAATATCTTATGGTAGAATCGGGCCTCGAACTTTCCTTGTCTGGCGGAGGTGGTGGTGACGTCCATGGCAGCCTGGCACCGCCGAGCACGACAAAATTCTTCTTTGCCGTTATGGCAGCCGTGTTGAGAGGTGTGTCGGCCGTGTAAGTCTTGAGGATTTTCGAGGGTGCTTGATGAGAGGATCTAGACCCGGTTTAGTATGACAAGAAATGCGGCAACTGCATGAAAATAAAATAAAAATAAGAATAAAAGTGAGTCGCACCTTGGCCGATTTGTCGGAGCAGGCGGTGATGAAATATGTCCTGTCAGCGGAGAACTGTAGATCGGTGATCTTGCAGTCCAGCTCGTGAGCCTGGACGTTTTCTAGCTGGTCGCCGCTCTGTACACCCTGTTAGATGCTGCAAGCCTCAATAAAAACATGGATAAGCTTATTCGAGTGAGTCATTTTTACCTTTGCGTCGTACTGACTGATGCTTCCATCCTCGTGTCCAGCAATAATGTACTTCGCCAGGTAGCTCCAGCCGGCAACAGTAGCCTTGCTCTCCTCGCAAGTGATTTTCAAGATAGGCTCGTCAGCCTGCTCGTGCAGGTTGTTCCCCTCGCCATCTCCATAGGCAACATCGAAAACGACGATGGTACCCAGGTAGCCCATTCGCTTCTCGGTGACCGCCAACAGCTTCGATCCATCGGCAGAGAACTCAACTCGCTTCACGGCCGTAGGGAAGTCCCATGTCTTGACGCACTCGCCGGTCTTGATGTTCCATAGTTTGACGGTGTTATCTGCTGCCCCGGAAGCGAGCAGAACAGTGTTGGGAGATGGGTCGATGGTCCATAGTGCACCCTGGTGGCCGGAGTAGGTGCCCAGTCGCTCGCCGTTGGCATAGTACCAGACGCAAATGTTCTTATCCTTAGCTACTGAAAAGAGCAGGTCGCCATCCCGCGAGAATTTGATCTGGGTCAAGGCTCGTTCCTAGAAACAGCGGGTTAGCTGGCATTTCGAATTTTGAATTTGCGTGGGGGGGAGGTGACGCTATGCAGAGGGATGTCGAAGAGATAAGAGGGGCACGAACATGACCCTGGAGGAGGATTGGTCTCATCCTGTGTGTGGTATCTGATAGAACTGTGTGTGCGTATGCAGAGAGCCCGTCTTCGTGAGTCTGTGTACGTGTCTGGCCGTGTTAAATCTTGCCTTGCGCTTCGTCTTTCGCCTTCGACTTTTCTGGCTGTGATATTTTTGTTCGCCCACACAGAAGTTTTACATCATGGCTGACTAATACGGATTTTTGTTGTTCCTTGATGCCTGGTCTGTGCAGATTTCAAGCGACGCAAAAGGCAAGAGAAAGAGACACAGGACATTGAAGAAGAATGCGCGAAAGGCTCCGTCCGTTCCCAAGACAAACAACCGTCCGGTTATCGAGTCTTGTGTTAAAGCATATATAAGGCAGTACGGAGTAGCACATGATATATTTCCCCTGGGCCAGGTACTCCATTACCCGACTATGATGACGGCCTTAAGCTACCGACCTACTATCTTTCAACGGCCCAAGACAAAGCCACCTCTGGGCTCGCTCAGGCAATGGCTAAGTCGTCCAGATAGTTCGAGTTGATAGGCCCGGATTCAAAAAGGGCCATTGGTTCAAAGGCACCTGCCGAGGGTTCCAGGTCATCTTCAGCTGAATCTTCACCATCTATCTACGCCTCTAGCGTCTCATGTCGTTACTTTGCTCTACATGCCCACAAGACTGAGTATGAAAGAGGAGTACTTTCCCTAGTTGAAAATGCTTTTGAAAATACTTGCACGGGAAAAAGGTAACAACACAGAAAATCGGACCTTCTGGCTATATCCTTTGTGGCTCCTTAATATCTTATCTTTAATAATCGATACTAGTTATGAGCAGAAGCATACGCCACGGAAGGTGGCATTGAATATGAAGCAGCTGGAAACAATTGAAGGTAAAATATCGGTTTACACATCGCATTGCATCTGCTCGCCCAAGTAACCGACAAGATCCCCAGTGTCATGTAAATCAGACTTTAGCAGTCGCTCTAAACGTTGAGTTAGAACGCATTCTTGTCATGATTGACTCTCAAGGAACCGTATAAGTCGCTATTGAAGACGGCCAAAACTTATTTGGTGGCAGCCGCAGAGATACGGAAGGTCACCCTCGCCCGAAATCAACTTTCCCGATATGAACTTCGTTTAGCGTATTCTGAGGAGCAAGGTAGACCAAAAGTAACTACAGATATAAGGAGGTCGTTACATCATGTTCCTGGCAAGGATATCAATTAGTATGTATAAATTCGTGATTTCCGGGACTCCGAGCGCGGAAAGGGTTGATATTATCCTTGGCAGGGACAAAAACATCTTAGCAGTTCCCTAAACAGCCGTATTTAATCTCAACATCGGACAATGTATAATGCACCCAATGTTAAGATATCAATACAACTACACAATGAAATCTGTGTGCACAAATATAAACTCTATAGACGCATAAAGATGACTAATTGCGGATTTTTATAGCATAAAAAAGTTTAATTCATTCGGACCGCCCCGAAAACCTTAAAATATGGATTTAATGGATTAAGGATTTGAATCTGGGCCATACACTGAACTGCACAAAGTCCGTTAAGCGATTTTCTTCTAATAATAGTCGTACCTCGAAACCTTACTAGGGCTTGACTGGTAAGGGTGCAGAGCAACTTCGATTGCCAAAGCGAAGGTGGCAATACCATCATACTTACAAACAATAATAATGGCGCTATAAAGCTTGATGTATCTGGGAGGAAAAGAAACTTGTGAGTGAAACCTGATTTATTTAGTTAATTGAATAGCACCGAAGAAACCAGAACGAATATCACCGGGAGCTATAAACGGTTTGAAGCGGCCTAAGGATATATCTATATACACTCTATGCTCCAGCATCTGGTGGTAATAGAACATTTTTAGTAGCCATTTTTATATCAGTGTTAAGTAGAATTCCCAGATATCACTGGATCCAGCCTTTCGATTAGATACTATGTAGCATATCGGCGCTGTTTAGCCGGGTGTTATACACCCATTAGTAAGTTCATTATAATTAATTTAAGATGTAAATATCATGAAAGAACTTCCTTGGAGAGAAGGGGGTATTTACGGTAAATCTTTGGTTCTGCGGGTTGGATGATACCAAGGCCATGCCCGTAACGATTGAACAGAGCCTTAAGAATCTTCCCATGACTCCATTTGTGTTCCTTGAAGGATATGTATATCTCCAACAAAATAGATTACTTTCCCTTGCTGTATAACTCTAAAGAGTCCAACGAGCAAAACAAGGAGCTAAAGAGTACTTGTAACCTCAAAGATGCTGGAGCTTGAGTTAGTAAGGAAAAATTGCACCACCTCGGCAAGTATATCGATTTGGTTTATGTTAATCCGTCAGAGGTACAGCTCCAATCTGCTGACCACTAACTTGTGTGGGGTCACTCTTTTGCCCCAGTCATTTTGATATTATGCTATATGTTCGGGGATTGTCATTAGGACTTGGCAATGTTGTGTGAGGAGTACGTTGTTCAAATACTTTCTTTGGACTATTGCTACTAGCGTCACAGAACATCAATATATATTCTGAGAATGGACCAGCCATGCAGAAGTTGCTAAAAATAGTAGCTGTCTCTCCTAGTGATTGTATAAAAGGTGGTATATCAGGCTTCGTAAAAGACGTGGGTATGTACTGGCAAAGGACAAAGGTAAGCTCTTCCATCTCCGTCTTTCTGCTCTTTTCTGGAATCAATGCAGCCAACCAGGGTATATTATGACGATTTCCGAGGGATATGTAGCGGTAAGGCTAGAGACGATTTGAATAGACAGTAAAAAGGAAGAGGCTTCTCTCAGTTGCAGCGTTGAACCGATATACTAGGGCATGTGTGTGGAAGTCGCCAGAGAGTAAAGACAGCCATTGACTTGATTATAGACCAATAGTTGTCTCTTCTGACGCAGAGCAGGGGAATTGTGCCTTTTGGTTGGCCGTAGAGTCGACCGTGTAAGCGTGCTTTCAGGTATCATCAGCCGCGGCTAAGTACCTAGGTAACTGACTAGGTAGTTAGTCGTTTGTAGGGCTCGTTAGCGGTCCACAGAGGTTTATCGCCATGGCTGTAACCAGGAGAGGCGCTGTCAAGGACGGTACGCTCTGTCACATTGACGTAGACAGTAAATCTCATATCGGCATCTTCATCTGTCCATCGAGTAACACGCTATCTAATCTACATCTACCCGTAGCTTAACTAGAGCCTCAGGGGCGACTTTATCTTATCAGTCAGAATTTTCACCTCAAAAGACGACGGACATGAAGAGCCGCCATCATGACGACCAGAAGAGAATAACCAAGAAAAGAATAAGAAGAACAAGACGAAAGATGCCAGCAGCGGCATGCCTCGTCCTGTCCTCTCGTCGTCTTCGCTGCTGCTGCTGCGCCGGCGGCCTCTCCTCCGCCTGACAGCTGCAGCATCCTCCTCCCTGTCGCCGGCCCCGCCCGCCCTCGCCGTCTCCAACTACTTCAGCTCCTCTCCCCGCGCCGCCTCGTCACTCCTGCTTCCTCTCGCTCACGCTCCTCCCCCCTCCTTCTCTTCTTCCGTATCGCCATCGCCATCGCCATCGCCATCGCCATCGATAGACCAAACCTCCTCTGCCCGACAGCCGACCACTGCCGCAGCCATGGGAGCCTCCAAAATAGACGGCACTGCCATCGCAAAGGCCATCAGAGAACGCCTGCACGGCGAGATCAAGGAGACCCAACAATCGAACCCGCGCTTCAAGCCTTCCCTCGTCATCTACCAAGGTGAGCCGTTCATCCTCGACTGGTTATTGGGAATACAAGTATACTGACTGCAATGCGACAGTGGGCGACCGATCGGATTCCAGTACGTCCACCCACCCTAATAACCACCGCTTCAAAGTGGCTTGCTGACCGGACAGGTACCTATGTTCGCATGAAGCTCAAGGCTGCTGAAGAGGTACGCTCTTTTATTACTCCACCTATCTCTACTGCATGTCCCTTATACTGATACCCTGGTTAAGGCATCCATCATCTGCACACATGTCCAATTGCCGGCGGACACCCCTCAGTCTGATATACTCGCTCGTATCACATCCGACAACAATGACCCCTCCGTTCATGGCATCTTGGTTCAGCTGCCTCTGCCAGATCACATGTCTGAGCATGCCGTTACCTCTGCTGTTTCTCCCGACAAGGACGTCGACGGTTTCGGTACCTTGAGCATCGGCGAGCTGGCCAAACGTGGAGGGAAGCCAACCTTCATTCCATGTACTCCCCAGGGTGTCATGGAACTGCTCTATGCTAGTGGGGTAGAAATCGCTGGCAAGCATGCCGTTGTCCTTGGACGAAGTGATATCGTTGGCAGCCCCGTCAGCTACCTGCTCAAGAACGCCGATGCAACGGTCACTACATGCCACTCCAGGACAAAGAACATTGAAGAGATCATTAAGTCGGCTGACATCCTTGTGGCCGCCATTGGGAAGCCAGAGTTCGTCAAGGCGGACTGGCTCAAACCTGGCGTGGTAGTCATTGACGTTGGAACCAACTACATACCCGATGCCAGCAAGAAGTCTGGCCAGCGGCTTGTAGGTGATGTCGACTACGCAGCCGCCGTGGAGGTGGCCTCGCAGATTACCCCTGTTCCCGGTGGTGTAGGCCCAATGACAGTAGCCATGCTACTTCAGAACGTTGTCAAGTCCGCACGCTCCTACTTTAACAAGGAACGTAGCCGCATCATCAACCCGCTCTCCATCACCCCCAAGACACCAGTGCCCTCTGACATTGCCATCTCCCGGGCTCAGCAACCAAAACCAATTACTCAGGTTGCGTCTGAAGTAGGCATTGCACCCCATGAACTCGAGCCCTACGGCCACACCAAGGCCAAGGTCAGTCTCGATATCCTCTCCCGCTTGGGACATCGTCGAAATGGCCGATACATCCTCGTCTGCGGTATTACGCCTACTCCCCTGGGCGAGGGCAAGTCCACAACTACTATGGGTCTCACTCAGGCCCTTGGGGCTCACTTGAACCGCGTCGTTTTTGCCAACGTTCGCCAGCCTAGCCAGGGCCCAACCTTCGGCATCAAGGGAGGTGCTGCAGGAGGTGGATACAGTCAGGTCATCCCCATGGACGAGTTCAACCTACACTTGACGGGAGACATTCACGCTATCACCGCAGCAAACAACCTGTTGGCCGCTGCCCTGGAGACTCGTATGTTCCACGAATCCACCTCGCCCGACGCTGGCCTGTACAGGCGCCTTGTTCCCGCTAAGAAGGGAAAGCGTGAGTTCCAGCCGATTATGTTCCGTCGGTTGAAGAAGCTGGGAATCACCAAGACGGATCCTAACGAGCTTACTCCTGAGGAGATCAAGAGATTTGCCAGACTGGACATTGATCCAGAGACCATCACCTGGCGTCGTGTCCTGGATGTCAACGACCGACATCTACGTACCATCACCGTCGGCCAGGCTGCTACTGAAAAGGGCCATACCAGACAGACCGGCTTTGACATCTCTGTGGCATCCGAGTGTATGGCCATCCTAGCTCTCAGCAATGACTTGGCTGATATGCGTGAGCGACTGGGCCGCATGGTAGTTGCCTCATCCCGCTCCGGTGAGCCTGTCACCTGTGACGACATCGGTGCTGGCGGTGCATTGACTGCTCTCATGAAGGACGCAATCAAGCCAAACCTGATGCAGTCTCTCGAGGGAACTCCTGTGTTCGTCCACGCCGGCCCCTTCGCCAATATAAGCATCGGCGCCAATTCAGTGGTGGCTGACAAGCTGGCTCTTAAGCTGGCCGGTACTGAGCCAGATGAAGACCACGACTCCACTACTGGCTTCGTGGTGACCGAAGCCGGCTTTGACTTCACGATGGGTGGTGAGAGATTCTTCAACATCAAGTGCCGCTCTTCAGGCCTTGTACCAGACACGGTGGTCATCGTCGCTACTGTTCGTGCATTGAAGGTCCATGGTGGCGGGCCAGACATCACCCCCGGAGCCGCACTGCCAGAAGCTTACAGAAAGGAAGACATAGAGCTGCTACGAAAGGGCTGTGTAAACCTACGCAAGCACATCAGCAATGCCAAACGCTATGGCGTCCCTGTGGTGGTAGCCATCAACGTCTTCGAGACTGACACCGCTGCCGAACATGCCGTCATCCGCGAGGAGGCAATCGCAGCAGGCGCCGAGGACGCAGTGCCAGCAAACCACTGGGCCTTGGGCGGCAAGGGAGCCGTCGAATTGGCCGAAGCAGTCATCAAGGCATCCGCCCAGCCCAAGAACTTCTCTTTCCTGTATGGACTGGAGGGAAGCGTGCAGGAACGTATTTCCACCATTGGCCGGGAGATGTACGGTGCCAGCGCAGTCGAGTTCAGCGAGCTTGCTGCACGCAAGGTTGAGATGTATGAGAAGCAGGGCTACGGCAATCTGCCTATCTGCATTGCCAAAACACAGTACTCTCTCAGCCACGACCCGGCTCTCAAGGGAGCCCCAGAAGGCTTTGTGGTGCCCATCCGGGACGTTAGACTTGCTGTTGGAGCTGGATACTTGTAAGTTCTTCCCCCATCGGATCCTTTATATTTTCATAGCTAACTGAAGCACTTAGATATGCCCTTGCTGCGGACATCCAGACGATCCCTGGCCTGCCTACTGCTCCAGGCTACCTGAATGTTGATGTCGACGCTGAGACAGGCGAAATCGATGGGCTCTTCTAGACTGTGACCCCAAAACGAAAAAGACAAAGAGAGGGCTACTTCAACCTGCCTTCATCTCTATAGATGTAAATACAGCTCCCCCTGGAATAGATATACGGCAACCTCCACCATAAGTTGTGGACAGTGGCAGAACGTGTAACTTAGTTGCCCAGTTAAATAGAGAAACCATTTCTAGTTTAGGAAATCTTCAAAGGAAAAAGACTTGAGGTTATAAAGTACAATGCTATTTCTAGTAGCTATCTTAGTCACCAATATTCTAGCTGCACTGATGATACTCGGTCAGAAACTCGGATTTTTCAAGCTTTCATCTTGAATCTTTGAGAGGCTTTTTCCTGATACTCCCAACATCAGAAGCTAGGCTGATAGACCGGTATCAAATAGGCAAACATTCGCTCACGAGTTAACAGCCTCCTACCATGTGACCCCAACTACCTAGGTAGGTTAAGATTGCCGCCGCTAGTTAACTAACTGATGGGAGCAGCGGAAGAGGCTCAGGGCATAACTAATAATATCCTACCACGAAGTAAAATCGGTGTTTCCCTTTGGGCATTAACAGCCACAAAAATATGATGTCATTAGGGTAAGCTCCGATGGAGAGAAGGTTGCGGCGGCTCCCTCTTTACCTTACCGGATAAGCAACAACAAGAGAATAGCCGAGTGTACTTATATATGTGTGCCAGTCTCCATCTAACCAATCAATGTGCACGCTCTTTAAGAGTTATGGTTATAATTGCTCTGTATCTCTAACTTTAATCACTGCGGCTCAACTATACTTCTTAAACCGCTTGCTTTACTACTTATTCGGTGTTGTTGTGTCTTATATTCTACCATTTTCTCCTGGACCTTATAGCTGTCAACCTTAAAATACTTCTAACAACATTGGAATGTCAAAATCGTATCCTCAATGATTCATGTTAATGCAGGAACCTAGATACTGATTTTCTTTTCTCTTCTCCGGATAACACCATTGTTAACACAGATATCCCATACGTTACGGATGCGTTCCCATCTGGCACAGCAGTATCTTCCTGATGATTGTCTGCATGTCGCAGCTCCTATTCAGCAAACTAGCTGGTGCTACCGTCGGATCTATAACATCACTATGTTCTTATTCCTCGTTGGCTCAGCTCTCTTCACGATATTTAAACTCGACACAAGCATGGGCCGATGAATTAGGTATCAGATTATATTTGCCATCGGGCCAGCTTTGTTCAGCGTAACTCCCATTATGGTCGTCCAAGGCCACTTCACCCGAAGGACGTTCCAATCGGCTCGAGCATGGCGATGATGAGAAGGTAAGCCTTCTTTCGGCCACATGACACAATCTAGATAGAGTATATACACTCTGTGCTGATATTGTCTATTTGCCGTAGCACCACATTTATATCCGTAGCTCAAGTTATAATCATTCTGTCAAGAGGGAGGTCAATAAAATAATAATATATTGAAGCTATCGGACTTTGATATTGACTTGAAGTTAAACCGAACTCTGTCCCGTTCAACCTGATGACTAAGCTGGCCAGACTCCTGTCGCTGACAAAGTCCTGCTGAGTAATCTTCCGCCTGGAGTAGCCGGCGCCACCTTTTTCGCCCTGCGTCATCCTGGCCTTGTTGCCCTTGCCCTTGCCCTTGCATATAAATGTAAGTACATCCTTACGCGGTGACCAGTGCCTGATACTAGAGCTACCCCTCTCGGAGGCTGGCCGAGCTAAGTGTCGCCAGTTCGTCATGCCCATGAACTCCCGCAGAAAGCCCGTAGAGATAATAACACATATTTACTTGGAGTTCGTAGCAAGGCCTGGTAGTCGAATATGTTAGTTCAGCATACTTATGCAGAGGGAGAGAGACGCGGGATACTGACTAAGCAGCCAGAAGAGCCGAGAGCCGGACGGGCGGAACAAGATTCTCCGTCGCCCCCGCGGGAGGGGTAGCTTAGTCAGTATAAAGTTTCCCGACGAGGCAGAAAGCCGACGGAGCAAGATGCGCCGCGGCAACTTTTGGTTACATAGCGAAGACGCCGAAGCGGGCAGCGCAGCGCATCATAAACAGCCGTACAGACGTACCATCTTGACGATAGTTTAGTGTTAAGAAACACAGGAGATAGCTGGAACACGTTTATTACATCACAGTACCATCTACGTCTGTGGAAATACAGACAGACAGATATAGAGACAGACTTTTGAAGGAGAGATCTACGAAACAGCCGGTGCAGCGAGCCAGGGGTGGGTGAGCTCCAGGAGTCTAGTTAGTTGGTTACTTTGCGTTGCATGGGCAGTCGGCCGACTTTGCGGACGTTCGTTCCTCTTGATCTCAAAATTGCCGGCGGCCTGGGAACGGGATATCCCCTCTCCATCGTCAACATATACAATTTGATGCTGGTTCTCTGATATCCTCAAGATATTCTGTCTTGATATTGCTTTCAATTCAAGATAAGCCATATACATAACCCACTAGGGTTTTTGCTATCTCCGGACCAACCAAAATCGCGGTATTATATCTCAACCGCACCGGATATACACAGACAGACAGGCCAAACTCCACTCGAGATTTTTCCTACCGGCCATCCCACCGTCAACCCCCTTAACCACTTCTAGCGCCTTATCCACCGGAGGATCTGACAGGGCAAAGCTAGCTAGCTGACTAGCTGCGAGAGGGAGGCGCTGAAACTCGCACATCTCCCCACCACCAAGCATATTCGTTCCTCATTGCATCCGCCGCACCCCCAACGCCGGAGACCACGAAGGAATTCGGAAAAAAAAAAAAAAAAAAAAAAAAAAGCGAAGCTGTACTCCGTATAAGAAAAATCCAGCCAAAAATATAACTAATAGAAGCATATTGACATGGCTGCTGTTCGGCTTACTTCCGGCCATTTCCGCCAGGGTTGCTGCTGGGTTATCCGCTCCCGCTGCCAGCCCACCTGTGCCTCCGCCTCCTCGTCGTCTGTTTTAAACACGGGAAGTCGCCTTTTCTCGACTGTCGTGAACAGGCCTGCTTCTTTATCCGCATCTTCGTCTTCTCAGTCTTCACTGTCGTCTTCTGCATACGTGCGTCCTGCGCTGCCGAACGCTCTTGACCACTTATCTCTTGTCCACGGAAGAAGCTCCTTCACACGCAACATGTCGGCTGCCAGGCGGAAGATCGTGGTCAAGAACCCGATTGTCGAGCTCGATGGAGATGAGGTATGTATCGGTTCCCATTCTCATTATTGCGTCTTGCTTTACTTTTAGGTAATTGCTGACGCCGAGTAGATGACCAGAATCATCTGGCAAGATATCAAGGACAAGGTATGTTCATGGGCCCGTCTATAAATATGATCGATACGTCCCTATGCTAACAGTTCAAATATAGTTCATTACACCGTTAGTATTGTCCGGATCCTTCAGAGGGAGGGGCAATTGGCTAATAGATAGACAGATACCTTGAAGTTGACCTCAAGTACTATGACCTTGTAGGTTTAGTTAGATTGATTCCAGTTATTGCTGGGGAAACAATTGACTGACATTGGAACGAACAGGGCCTTGAGTACCGTGACCAGACAGACGACCAAGTCACCGTTGATGCCGCAGAGGCCATCAAGAAGTATGGCGTTGGTGTTAAGTGCGCCACCATCACCCCTGACGAGGCTAGAGTGGAGGAGTTCAAGCTGAAGAAGAGCAAGTCTACCACTCCCGGCTATACACTTTGTCTCTTCTTGCTAACATGTTGCCTCAGTGTGGCTATCTCCCAACGGAACCATTCGAAATATCCTGTAAGCCACTATCGTTAAGCAGAACAAGCGTGCGAGAAAAGTCACTAACGTAGTTATAGTGGAGGAACCGTCTTCCGTGAACCCATTGTCATCCCTCGCATCCCCAAGCTCGTCCCAGGCTGGAAGAAGCCTATCATAATCGGCCGTCACGCCTTTGGTGACCAGTACCGTGCCACAGACCGCCTCATCCCTGGTCCCGGCACCCTAGAGCTCGTCTACACCCCCGTCGGCGGAGAGCCAGAGCGTATCCAGGTATACGACTTCAAGGGCCCCGGTATTGCCCAAACACAGTATAACCTCGACGAGTCTATTCGAGGATTTGCACATGCCAGTTTCAAGCTGGCTAGCCTTAAGGGCCTGCCCATGTACATGAGCACCAAGAACACTATCCTGAAGAAATACGATGGCCGCTTCAAGGACATCTTCCAGGAGATCTACGATAAGGAGTATAAGGCCGACTTCGAGGCCAAGGGTATCTGGTACGAGCACCGTCTCATCGACGACATGGTTGCTCAGATGATCAAGTCTGAGGGAGGCTATGTCATCGCCATGAAGAGTGAGTTTAACCCCATTCACTTTGATCAAGGCACCCCCAAACACCTTTTTTGGATATATGGTATATGGTATTAACTTGACCAGACTACGACGGTGATGTCCAATCCGACATTGTTGCCCAAGGTTTCGGTTCCCTCGGACTCATGACCTCCACCCTCACCACTCCCGCCGGCGATGCCTTCGAGTCCGAAGCTGCCCACGGTACCGTCACCCGCCACTACCGCGAACACCAGAAGGGTCGCGAAACCTCTACCAACCCCATTGCCTCTATTTTCGCCTGGACCCGAGGCCTGGTCCGCCGTGGCCAGCTCGACGAGACCCCTGAGGTCGTCCACTTCGCCGAGCAGCTTGAGCGTGCTTGCGTTGAAGTCGTTGATGTCGAAGGCATTATGACTAAGGACTTGGCCTTGGCATGCGGAAGGAAGGACAGAGAAAGCTGGGTTACCACTAAGGAGTACCTCGCTGCTGTTGAGAAACGGCTACAGAAGAACCTGGGTGAGGAGACCAAGCTGTAGAAGTAGTTGGTAGTTTGTTAGATCTAGATAGATGGAATAAATTATCTCAGTTCTACTCCACCTCTTCACTAATTTAGCGGAATTTACAAGACAATATTAACGAGCATAAAATCGTAATGTATTCTACTACTATAACTGAAGCGTTGTTTATTTATTTCGTCAAAAAAAAAGAAGAAACGATAAAGCCGGACGAGCAATATGTCACGTGTGATGTTGTCTCTTTTGCCTTTCCCGCCAGAACAATAACGCCAGCTAATTTGACCAGCAGGGAACAAAAGATAAACAGGAAGAAAGCAAGGTTGTCATGAAGAAGCAGAAGAAGAAGCTAAGGAAAAGAGTAAACGAGAGTGAGTTCGTTTACTTCTTCTTCTTAGGGAACTTCTCCTGCCCAATCCCCGATCCACGCAATTTGACGTTCAGCACCCTCTCCATCGCGGCCAAAACCTTCTGGTCCGGGGCAGCGGTTCCACGCTCGAAATCCTGGACGACGGAGACGGTGGTGTTGCATTTTGTAGCAAGCTCCTTCTGACTGAGCTTGATACCATCTTCGTTTCGGCGGCGCTTGATCGCATCTCCGACCTCGTGTCCAACGGTCTTTGGCTTGACGATTTCATCTGTTCGATCGACCTTGGTCAAATGTTGGCCTTCTACGGCCGGACGACTGGACTAGAGCGGATGTTAGCTATATTGTTCCTTGAGATGGGCTTGCTTCGCGCTGCCTTTCGGCTACGTATGAATGGGTTGAACGTACAGCGTTGCCAGTGGCGTACTTCTTCTCAGTGCCGACGATCATACCTGATCGTGCGGCAGCGTTAAGAGCAGAACGGCCCTTGACGACAGTCTCGCGGGGCGCAGAGCCACCACGAGCTGCCTTGCCGATGACAGTGACGGTATCCCAGTCAGACATGTTGACGGACGTTTCTTATCGATATCTGTTGGGCTGATGTGGGGGACAAATGGCTTGGTACGCTCGACAGACGGGTATCGCTAAATGCAACGCTTTTTCGAGAAGAAAACAGAGCAGGAGTTGATAAGTGAAGCCCGGGATGGGAGTGGTCTTATATGTTGCGCAGGAAAAGACGGTGATGAAGGTGAGGATGAAGGTTGAAGCCTGAGAAGTGACTGTGAAAGGCTTAAAATATGACGAACGGCGAAAAGAATGTTCGAGAGTCCGATGGCGCTAAAGCCCGAAAGGAGTTAAGGAGATGACTCAGCCACGCAGCACACTTTTTCACCGCCTCCCGATCCGGATACCGGTGCTGAGTCATGATTAGTCTTAATCAACGTGACTTGAATTGGCTGACTGGCTGACTAAGTGTAGATACAGCATTATGGCAAAGGGCAAGAAGTAACTAATAGATAGGTATACAGCGTTTCAACCATAGTTCTCACAGCTTGTCTGACTTCCAGCCATGTTTCACATACCGCGCTGCTATGAACAAACCTGTAGCCAGCGTCAATGAGATCCCAGCAAAGAGTTGAGCATATAAATATGATCCCTTTCCCAGCGTGACCAAACGACCTCCTATGGGTGCTCCTGTCAGCGTTGCGAGAGCTATCAGGATAAAAACCAGTCCTACCCGCGAGGGAGAGTTTTTGCGGCTGCCCCCCATGAAACTAAAGACAGTTGGCAAGTAGAGACTCTGAATAGCCGCGGCAGAGAATCCATAGAAACACCCCGTCAGATAGATGCTCGTCACGGAGTCGACGCCGATCCATGAAAAGATGAAAGTCGCCGATACGAATGCGAAGGGTATAACTGTGTTTAGAGGTCCGAGGCAGGCATCGCTTATGATACCGGGAATGAGACGGCCCAGCATGTTGCAAGTATTCATGGCTATGAGCAGGTTAAGCGACATCTGCGGTGTCATATCTAGAATGTCTTGTCCAAATAACGATATCTATATTTATTAGCACAGCCAGATTAATATCATCTAAGGCTCCAAAGGAAACTTACGAAGTAGAAGCCAAAGTACACTCCCCAGAAGGAGAAGAACATTCCTATGCTCATCGTCAGCTAGCAATGATACATGGTAAAAGATGGAAAATAAATACCGGCAGCCATCAGCAGGTAAGAAAGATCTGTAAACATTGTCCAGTCCATGGTGCCGTTGGAGCTCCTCGGCACTCCGGGTCGTTCTCGAATTATAATTAAAGGAAAGATCATGGTGATTATGTTCACCAACAATATAACTATAATCAGTCAGTGATGGTTTGCGTTCCTGCATCTCCCTGTATAACCTACTTCGAAGGGTCCATCCAAACCCGACTTTATGGATGGAGTAATTGAATATAATTGGGTGTATCACACCACCTATAGAGTATTTTTAGCATGGCAACGGATGGAAACGGGTAAGAGATGGCAGTAACAAACCAAAACTAGATCCTACAGCCGCCAGGGCTGTAGCAATCCCCAAATTAGTAGAAAAATAAGTAGTAGTTACCGTGACTGCAGAAGTGAAAACAAGACCCATCGAGCAACCCATGAGTACACCCTGCACCAGAAAGAACTGCCACCACTCCTTGCAGAAACCGGTTAGCAAGATGGTTAGCATGAGGCCGACGGCGCCACCGCGGAAACAGAGCTTAAAGTAGCCCTTGCTAGTCAGGAGACCGACCAGAAGGAAGAGGGCGAAGTTAGCGAATATCTGGAAAGATCCTATCCAGGAGATTTTGGATGGGCTTGAACCTCGTAGCAATACTTTGGAGTAGTAAGCTTGGAAAACACCAAATGCCTATTGAGAGGATTTAGTAATAGTTCAGCCATGGTCAACCGGGGGGTAAGAAAGGTGAAAGTTTCGAGATAGGTTACCATATTCAGACCCCTGGTATTCAAAAGAGTAGATGTTAGTATGACGCAATATGGTAGTGACGATTTAGGCTGAACTCACAAGGTGTTGAAAGTGATGAAAAACCCTGAAGCAGCATGGGCCCATGCCATAAATCCACCATCAGGTGGCTCTGAGCAAAACTCATCTTGTTCCTCAGACAGAGACGGGAACTTAGGTCTGTCGCTTCGGTCAGCTACTCGACGGATCTCCTTTAGCTGTCCATATGACATAGGTTGGTAGTGGGATATCCCGGGAAAATCTGCTGGAGTGATCGAGATACCAGAGTTAGGTCGGGGACCTGGCCTTGTTCTAGGAACAGTAAGTCTAGAGACAGGTCTTTGGATGTGTTCGCTGGCGTATCTCATCGGTATTAGAGAACTTGGTTCTCGGGCCCATGGACTGGGAGAATGAGACGGCGATGTCATAGGGGAGCTGGCGGGTGACCTAGGCCGGTGTATAAGTCCAGGGCAGTTCATGTTTGAAGCTCTATGTGTGGGGGATAAAGGGATAAGTTGCTCTCCCGAAGATCCAGCGGAGTGAAATCTGTTTTGGCGATTAGATGACTGGGAATCGTCTTGCTGCTCAGCTGCCTGTAGCTGCTGTGCTAATGGGCGGGAAAAGTTTAGGTTGCTTCGCCTGGCCGCATTATTGCTATAATAGCTGTTTGCGAGGCTAGGTGGATTGCTACTGTCCGGCCCAAAGTCCATCATAAAGCAGAGTAAAGAGATCTTTGTAAGTGTTTTAGGTCCGAGTGTGGATATATAGCCAAAAGCTTCCGTCAAGTAATAGTTGTAGTAGTAGACAGACAGACCAGCCTTATCTTTCAGACAGATGATAGATAAGGTCCGCAAAAAAAACATGAAATAAATTCAAGATATATATGGGTGCGAGGGTATAGCTTGTTCACTTAGAGGGATCCGGATTCCCATCCAGATATTCACATAACTTGCCTATCATCACTAGGCTAAAGCCACCAGCAACAAAGAGGGTGCATGGTGGGAAAAGAGGGAGAGTGACTGATCGTCAGTTAGGGACTCTCAACCAGCTCCAGTTTGCATATGTCAAGGCAAATGCCATCCCCTAAGGAGAATTAACTTGCTCAAAGAGCCTGTGCTACCCTGTGAATATCAAGAAAGGAAAAAAGGTGAATATTCTATCCAACAAGTAAGAGGAAGTGAATTAAACCTCTGTTAAATATCATCTCCCGCAGACTTATATGGATCGGAGTTTCTTAGCTGGGTATAACCAAATGTAGTCCAACTCTACTCGTGGTATACGCAGGTATATCTTCATTCTCGAGATAGAGTTGGAAAAAAATTCTGATGTCGCTAATTAGCCTTTGTTTGCAATGGATCATCCCTCGTTGAATTAGGGGTTAAGAGTTGCATGTAACGAGCCCATGGTATGTGCAACCGTATGCAGTACCGAAGTGGTTGGGTTGCCATCTCTTTGTCGAGCACAGGAAGTTTCCGCAGAGAACCGGCCCTAGGAATCAAACGCCTCCCCGCGCTTGTTCCTGGTTCGGATCTAGCTCGGGACAAGATGAAGATTAACAAGCTTTCCTCCCTCCCTTGAAGATAAGGATTGGTATAACTATATAATATAACACTTGAGCGAGATGGGAGGTGTCGTGTGAGAGCGGGCAACCTTGGGAGCGGTCAGATAGTTACACTAACAAAGACCGTCCATGCATGTTCCTGCATTAGTTAACGGCGTCTTGTCTGCCACCACATCCGTCCAAGGCGACTGTCACTCCCCGCCGTAGGCAGGTTCCAACAGCCCGTCTGTCGACAACATTAGAAATTGGCCCGCGGAACTGTTGGACTTGCGTAGCGGGAGGTGCCCAGTGAAATCACGAGAGCACAGAGCACGGAACAAGGAAGCAGATTTGGCCGAGCCAGCAGGCCGCAGGTGCATACTTCGTATCGTATGTTTGAGTTGAACTATGCAGGCCAGCATAATTCGCGGCGCCTCGAAACGAGAAGGTCGGCCATCGTCTCAGCCCAGCGTCTATCAAATAAAAGACTATGCAAGGGAGTTAACCCAACACATCCCGTCCGTGTATACGGAGTAAACTAGTTAGCTCCCAGGAGTGATGGCCTGCCTGCTGTAACCGCGATCTCCAGCTGCAGCATATGTGTCGAATTGTCACTCCCCTGGCCTGGTCGCCGGCTCCGCTTCTCCGTACGTACTAACTTGTGAACCACTGAGTTAGCCCGCTTTTCGTCTTCTTCAGCCTTTCTATTTGCTTTTTCTCTCTTTTTTCTTTTCTTTGCATCCCTCGCTCGTCTTTCTTCTCTGCTGAGCTTCTTGTCTTGTGGCTGAGCCAGTGTTAAGTGTTAGGTAGATGACTCAGGTTGGCAAAAGCGGCGACGCGAGAAACCAGCCAAAAGAGACTCCTTTGCCGCGCCGCTTTAGCCGTCTCGCTCGTCCAGGGGTCTCACCCTCGTCCGCGACCTCAAACATCCGCGTCTTCCTCCTGCTCTGCCTCGTTCTTTTTCCTCTGGACAGGAAGGCCAACAGTAGCACAGGCAAGAAGGACAAGACCGAGTAGATCGACAGCAAAAAGAGCATCCGTCTACTGCGAGAAGCCACCGAGAAAACGACAACAAAGAGAAGAAGAAGAAGAAGAAGCGCAAGCGATAACGATAAGCAGCAAGAGAAAGTTGACTAAAAAGGGCCTGGATTGCACGTGAGTGCCACCTGATCAACTTTCAACCGCCATCAAGAACATCGAGAAGTTCATCCGCAACGCCGCAGCAGACCAACACCAGACATCAACCTCGCCCAGCACCCTTCTCCTCCATCGCCGTCTTGCTTCTCGCTGGGTTGTTTAGCAGTCCAGCCGTCGCTTCGAAGCGAGACCTCGTCCCTGCGTTACTCATACCCCCCAAAAGAAGCACCCTCGTTTGGGCGCCGTTCCCGTCTCTTCGTGGACCAAAATACTTCTTCACGCACGCACGCACACGATGTCCAACCACAACATCTCCATCGCCATGACCAACCGGTCTCTGCGGAATATCAGGACCGTTAGTCAATACCCTACTTCTATTGTCTTCTCGTTGATGGATGGCAATCCTCTTGTGGCCCTGGCGTCGTTGGACTGCTAGCTCATGTTTACATCGGCGCCTTTTTCTGCTTCTTCTCTTGTCCGTGCATGTACTGACCATGGGCGTTGAAATAGGAACTCGAATTTCTCGCCGACTCCTCCGTTATTACTCCTGCACAGCTGTCATCCATCCTTGAGCAGCTACCCAGTCAGACAGAATGCACGCTCCATTACATCAGCCCGTTACCGAGACGACATACTCGCCCCCGGCAGCCCAACTATCCAGAGTCAGCCTGAACGAGAAGGCCGAGAGCCCATACTCCAGTCCCCCACCCCCGCCAACATACTCTTCCGCTCCTCCCGTCCTGTCTCTTGCTTCTGCTCTCTATGCCTATACTCCAACTGATGCCGGAGACTTGGCACTGCAGCCTAATGACCGAATTCAGGTTCTCGAGCATATGAATAACGACTGTACGTATTATATATGCATATTGGGATTTATTTACTTTGCTTCTACAGGTACTGGTGGCTAACTTGTCTACAGGGTGGCGTGGCAGAAACGAGAGAACCCATCTTGAGGGTATCTTCCCGCGAACATACGTCAGCGTAATAGAGGAGAAACCCATCATCCATTCTCCTCAGCCCATCAGCTACAACAACATGCCCCTTGAGATATCACAGTCCGGCTCATCATCCCACGGAAAGGTGCCTAGCAAGTTCGAAGAGAACGGCAAGAAATTCGGCAAGAAAATGGGCAATGCCGGTTAGTCATTCTGCCACTTCCGTCACCTAAAAACACGCCGTTTTCAGCATTACTAATTCGAATTTTCTGTATAGCTATTTTTGGCGCCGGCGCCACCATCGGTTCAAACATCGTGAACGGTATCTTCTAAACCCACCGTTTGTATTACACTCCATATACCTCAACGGAAGAGAGAAATACCTTCTTGCGTGTACGCATGCTGTGATTTGTGGGAATATCTCCATTTTTTTTTTCTCATTTTGGATTTACTTCGGGACAGAACGGGACAAAAGAGTCCTGTTCGCATCGGTGTTAACGCTACTGGGCGGAGTTTTAACGGCTGGAAATCACCTTTTATTTCTATTTATTTTACTTTTGTTGGGCCAGCAACCAGTACCAACCCCAATAGCTGGCCGGTGTCCCTTGACGCCCACACGTCAACCCTTCGAGAGGTTGCTATTTTGCATTCGACACTCACGATACGAATGCATCCGGCACCAAAATTCCAGATTTATTCTGGATCCTCTTGGATCTATCAACGCCTGCCTCCTTTTGACCATGGCTTACAAAGGGACTACTATCACTCAATCCAACGGCATATTCTACCCCCACGTCATATAGGGATGATGAGTCTAGGGAAGCTGCATATCGACATACGACACATGGCTGGGATGGGATGGGATGGACTAGGTTTCTTTTGATCATGCTGCTACCACTTTTCAACTATTCACCCCTTTGGTCCTCCCCCTTTTTTACCCTCTTTTCCTTCTTGCTATAGACCCCCTTTCTTCGCCTTCTAAAGCCCCCCTTTATATATCAACTTCTCGTCTTTGTCTACAGCTTTCCCTCCTTTTTTTTTGTTCCCCTTTCTTCTCGGGATGCGGCGTGGCCTGAGCCTGTGGATTAACAAGTCGGCCATCCGCTCCTTCCTGCTTACATCTCTTACCACCTTGGATGAAATGCTTTGCTCCTTTCAACTGGTCACCTCCCATATCACCCGGTGATGCACGGCACTTCTTTTCTTTTGTATCATGACAAACTTGCTACTCTTATACCTGATCAAGCATCACTCCTCTAACATTCCTTTCCGTGGTTAATTTTTGTTTTCTTTGTCCTTTCTTGTCGTTTATCTCCTTTCTATCCGCTTATCTAGTCTAATTTAATTTAACCTGCGCTTATCATCCGCTATCTTGTTATTCTCGTTCGACCGTCCTTATGTATCCATATACCTTTGGCTATATAATGAGACCGGGTTTCTTTCCCCCTTTCCACATGCCCATACAGCTCACTCATGATAACTCACGGAGATTATGATAAACCTCTCTGCCTCAGAGAAAATCTTCCCATCCACCCCTGTACTTCAGCCCGGATTGAAATGCCAATTGAGCAACGTGCTATTTCTATTGCCTTTCACACTCTTTTTTAACTTGGCTATCGGAGTATTCAAGCAGAAAGTGCATACGTAGCATATGATGAAATGCGTCATAAGGGAATTGTCTCTCGTCCCTAGGCAAAAACAAGCAACTTTACCTTGCCGATTAAGCGATCCAGTGGTTGTCCTACGGTTAACATGTGTATGACAGGCCCCTCGTAAGAACGACAGCTGAACATCTGCATCAACCTGAACAGGCAAATCCAGTTGACTAAAAAGGAAGCCAAGTAGCACTAATGGGGAGCTGACAACCGAGCTTGTAGGCCAAGTTCGTAATCCAATTCTGTCTCGTCTCACTAATTCGAACAGCAAGCGAGAGTGATTGTGGCATTGAAAGGTGCCAACGATATGCCCTATGCCTCCTCCCTCAAACTGGCATCGTGTGTAACTCATTTCGTAACTGTATTTTTATAGTCGTATGACCTGATCTGCTTACTGCTTGTACAAAGTACAATCCAGTCGATCCAGTCAAGGTAGATATGAACACGACAGAGGTATGGCAGGCAGTGACTCGGGCCGCGCCAGTTGCTGCTAGATCGCTAACACGGGTTCAGCCAGTCTGCAACGAGGCCAGATAGCAAGACATGCGGGCCGGGTATAGATGCTAAATAATATGCGAAATAAGATGCATACTCTGCATTGCATTGCATGCCTCGAATTGAGACTGGCCATGGGATGTGGTAGCATTCCTTATTCGGGATGGCAGGATCCTTGTTGGTCCGCCGTCTTCCTTCTCGCTCTCCACATACACTGATTGTAAACTTGGATGCTTTGAACAGAAAGCATTTACATGTCAGGCTGGAGGAAGGCGAGTTAATCTTGATTTTGCAAATCATTAAGCGGGAGGCACGGATCTCATGATAAGTGTACATTGGAGGCACGAGGGGTGTCATAGCGGTAGTTCAAGATTTGCAGCAGAGCTGGTTATCACTACTATCACAACCGCCATGTTTCTTATTTGGCCAGGTAGGTTTGAAGTAGACATGACTTTTGAAAAGTTCGCTTAGTCTGGGAGGTTTCGCCTCGGGGAGCAGGGCGCGTCTTGTGGTCTGGAAATTGCCTGCATTGAGGTTATGATTTTGAGATTTGCCTCGTGGCTCCTGTAAAAAAATAAGGCCATTAGTTAGTTGTTTACAAGATTTTGTTTAGTTAGAGGGCAATGTTGCCACGCCAAGGGTAGTTGGTTTAATGGAATGAAATTGGATATGCTAAAGTGCAAATAAGCAAGGAATCAACAGCTCCGTGGTCTAGAACTAAACTAGGAAATTAATTTTGGAAATGTCAACCGGTGAATAGCGTAGCGGAGGTGGCAAAACGATCGCGCAAATGCCCCAAAAGAGTGCCGTTGTTTAAAGTATGGGCCAAGCCGACAGGCAACCCAGTACGGAGTAGTTTGGGCGGATATGTATATAACTAACTGACTGCCTATAGTTAGCTCTATGACCCGGATTATAATACCGTGTAAGGATGAGATCTCTCCCTATAATTTCTCTGGCCGGGGTATCGGCGAATCCTGGGTATCAGCGGAAAGGGTGATTGTTGGCCTTCTAGCTTTAGGGATATCCAAGAAATCATACACCACGCCTAGCCAGGGAAGGATAGATAGAATGGGCCACACAGTCGATGATATGGGCACCCTCATTATGCATGAGGCAAAACGGACATGCATGCCTTAGCAGACTGATTCAGCTATTAAGATATCAGCGAAGAAAAGACTAATTCTAAAGTACCCAACAAAGAAAGGTGTTAAAAGGGCAAGGGATTGCATTGTTAGAAACAGTTCCGAAGATGATAATGGATTTGAGCTCGAAGAAGGAGCAGGGATAGAAACGAACGTTTGGTGTGATCATGGATTAAATCCGAGCATCCCTTGTGCCTAAACATGTGGGAGATGGAAGGGGACGGATGCTTGGGTTACTTATTTAGTTACCAACGCATTTCATCTGGGGGTCGACCAATCGTGGGGTGGCCTTCTTACGCCCATCCCTATATTACCGCCAGTAAGTTGCCATTGGCAAACGAGAGCAGGGGATTCTGGAAAAATGAAAATGAGCAAAAAAGGAGAGAGAGATAAGGACACATGAGATCGACGATGCCCGCAAAAAGGAAAAAGAAAGGTAGTAAGTATAACTGTACCTATAAAATGACATTCCATATCGCCAGCTGGCTATCCATATGTCTGTATCGTTGATACACATGTAATTAAAGGTCACAAGGGAACCCCGTTTGGTATGGCATCCGTGAGAGAAGATGGTCGCCAATCCAACGGTTAAGTAGGAACGCATCTGTTAGAATGCCCCCAAGAAGATATGCCCCTTGCACGAGGATCTAGTTATCCAAGTTCCCGGGACACTTCACCATCTCCAGGACTCCGATAACTAGCAGATAGCATGAAAGTGGTATCTATCCGCTAGGGAAAACATCAAGCTAGAAGTCCGGCTTTCTTTTCTCTCTAGGATATCATTGTCAAGAACAGAACTTCAACGTGTAAGGGAAGTTCTGTAGTCATACAGTAGCCCTTCCTTTTTAAGTTGCGCTCCTGCCGAAGCTGGAGGCTACTTCAAACCGTTTTTGGTTTGCATAATCGAATGCCCAATCTGGGACTTCTTTCTCTTCCCTTTTTAAACGGAGTACCTTGGTAACTAATACAAATGGCCTTGTTCAAGCTCGGTACCCCTTCAATGCACACAGTTACGCAAAAGCATAGAACCGCGGGAGTTGAAAGCAAGACTGGTTCATATTGGGCTGTGTCTGGTTCAGCCTCAACCATGTTCATCACCAGACATTCCTTGGTTCAGTCACACCTTTACAACCATTTAACCACGGTTTACCCGAAAAGAAAACGGCACAGTTTAGATGACTGTGGGACGGATAGCGGACCCTTCCGTTAAGAACCGCCGTCTATTCAGGTGGAGAATCATGCTTGTGGTAAAAAGCTGACGACAGCTCAAAATACCGCGCGCCCTTTCGAAATGCGTGCTAAACTAATTAGCTAGTTATTTAACTGTCAATTGCATCAGCTATCACACCCTCTTCTAAGGAAACGGGAACTTTGGGACAAGCGAGACCACATCGCACAATCTTTAACTTACCGGGCAACCAATTGCGAGCGTTACGATGGCAGGAAGGGTTAAATGGAAGGGGAAAAAAGGCTAGAGGAGAGGATCTGACGGGTGAGAGACGGCTGGTAAAATAGCCTCATGTCTGTTCGCCGTTGAGCATGCGCCCTTTGGATTGAGTGGCTTGATGGTAGATTTGAGATATTTCACTCTCTTCTTCCAACTAGTTAACCAACTAGTTAGTTAATGCAGTTATGTGAGTCAACTCAAGGAGGCGAGAATCATTCTGCAGGGTTGGAATGTTGATGGCGCCGGAGAGAAGAAGAGTCGTAGGTAGTTGTTCCTTACAAGAGGTTGGAAGGTGAAGTTCAATGTTCAGATGGAAGGACGTTGAATTTAACAACAAACCCGTGACTTGATTTCCCAAAATGGTAAAAGAGACTTCACAGCTAGCCCAAGCGCCGGCTACAGTCGACTACAGCATCAATTGATAGAACATAAGGCGAAGAAAGCAGACAGAGAGAAGGAAAAAATGATTAAGATGGCTAGAAATCAGTAATGTACAACTCCTATGCCCCCCGGGATTTCTTTTTAAGGCCAAGCTAGTCTATGAAAACAAGTCATCAGTGGAGTCGAGGGACCCAGAGGAAAATAGAGAAAACGGTAGAAGGAGATAGGAAATGAGAAATGAAATAAAGAATAACACCAAAGCCGCCCAAGTTTTTTCCAGTTCCAGGTCATGAATGTCCCTCTTTCGAAAAAGAAAATGAAATGATGTATTTGAATTATGCACCTCCAGGGTTCAAAGAAAAAAGGGGATCGGGTATTTGACCACCCCACCGAGATGGCTAGTTTTAAGAGTGGGTGGGTGAGGAGAGTGTGGGAGAGGAAAGTGCCGTTTCCCGCTTTCGTGTAGGAGTTCATCGCATCCAGGATGGCCACCCTTGTTCACGGTCCTCCGTGGTCCTTCCAATTTAAGGACTGTCTTGTTATCGAGAGTCACAGATACAGAGATAAAGCGTTGGGTTGCATCGTGAACGTAAACGTAAAAAGTAGCACACAAGGCGATAAAGGGTTCGGCAGGATCGAATCTGTGTCCAGGCTAAATATGGACCGTTCCTCTGAGAGAGTTGGGTGTACTGCAGCGCCAGTAACTTTGAAAATAGGTCAAAAAAAGGTAGAAAATAAACAAAGGTATCCGTTCCCTGTGTGTGGGGGTCGATAATATGTCATAAGTAGTTGTAGAGTCGATATGGTCAAAACGTCGGTCGTATACGGGGATGAAAAGGATTCCCTTGTCCGAAGGCTACCCCGTCTGCCGAAGTTTCAAATCAAGCCGTCCGGCCTAGGAAGGGAGATGCAGTCGAATGATGCCACCCTTCGGAGAGTTGGTCCTTCGCTAACCTGACTAGGATGAGGCCGGGAGAGTCCACTAGTAAGTGGGAGGATGTGATGGTTGAAAAAAGAAGGGAGAAAATAGTTGTTGTGGCCAGCCAGGGGGGGAGCGGTTTATTCTTTTTTTTTTTTTTTTTTTTTTTTTTTTTTTTCAATTTGCTGCTTTCCGTCTTCCGTGCCTTGTCAAAATCGAAAAAGTGTTATTCGCGGATGCTTGAGGGTCGGTGATGCGGAAACGGGAATTTCCTTATCTGGATGCCTGCATGCATGGATGCGACATCGCAAAGACTCAAAAGAGTGGGCCGAGAAGGGAAAGCAGATCTTGTGCAAGCTGAGGAGAGAAGGTTGGTGGTAATGATGGTGGTGGTGGTGGCAGCAGCGGTAGAAGGCGTTGATAGTGGTAGTAGTAGTGGTGGTAGTGGTGATAAGTTAGGGATGAGGCGATCGCAGGGCTCGAGGTAAAAGCCAGAAGGCCCGACAACTAAGCCGGAGAACGCAACTCTAGCAAGTTACAAGTTTCTCCTGGAGTGGCGCTGGCGGTTGACGGAGAGCGTGGGCCTTGGGGTCGGAGGACGCAGCGAGGATCTCGTAATTTAGTTTTTCCCGCATGCGATCGGTGTCACTGACGTCTGCACCTTCACGAGTGCCCCAAGTAGTCTGGAGAGAGGAATGCTGGTTAGCAGAACGAACGACAGACGCATTATCGTTTATCGCTGTTATTATTACGGCCGATGGCAAAAGAGAGGACAAGACAATTAAACTTGACTTTTGGGCTGGGAGGGTGAAACAAAGGAAGGCTTGTCCGGGGTTTTGCTGGCTGGCTCGGGGAACGGCCCAGAAGCGAGCAAGCATTTGGCATCTGACATTTTTGACACATGAAGACAAGAAGGGGAGAGAAGAAACAGAGACAAGACATACCACATTGAGAGTGAAGGCGGCATAGAGCTTGATGAGGCCGTGGAAGTAGCCAAAGAAGATGGAGACGGGCAGCAGCAAGAAGTCGGCTGGATAGCGGATGTAGTGGCCTAGCAGCTTGATGAACTTGCTCACGAACATCCAGAGCAGCAGGGCGTTGAAGGCCCATGTCCGCTGCTGGGGGTCCCAGGCTTCGGTGCCTTTGTAGCAGAAGGCCAGGAGACATAGGTCGCCGATGAGAGCAGGCGGAGAGAGCGTAGTCAGGAAGACTGCGTACGTGCTCCATGGCTGACGGCTAATACCCATGTTGTTAGCTTCCTCTTCTTATGTTCTTTATTCTTTATCCTTGATACAAAAGAAAAGAAATACTTACAACCAGACGACCTGTTCCTGGACGAGGGTGGTGAGGTTGCTGCGCCAGTTGCTGCGAGACCAGCGGACGCACTGCTTAAGGAACTGCGGGTTGTCCTCGAGTGTGGTCTGAATCTCAGCCTCGGGGTGGTACTGGAAGTAGGTCTCCCAGCCGTGAGTGACCATCCAGCGCGAGAGGAAGTTGTCATCGTCAGCATTGAGCTCGTAGCGGCCAAACCACCATTCCTCGTTGGTGAAGCCCAGTGTGAACTCGCGGTCCTGTAGGATCTTGGTACGGTACGCAACGGTCCGTCCCGACAGACAGGGCATCCCGCCGTCCATATGTGTAGTGGCGGCGCAGTCGAAGTTGCGGCGCTCAAGATACAGCGCACCCAAAAAGTCCCAGGCTCGCTGCATCGAGAATAGCGGTGCACCGACTCTCCGCAGACGCTGGCAGGTGGTGACACCGCCGTAGATGGGATCCTTGTCGAAGGGAGCCAGGATCCATTTGAGCTCTGTCTTAGGCCAGCTCACGTCGTCATCCACGAAGACTGTGATCTCGGTCCGCACCTCCGGGATGGCGCGTACCATCTGCCGTCGCTTGTTAGGCTTTGGGATGCTCAGTAGCTGGATCCTCGTCCGCGAAGCGGGCATTGCGTTCAGCATGCGCTCTGCATTGGCCCTATTGGCATCAATGGTCACCAGGAAGATCTGGTAGGGCTCGTTCAGCAGAATGGTCCGGATGGTCTCCTCGAGCTCCTCGCCGCAGCCGGACAGGGATGGGATAATGATGGATACATCTTGGGACGTCAATTTTGGATTCTCCGGCGGCGGAATCGGTCGAAACGTCCAGACAGCAAACAAGTTGACTACAAGTCGCAGGTACCGGTACACACTACCACCAAAAGACAACGCCTCCCAGTCAGATACGCATATCCAAGAAGAACGCAGGCAAAAAAAAAAAAGAAAAAGGAAAAGGAAAAAAAGAAAAAACTCACAACAAGAGCTTGAAGGCCAAAAGATATGTGAACTCAAAAGACATCATGATGGCTTTTCCTGCTGTTCAATTGCAATATTCAAACTAATAAGAATGAAGTCTCGAAGCTCCGGGCTGAGATATCAAGTCTTGTTTGCTCTCAGGGAAAGGAGACGGTCCTCCCAGTCCCAGCTATCTCTCGCACTCTCTCAAAGGGTTCGCAGTTATCAATTCATAAGGTGAGAAGCTGTTTTCTCCTTTTTCTCCGTTCTTCTTTTCTTTGGGTGACTGGTGATTTTGGTAGTTGTAGAGAAAGCTGCCAATTTCAAGCAAAGCCAGCAGGCTGAACAGGACGGGGTATATATATAAATAAGGTACGCTCAACAGTAAGTGAAAATCAAATAAGAAGCTCAGGAGAAGTCGGAGCAGGGAAGAAGAAGAGAATTGCCAGCTTTATTGAAAGAAGGAGCGGAAAGGCGAGAAGTAATAAAGAAGCAGACGAAGAAGTAGGAAGAAATTAAGCAACAAGGGCCGAGGTATATTAATTAAGGTTGGTTTGACGGGCTGTGGCCAGAAGGGAATGAGGTAAAAGTAGCAGTAGAAGAAGGGAAAGGAGCAGCAGATAAGAAGAGAGAAGAAGAGGAAGAAGAAAGACGGAGCTGGCTGGTCGATGAACGGCTTCTTGAAATAAGAACAACGGTCTTCTTTTGCAGCAGCCATGCAGGAGGGATTCTCCGTACTTTCGGTCGAACTGCAAAAAAAGAGACGAAAAAAGGTAAAAAAGGTAAAAAAAAATAAAAAATAAAAGATGAAGGTCAATTAGGGTGGAACAAGGTAAGTGAATCAGCGGGCCCTCCTCCTGCTGCTCCTGCTCCCCCCTTCGGCGAGGGCTAAAGTGAGTTTTTTTTTTTTTTTGGCAAGGTGGAGAGCTTCGTATGCGTTGAGTTGAAGAGTTAAATTCACTATCTTGAGTATCCTTATGCAAAATAGAGCTGGAAAGGTTGTTAAAGGCGAAATACGTCTTCCTGGCGGTTGGTTGGGCGACCTCTCCGTCTCCCTCTCTCTGTTCAAATCCATTTTAAGGGGTTGGCTGGTTGGTTGGCTGGCAATTGACCAAATAAATTCTTAGCTGCTTCTACAGAAACAACAGCAGCAACAGCAAACAACAAATAACAACAACAAAAGGCTTGCCGGCGAGAAGTAGAGCTTTCCTGCGGCCTAGTTTAAGCTTCGCGCAAGTCAAGTGAGATGCTTGAAAGGCGAGAAGTGGGAAAAAAGCAATTTGCTTAGCCCTTTTTCCAGAATCCTTCTTTGGCTGTTCGAGGCTTCTTCTTCTTACTCGCTTTGCCCTTTTCTCTCCCTGTACTGGGACAAACCTCTGTGTCTTGCCGGATGGCGAGTTGGCTGGTCAACTACCTCTCGAGTCCTGCTTGTCGGCTTCCTCGAGTCTTGCTGTTTGTGTCCTCCACTTTTGTTAAAAATTCCCAATACTATATGTATGTAAAATTAACCAAAACAGCTTAATTAGCCCTTGTAAACCCTCACTCCCTGGACACATGGTGGAGTTCTTCTTCTTCTTCTCTTCGTTGCTTTTTCTGATTCTTTTCCTTTCTCTAATTTCTTTTTCTCCCCCCTGGTCGCCGTCGACGTATGAGCGACGGGGTGGGCTTCGTACTATAGTTGGTTTGGTTAGTTAGCTGTTTGGGAGTATAAAACACGCACGATAAGGGAGCAGCATTGTTTTCGCCATCTTAAAAAAGACAGGCATGGGTGATTCGACTTAGACGACCTTAACCTGCACAGGGGTCTGGCTGGTTGATGGGCAGTAAGCCGGCTTCAGTCCAGTGACTCGTTATCTACTCCGTAAATATCTCTGGTTTGCCTTACATTAGAGCTCCAGCAGATACTCCCGCAAGGTAGCCAACCAGATTATACGCTCAACGGCGACGCCCCAGCCAGCATGAGAGACCCAGAGATATCCAGAGAGAGACTCAGAGAGAGAGAGAGAGGCGGGGGGGGGGAGACTCACTAGCCAGGCACAAGAAGAGACGGCAGAATGGAAATTTCCCACCTGTTTCGCCCTAGCCAGGGGGTTCAGAGAGTCAAAACTTGCGATGGCGAATTTTAAACCAGAAGACGAGACGAACTGGAGCCGCCCCCTTCCTCCTTCGGGTGATCGCCCTGAGTTATACGGAGGTTACCTGAATGTCATAATAGTTGCTCTATGCAAAAAAGAGAAGGTGACGGGATGGGCGCGATCAGCATGGCTCTATGGAAGGGAGTAAAAAAACTAGTTTAAGTAGACGGTCATCATCCTGATTCCCGATCTCAAGGATCAGGATGTTTTATATATAGAAAAGACGTTGGCAAAGCTACTCTGTTAGCTACGGACACCGGACTGTTAGAAGGGGAAGCAGACGGGAAGTATCCTCCTCTTTAAAACCAAGAAACCACACTCGAGACCGGTTCGAAGGGGCCATCCTCTTGTTTGGTAGGTGAGCAGCAGTGCTCGAAACCTGGATGCTACACAGCACAGCAGTCGCGAAAGATCCCAAGTTGGATCCCTGGGAGATCCCCCCTGGTTGAGGCGAACATCTACCCCATACTTTATTAACTAATAATATCCATATGAAATGTAGCATATACTCGTGCGGTTGATGGACAAAGTAACGCATACTCGCGTGGTCGGTTCATTCCCATGTCCATCCGTTAACTAATTTTTCAGTTGTCTCCTGCTCCCTCTTGCCGTGGTGCTCAGGGCGTGTATGACAAGAGTCGACGCCGAACCGGACTCCCGAAGGTGCTTCGATCGGGTCCTCCATCCAGCCCTGTCCTGCCTGCCCTGCTACCTGGCGGCCTCTCATCGCACCGGCTTGCCTTGTTTCCTGCCTGCCTGCCTGCGTTGACTAGCAAGTCAAGTTACCAGGGAGGATCGGCGAGGATAAAAGTGGAGGACCATCTTTATCTCGCAATAACCAAGTCACTAGCCAGCCATCTCTGGGGGGCTGGGACGAGTAACGAGCAGCGCGTGTGCGCCTTCACCATCGTCATCGACCATTAACTATCGCTTCGTCTGTCTTCTTTCTGACCGGGCGAGGCACAGGACAGGGCCCACTCGATGCACCAGTTTCACACTCGCCAGACAAGCCAGCAGCAGCCAGTAACTACTATAGTTACGGCACTCGAGAGATGCAGAGAAGCTTTGCTGCCAAAATTCACCACCTGTCTGGACGGACTCCCTGGCAGGCTGGTGGCTGGCTGACTGACTGACTTGGCTGAGCCAGGCGGTTAGCAGCCGTCTCATCCAGGGGGTAAAGGGGAGTACCTGCTCCATCATCAATCGAGTCACTACTCTGTAGACTAGTTAGCTAACTGGTCAGGACGAACCTGAGATCACTCCAGGCCCGTCCAATCATGCTGTCAATCGGCCTGACAAGTCCACCCGAGGCTCCGTAGCGGCGATCTACCTTGCCGTTCATCGTCCAAACGTGAGTTGCAGCAGCCTGACTTGCTTCTTTAGAACCTGAGTCGACCGTCAAGAGCGTGGGGGAGCCGATCCAGAGCCAGAGGGGAGCTCTCTCCAGGCCCTTTTATCGAACCTGTTTGGCGCTCTGCTGCTTTTATTCCTTTTTCCATCTCCTCTGCTTCTTTGCTTTTCTCTCAAGGTAAATCCATGCATGTAAATAAAAAGAAGAATGAAGAATGCAGGGCATGAGTCGTCGATTAGTTACGCGAGCAAGGCGATGGTGACTTCATATAGCATGACAGGGGGCGACGACGGCCCTCGATCTTCCAGTTGTGCTGCATCCGGCCGCTCATTGGCGGCTCGTCTTGAGTTGCATTTCGATACTCGCATATTTCTCGGGCATATATTCGCCGATGCATGAAACGAGATAAGGAGCCAATAGGTTATGCATATGTGTGTGTATATATAAACACTGGAGTAGCTAAACCTGGCTGACATTCTGACTGACTGACTCTTGCGATGCGCATGCGGCCCTGTTCCTAGTAAAGTGACAGACAGGATATCATTCAACCAACCGCCATCCCTGTTGAACTAACCAACTAGGCGTGATGACGATGTGACAGAGACTCGCGAGGATCGAATCACTAGAACTGCTTCTCAAGTCGATCCAAGGGCGCAGCTCGCTCTCCTCTTTTTTTTCGCTTCCAGCAATATATGGAGATACCTCCTTGTTCGGCGGAGATTGGCTGTCAGGCTCGCCTTGTCACCGTCAGCGTCACCACCAACTGTTCTGTAAAGGTCGAAGACTCGGCCGTGGATCGTCCTGCAGCACGCTAGCCGGCTTGTTAGCCAGGTGGACACACTCACTGGCGCTGCTGGTTGCGCCGGAGCTCAAGAAGTTATGCCTGTAACTACTTGCCCATTATCCATGCCCATGCGATGCACGAATAAAGCCGGCCTTTCAACCTGTCCGCCAAAGCCCACCACTCTTGATCAAGCCTTGCTGCTCCGAATGCAACGGTGTGGATGGCCAGTCGGCGCTTCCCAGCGTTATAGCTGCTCCGTACTATGTGCCAGGTTCGTTGCTTGGGTCTGCAAGTTAACCACCTGCCTTCCTTGATACCACTATTGTTATTATAAGTGGTTGTTATTATTATTATTATTATCATTATTATTGCTCCGTACGAACGAACAGGATACGCAGACAGGCAAAGAGAGACGAGTTGATAGGCCACCGCAGGATACGAAGCAATGCACTTCGAAGGGCCATCAACAGGTCGAGAGAACGAACCCCTGATTAAGACTAGAGTCTCGTTATATCAAAAGATCCCTTCGTGACGAGCTGCTAAAATAACGGCCTCTCTCGCTTGATATCCTTGATAGAATGGTCACTCTGCCGTCTACCTTTTTCTACCTTGGGAGACCTTTCATCCCTTCTTGCTGGGGCTGCGGCGTTGGGGCAATTTCATATCAACGGCTCTTAATTAACGTGTTTGTGGTGGTATTATGGATGCCATGCATGCAGCGTCTCCATCCTCTCTCTCTTGCTCTTACCTTTCCTCCCCCTTTTTCTCCTCTTTGCCTTGTGTCAGATCCAGCTATGGCTATAAACCTGACGCATAACGCCTGAGAGAGCAGGGATTGGTCTTCCTGTGATCAATGCTTCATATCTCCTTCAGACCGACCGTTAGCCCATCATCTTCCATAATTACTGTTGGTATTATGATTATGGTTATTTCAATAACTAGTACACCCGCCAAAATCTTGGTTTCCGACAAGTCAATGTTCAAGCCAACGGTTGTTGCTGGGAAAGCTTTCCGCTTTGGGTCAGGTCGTCCGAAGAACGAGCCTAGACGATAGAAAAGCCACAACTCAGAGCTTCGGCAACCGCAGAGCAAGGCCCTGTTCATTTCTTTCTTTGTTTGTTTCTTCCTTCCTTTTCTTCCTTCCTTTCTCGCCCTCGCTCGGTCACGGGTTGACTCTCGTTCGCCGTTGTGCTGGGTCGGATTGCCGTTGGCTTCAGCCGGAATGGTACCAACGTCACTCTCACGACCACACGCACTGACGGCTGCAAAAACGGGCCTTTGGTGGTGGGATGTGCCTGTATCAGCCGTCGGAGATCGATCCTGGCCGTCGTCATCTCAAACCACACTCCGGAGAAAGGTTGCAAAAAAAAAAAAAAAAAAAAAAAAAGAAGGGGTAAAAAAGAAAGAAAGGCCATCGGTTTGGCCACATGTTATTTAGGGATCTTGGGTTAGGACATGGGGTGGCCCTGCTGGTGAAGAAGTTTCTGGGCCATGACGGTGAAAATGCAGCTGCATGGCAGTGGAGATAGCTAATTCAACTGGTTCACGTCCATATTTCCTTTCTGGATGGCACCAAGTGTACGGAGTACTTAGAAGTACCATGGCCATAGACTCTTCTAGGCTGTCTATCCACGCTGAACCGAGAAACGGGCTGCCTCTGGTCTACCTCAGGTCTACCTCCTGCTCAAGTACCTCTGGGAACCACAGATGAGACGGACAGGGACTGACCTCCATGAGCAGACACACATGTTGATGTTGTGGCTCTCTCCCTTATCCTTGTCCTTGAACAAGAGGAGATTCCCACCATCCCATTATTTCAAGCCGTTATTTGTCCAATGGGAGTCGGCTGCCGCCTTCATTCCTTTTTCCTTCCTTCGAATGAGCATCTCAGCCCTATTTAGAATAATACGATGATTCTTCTTCACTGGACTAAACTGGCAGTTAGTTATCAAAAGAGCAAAAGAACCAGGAAGAGCTGAGGACAAACCCATACACTCTTTGGCTACCACCATAGCAGGCCGTCCAGTTTCGCATCTATCCTCAACCCCGGCCTCCACCGCTCTTGCATCAAACTGGCTAGCTGACGAGTAACCACGGCAGTAGCACCATCACCAACAACGACGCAAAAAAAAAGAGGGGGGCATCCTCTTCTATCCTCCCTCCATTCCTTCTCTTTCGTTCTGGAAGGCCGCTTAAGGTTGCGACTGTTGGGTCCACCACGGGACCCATGAATGCAAGGAACAAGCGTTATCCGCTTTTTTCTCTTCCTTTTTCTTCTTTGTCGCCTCCCCTTGCTTTCTTTTTCCGCTGTTCGTTTCGCTGCTGCTGGTGATCGTCACATCGCTTGTTTGAGGCAAACCTGTCCAATGTACTCCGTAAACTAATCTCTTCCCATCGACAGCCAGCCAGTTTCGGTCGAGTTTCAACTGTCCCGGGCTCCTGTCTTTTCAATCTACCCAAAGCTGTCCATGCATGGAGCACTAGGAGGACCAGCCATGCCCAAAGGGAGGCCAGATCTCAACCGTCGTCTCAGCTCCCTCTGCCCCAAACATACGAACAGGTTCGAAGAACACCAACTGCTCTTCCTTTTGCCTAGTTCGTTTTATTTCCGAAAGAACCAAGCAATGCCGTCGAAGGTTACGGGTGAGATGCTTTTTGATTCGCTTATTCACGCAGTCTCCTTCGTTTATCTCGTCACCGTTTTTCATGTTTCATCATCGCCTGAAGCATAACTCAGTCGTCGCATCCTTAATGATTTTCAACCCCCGTAATCAAAACACGAAGGTGTGTTTCCTCTTCATTCGACAGTTTCATCTTCAGTACTGCACGTGTAGGCCAGTTTCTGCAGCCATTGGAGTATTGAGCTGTTCCTCTTAAGATGCAGAGCTAGCGTAGCAAAGCCGCTACTGTCGCTTTCTAGACCAAGCTCTCGGTTCTCGCCAGAGCTATCAAACTTCTGGATGGCCGGGAAGGCGTATAAACGCCGAAAGCATTGAAATCATCTGTTCCCCGTGGATACCAGGCTTTGCATCGGAGAACTCCTCTCTGCGTTGATGTCGGTAGTTACTGTACCGATGTCACTCTTATGTGTATCACTTTTGCTGGCAGGGGAGACATATCAAAACATCGTCAGCTGCTGCTGCATAGCTCTGCATTTGTGAGCCGCACGGCCATGGTTCGCGACTATTTATATATATACGAGGTGCGACGGAGTCTCGTCGATAACGAACTGCTTGTCTCTCTACCTTGGGGGCTGGCCTCTGTCTCATGGAGCCGAGCAGTGACATGGTATCCTCACATGAAGAACAGGTACGCCCGTATTATCGGAGAAGACTCGGCTGCATACAGACCACTCCCATCCCAAGCTCAATGACGTTTAATTGATTAATTTTCCTGATGTTCCTTTCCACGTATTTCTGTGCGAGGTAAAGGTCGGTTAACACTCTTTTTTTATTTTGTTTTATTTTTCGACAGCCAAATGGTGCATGCTGCATAGTGCATATGCACGAACGGCTTACCCCTACTCCGTTTTGACAACGCGCCTGTCGTATAGTTGGGTCCAGGAATGTGTTCGAGATTCGCACTGTGTACACGCCAGACTTCCGTGCCAGAGCATCCTAGGGGCCAGGCACATGAAGGTTCCCCCCAGATGGCATCCGGATGCACGTCGACACTCCCCGACGCATCGTACATGAGGTCGTGGCCCTCTCCTCATGCGCCGGTAATCAGGGGTCGCTGTTGAATCTCCGCATGATCTGCAAAATTGAATGATTGCTAAAAGCGTAAAATGTGCAATCGCACCATCTTCCATCCAGTCGACTAACTTGGGGCAAAGACGGATTTATAAGTAAGTTAATTGCGTCCGAAGACATGCATCTTGCCATGTCTAGGTTGCTCCATGTTGTCACTGATATGATAACCCTTCATCCTCCTTTTCGCCTACTCACTGCAGCGAAGACCTGGCTGGCAGGCTGGCAATCGTCATTCCCAGCTCACTGTGGATCTTGCTTCCGCCGGGCCGCCATGAGAGGTTCGTGAAGATTGGAATCATACCTGATGCTCCACATGGGTGCTCTGAAGAATGGGCATATTTCGGGAATAAGGAACCCTCGAAAACAATCAGTTGAGACACATTTCAGAACAAGACGTAACATTGGAGTTATGATGGACGAGACCAAGATGGATCGTTTACCTATAGAAAGCAACACATCAGCTTGACCGCTCTATTACAGGGTGTCCGAACTTGACCGCCTCGACCATCTTGATGGAGAGTCCCTCTTGTAACAGCAAACTGGACGGCATCTCCCGATGTGTTTCCTAGTTATATGTGCTATCGTAAGGTGTACATCCACAGCTGCATAAATGTAATTTTATGTCCTCTCTTCCAAAACCCTTCTTGCCCGGCATCAAGCGAGGCCAAACCGCAGCATTCCTTGCTTATACGAGTCATTCCTTCAACCCTGTCTGGCACAAGACAAGGTAAGAAAGCCCTAGGATATCACGAAATGCTGCAGGTTGACGGCTGAATCCTTCGGTTGACCTTAATTTGACACCCCGGGGGTTTAATGTGATGTCAGTTTGTGCGGAAAGCTTAGCTGGCGTCCCATCCTCGGCGGTGGACTACAGAAAAAGCCTTGATCAGACATCAAACAATCTGAACATGGACATTAATCTGGGGTACCTTCATGAACTGCCGATGTATGTATGCAAATAGGACGCTCCCTTGCCCTTCGCTAAGATTGTGTGGTCAAGATCGCCACAGATATCGGCATTGTTTAGGCATGAGATAACTGCCGATGCATATTTTCGCGGGATCTCGCCGATAAGATGTGTCAAACGGTACAGATGCGGGAGACGGTATAGTTTAGTTATAGGCATTTCTATCCAGTGGCCCTCAGACGGAGGCACGTCTCGGGATGGTTTTTGTATCGCCCTCCAAAGCTCTGGTAAGTTATCCAGGTGGAAAGAGGGGGAATTCCGCCTCTCTTGTCTGTAGCTGGGATTGGTTTTGACTGTCTCAAATCCGTTTCCGGTCGATGTCCGGAGTGGTAAATAGATGCCCAAGGTAAAGTATGGCATCATTAATGCTAAGATACCCGAGTATGTTTGGCATCTCGCAATGAGTAGCATTCCTGAAGTGCCAGCCTCGAGTATTCGGTAATATGCCGCAGTCAAGTAGCTAGGTGTTGCCGGTTGATTCATTCCCTCCCTTCAGCCCAGTTGATAATGTAGGATCAAGCAGCGCAGAAGACTCAGACACATCATGTGGTAGCAGCCATCCAGCAGAATGAAGACACAGGCATTAACCACGCCTATCAGTGGGCTCGTTGCAACCGGGCAACATGGTATATGATAAATATAGTCTCTTCCTGGGAAATCAAGACTGGCTACGGTAGACTTGGGCAGCCTGGCACTGGCATCAATTCGACTTCGTAAGCGAGTCTATAGGCTATGCTCTTTGGTATAAGAGGTTGGACAGGCCATATGCAACCGTCTTCACTCAGGCCCGTTATTACCCAGTCACTGGTTTCTGTGCTGGAAGGGAAACTGTCCTGGAAGAGTCAGACCTCCTGTTCAAGCTGTTCAATTATAGTTGTTAGTAAGTTAGTTACCCAGACGAGCTTTCGAGGTTGAGGAAGTTATATTAGCCACACAGCACAGAACCCTGTGGCATCTATAGACCCAAAGCAGCTATACAGATAACATCAGTTAGTTGGATATCGTTGGCCCTTCTCTTGATTTTGATAAACCGGTTCAAACCTTCTGGCTGTCCAGCTGCTTCGTGCGGAAGCTATGCGGATAATCATTGTCCCGTACATATACATTTTTCTTGACCAACCCCAGAGCCATCTAGGATGTTGATGATTATGATAGATAGATAAATACGCATAGACTGGAGAAGCAGACATCTTATTAGCACAATGAAGGCCTTCCAGCGAGCAATTCCTGCTCTACGGCACTTTCACCTCAGCCAGAACCTGCAGCACCAGCAAGGACTGCATCGATATGCGCGACTCGTCCACTCGTCCACCACCAAAGCTGCGGTTGCGCACCCAGTGAACGCCTCTGGGCCTCCGCCAAAGCCGCCAGCGTCGACGGCGAGCCCTCTAAGGAAGAGATTCTGGAAAGATGTTCACGTTAAAGAAGCTGCAGGCAGGCACCCAACTGACGTCTTGTTTTTGTCAAGCTTGATAGATATTAACATGTGCTTTACTTTAATAGGAGGCCATCAAATATACCTGGACAGCCGGCCAGTTCGAACACCAGAGAAGAATATATTAACTGTGCCTTCCTCGAAACCCCATCTTGCGCACGCTATCGCCCTAGAATGGGACCTACTCAAGACAGCACAGCATGCAACCAAGTACCACCTTATACCGATGACATCAATCACCGGCCGGGCCGAAGATATCGCAGCTGAAGATGCCAAAGGAGTGACCACGATACGAGACGATATAACCCGAGTAATGCTACGGTATCTTGAGACCGACACACTTCTCAGCTGGGCCCCGGAGAGAGAACCAGACTATGTCGGACGAAGTGAAGAGAAGCGCGAGACGCTGCGGGAGAAGCAGATCAAGGCGGCCGAGCCCATCATCTCGGCCCTGGTTTCTGCTGTCTGGCCTGGCGTAGAGCTTAAGCCAACCCTTGACGCCAACAGCATCATGCCATTGCCTCAACCACAGCAGACAATTGATTTCATTCGAGGGTGGCTGTCGAGTCTTTCGCCGTACGACCTTGCTGGCGTGGAGAGAGCCGGAATAGCCACAAAAAGTCTGCTGGTCGGCACCCGGGTGGTGATCGAATGGAGCGAAAACTTCCGCCATATCCGGCCTAACGGTGCGAGCAGGACGTTCGGCATCGAAGAGGCCGCGTATGCGTCGAGCCTGGAGGTCAGATGGCAGATAGAGAACTGGGGAGAAGTCGAGGATACGCACGATGTAGAGAGGGAGGACTTGCGCCGACAGCTAGGGAGCGTCATCCTGCTAGTAAGCGGTTGTCCTGCATGATTAATTGGGTGATTGGTTGATTGATTTGATGTCGTCGTGTCCATATTTGTATCTATATCTATCTATATCCTGTACGATTAGAGCCCATATACCCGGCGAATTTGAGAGTGAGTGTGAGAGAGAGCATCGTCCGCAACGGCCACGTCACGAAGACCGCCCTGTTCCTATCAGATACGCGCAGAGCGACACCGCGCAAGGGCGTATCTCAGCTCCTCCGGCTGGTAGGCTGTGTTCCAATGTCTTCCTGGGGAGTCGTCCATCCTACGTAAATGCGATGATGCAACACCAAGAACGCTCGATCTTCCCTGCCAAGACCCAAAAAAAACATCTTCTCGCCGGTCCTTTGAGCGCAGAGACAAACACCGCGTACAGACATACAACTGACCACAAGGAGACAGAGATGAAACGGAGAATAGCCTGAATACTCCACGGAAAACTGCTTCGGTCTCTGTATTCATATACTCAACACTGCCTCCTTGCCACTGGTGTCCCCCCCACTTCCAACTCTTCAGGGCTCTTCTCTCTCCTGGTCCCTCCGATGATACGCAGCAACTGAACCACGTCCACCTCAAAGCCATCACCAGCATCTTACTCTACCGGTCTGGCATCCTCGAATCGTCCAGAAGTCGACGCCCGGAGAGATATCCTTAAGTGATAACCAGCCCTAATTGCTGCCGGAGTTCTTTGTCCAGGACGGACAGACAGACCAGGGCCATGGTGGACAAGACAGAAGGGTAAGCAAGCCCCTGCGCTTCTGATATCCCCCTTTCGCTGCTGTCCAGCATTGATCGCTTCCTTGCTCGTAACGCTCTCTGCTCTAGGCGTTTGCCAATTACTGCATTTTTTTACCTTTCCTGTCTATCCCAATTAGCTTTCCAGGGTCCATGGTTGTCAATTAACGGCACCAGACTTCGTTGACATCTGGCTGACTATTTCACACGTATATATAGACACAAACGCTCGAAGAGCGCTCTTGCACTCTCCATCCTTCATCGAGACAAGTCAAAAAGCGATGATAACAAGGAGGACGGCGCGATGTCCCCTAACAATAATGGTTCTCCCGCTTCTTCGTCCTCTTCCTCGCCTCGAGAATCCCGCCACTCGCATTCAGCGTCTATGATCAGTCTGCGGTCTTCGAAGCGCAAGGCGGCGCAAGACAACGGCGGTAATAGTAGTACAAACGTCGGCAGCTGCCCTGAAATACCAGAGGGAAGTATTCAGGAAGAGATGGCGGAACCTCGCCCGCAGCAGTCTACTGTTGAAGGCAACCCCGCAACCGATAATAATATCAGTTTGGATCAGAGCGTGCGGACATTCAGGCTGTTTGAGGTCTTACGGAGTGGAGATACGAATGCTATTACTAAAGCGATTAAGGAATACCAGGAATCAAGTGGCCAGGAGGGCGCTGCCCTCGGCACGAGCATTCTACATTTGGCCATCCAGTGTGCCGACCCTCAAGTTGTTGAATTTGTGCTGGCATCCGTGGATGACGCAGGAATCAACGCTCGTGACCGTGAAGGGAACACCCCTCTGCACCTGGCTGCGCAGCTAGGCAGGCTACCCGTGGTTCGAGAGTTGTTGGAACGCCCTGCCATAAACGACGCTGCTACCAATTTCCAGGGACAGACGCCACTCGACCTTGCTCGTAACCCCGACATCTTCCAGCATCTTCAGCTCGCTCGGTCTCTATTCGTTGACACCAAGACTAGGGAGATACAGTCTTTAGTCGGCCAGGGAGATTATGAAAAACTAGAACGTGTTCTTGTTGAGCCCCGAGTTCAAGGGATGGTCGATATGAATGCTCCTGAGCTTGTCACCGACCGCACCACCTACCTGTCTGGCGGCACGCTACTCCATGAAGCCGTACGAAAGAAGGACACAAAATTGATACAAGTTCTTCTCATGCATGGTGCTGACCCTTTCCGGAGAGATAGAAAGGGGAAGCTTCCCCAAGACATCACCAAAGATGACCGGATACGCTCATTCGTGAAGAAGTCACCCGCAGCAGTCATGGCCCAGCGTGGAATACAAGAAAAGGCCATCCTAGGGAACAACTTCGCCCAGGGATCCGGTGAGGTTTTCATCGGGGGAAAGGATGCGAGAGAAATCAAGGGATACTTAAAGAAGTGGACAAATTATACGAGTGGCTATAAATTACGGTGGTTTGTCTTGGAAGACGGTGTTCTAAGCTACTATAAACACCAAGGTATGCATTCTTAACCCTCGTCCGTCAACAGTTACGTCATGTGATGGGTATTGGATGCTAATAGTATAAATATTCAGATGACGCTGGTTCTGCCTGCCGTGGTGCTATCAACATGCGTATTGCAAAACTAAATATGGACGCACAAGATAAGACTCGCTTTGAAATCCTGGGGAAATCCTCAGTCAAATATCACCTCAAGGCAAACCATGTCGTCGAAGCGAAACGCTGGTTCTGGGCACTGAATAATGCGATTCAGTGGGCGAAGGATGAAGCAAAAGAAAGTGACAAACGGCGAACAAAGGATGCTGAGGTTCTTCGACAGGCTAGGATTGAGCAGATCGAGAGGCAAGACCAGGACACCTTGAGCACGGTTGGTAGTAAACTGAATGATAAGAACCTCGCACCTCCTACAGCATCCTTAGGTAGCGCCACCACTCCCAGCGGATCGAAGCTGAGCCTTCAGATTTCCCGAGGAGGAACAGATAATGGTTTCGGAGACGATGAGGGCTCAGTCACCGGGTTCAATGACCCTAGCGCTTCACAATCCAACATGGCCAGAGTGATTAGCCATGTGACCACCAACACCGCTGAAGGTGATGGCGACGATGACTATGCTGATTACACAAGCAGTCGTGAAATACGACCATCTTCAGACAAAGATGCTTTTAGCATCACGGCACAGTCCGTTCGCCTCCAGCTAGATATCCTACGCGGTGTTTCGTCGGCTATAAATTCTGAGAAGGCAAAAAATTCATCAGCGGCATTATCAGATCCTACCATTGCCCAAGGTTTAACGACTTATGAAAGAGCAATCGACACTCTGAACTCACTCATTGTCGATTTACTTAAAATCACCAGAGACAGGGACGCTTACTGGCAATACCGTTTGGATCGAGAGGCGGACGCCAGAAAGATGTGGGAAGACAGCATGGCTCGAATAGCCCGGGAACACGAGGACCTACAGAACAGAATGGGTGAAAGCGAGGAGAAAAGACGCCGAACAAAGAAAGCCCTAAGGGAGGCATTAGAAAATGCTTCAATGCCACAAAGCCGAAGGCTAAGCCAAGCTATTCCGCCGCCACAGGCGCTGGTATCGGATGCTGTGGAACTGTCCCAGGAAATCAAAGAAGAGAAGCGGCCCGAGCAGACCGAGGAGCCTTCTCCTGGGTTGTTGCGAAAGAAGACAGTGCTAGAGGAAATGAATCTGTCTGATAGCGATTCAGACGACGACGATGAGTTCTTCGATGCTGTAGATGCTGGTGGGGTCGAAGTCGTCGTTCCACCAAAGGAAGAACAAATAGAGCCTAGTGAATCTAGTGCTCGGGTAAAGAAGGAGACAGAAATTGCACCTTCGTTCAAAGGATATGAGGATGAAATCAGGAAGCGGCTTAAGATGGAGGCGGACGACCGTCCGAAGATTTCTCTATGGGTAAGAACCGTGTTCTTGGAACCTTGGAAGAAAGTCATAGAATTTGATCTAACACTCATGACGATAGGGTATTTTGAAATCTATGATCGGAAAGGACATGACTAAAATGACTCTTCCCGTATCATTCAATGAGCCGACCTCTCTTCTCCAGCGTGTTGCTGAGGACATGGAATACACAGACCTTATTGACGCTGCCGCCGACCGTCCAGATTCCATGGAGAGAATGGTTTATGTGGCTGCATTTGCTGCCAGCGAATATGCCTCAACTATTGGGCGTGTTGCAAAACCATTTAATCCTCTCCTGGGTGAAACTTATGAGTATGCCCGTCCTGACAAGGGTTACCGTTTCTTCGTCGAGCAGGTCAGCCATCATCCACCTATCGGTGCAGCCTACGCTGAGTCACCTAGATGGGATTATTATGTGAGTTTAGACCTTCTTATTCCTTTACTCCCTTTCCTACCTTTTGATTGTTGAAGTACTGATGATGTACCTAGGGTGAATCTGCTGTGAAATCCAAGTTTTACGGTAAATCATTTGATATTAACCCCTTGGGAACATGGTTTTTGCGACTACGGCCCGCCAGCGGAGGTGAAGAGCTATATACCTGGAAGAAAGTCACCTCCTCCGTTATTGGTATCATTACCGGAAACCCTACAGTTGATAATTATGGGCCTATGGTTATAAAGAACTGGACTACAGGGGAAGAGTGCAACCTTGATTTCAAACCCAGAGGTTGGACCGCTGCCTCCGCCTATCAGGTATCCGGAAAAGTCTTGGACAAGGATGGTGTGCCACATTGGAGCGTTGGAGGCAGATGGAATGACAAGATCTACGCACGAAAGCTCAGTGGCGGTACCTCCCTTTCGGCTTCCGAAATCACCCCAGACGGGAACTCCCCTCATGCCATGCTGATATGGCAGAGTAACCCTAGGCCAACTGGCATTCCCTTTAACCTGACTCCTTTTGTCGTCACCCTGAATGCCATCCCCGATAACCTCAGACCACACCTCCCTCCCACTGACACTAGGTTACGACCTGACCAGCGTGCCATGGAAGACGGCGAGTACGACTTTGCTGCCACTGAAAAACACCGTGTAGAGGAAAAGCAGCGAGCGAAAAGGAGAGACCGAGAAGCGAATGGCGAAGAGTATCAACCCAAATGGTTTTCGAAAGGCGTTTGCGAGACCACTGGTGAAGAGTACTGGGTATATAACGGCAGCTATTGGAAGTCCAGAGCTGCGGGAGACTGGAACGTTTGCGAAGATATCTTTTAACCCTTGCGCCTCTACTTTATATAACACCTAATCATTAAACCGCTGTGGCCATTATACATACAATTTTGAAGCCCTTTTTTCTTTCTTTATGACTGAGATGTAGATTACTCATAATATCAAATCCATAATGTCCTCGTTATCAGCAAGCTGCTGAGCAAAATAAGACCAGTCACGTGATTGTTAGGCGGCCCTGAAGCTTTGCGATGTTGTGAAATTGAACAAACTATTTGCACAACCTCTCACTCATTATCAAATACTACAGCCGCTCCCAATGGCGACCGAAGTTGCTTGCAGAAGGTGCGTGCAAGCACTTGGTCTGGGAATACGACGAAATCCGACCACACCGGCTCCAAAGCTGAGGCAGCTCGCTCGCCTCAGTCACAGATATCGAACTTATTCCACGCCGTCTCGACAGAATATTTCTCCACTGCAGCAAGGGCAATTAAAGCTGAATGATTGCAAGAGCCAGATAAGAGGGGCAGCCTCGCTAGCTACCTCCCAGGAAACCTCTACTAACGAAAAATCGGAACCAAAAAGGCCACTTCTGCGTCGAGACAATCTCTTCCATTCATACAGCGATTCCCCTTCGCCGCAGATAAGGAAACGAGCGCAATTTATTAAGGAGCATGCGTTCTGCCCACATCCAGACCATCAGCAAACTCGCGCCTCGGTCTCTCCCGTTAGTTCCGAAGCTGAGAGCCCAGCTATCCCCAATGAACAGAAACAACTTCCTGCCCATGCCCAGCATGAATGCCCGGATTGTGGAGTCCCAATCTATTGCTCTGAAGAACATTGGATGGATGACTTCGAGGCACATCTAGAAGTCTGTGAGACTATCCGGCAGATAAATGAGGATGACCACGACTTGCAATCGGGACGTTTCTTCACGGAATTTGACTATCCCGGCTACCAAGCGGACGAGATCGTTGTCAACATGACAAATTGGGATACTTTCTTATACACCAGAGAGTTCGAGGCTGTCAATGATGATAGGAGCATGCGCCAGGTTACTAGGCTTCTTACTTACCCAGTCACAATTGCGAGTGTGCTACATGAACTCAGCCCTTACAACATCTCAAGAGGTGGACGTTTAACCCCGGAGGGATTGAAGAGCTTAAGTGGTGAGTTAATTAGCCTTCTTTGATGACAATTGTAACATAAGATACGGGCTTCGTTATTCTAACTTGAGATCTCAGCTTTGCGTTATACGCTACATCCACCAAGGACCGGCGAGGGAAGCACCATGAAGGGACTGCGGCTGAAAGCCCCTCCAGTTCGAATCTTTGTTCTCGGCGCGCGTGCGGAGTCGTCGTTACCACGAGAGGTCTGGATGCAGATTTCACACCTATTCCCTCGTGCTACTATAAATTTGATTTTCATTGGGCCTGAGAGCATGGCAAACCGTGACAGCGAATTCCCGCTCCCAGAACGCACAGCAAGTAATCCTTTCGGGGGAATTGTTGAAGACCGCCTTGGTTCTCAGATGAAAATAACCACATACGTTGATTACTTCCATACCATGCACAAGGCGAACATGTTTGCGCCCTATGACCCTTACTTTGATTGTTTCATGCTTTTCCATCCTGGCTTGGGACACCCGGCTAGCTCCCACGAGTGGGAGGAGACTCTTCCATGTCTGTTGGAGACGAAAGTGCCTATCATATGCACCGGTTACACGCAGAGTGACATGGAGAGAGATCTGAACTGGGTAAAGGAGAAATGTGGTGGTGAAGCAGACATTCTTCTTGAGCAAGGGGAGAACAGGTTCCGGAGCTTGAGGTGGGATTTGAACGATTTAGATCCCCATGACGTATCTTGCGGCAACTGGGGAGTGTGGGCGTTCAGAGGAAAGAGATATGAAGCCACTTTCAAAGACTCTTGATTCTTGTATAATAGTTAGCACTACATCTTGTATAGGATCTTCACTCACCCAATATCCTATCGTTTTTTCTTATCTGTACTAATATCACCAAAGAAATGTATCATATGATCAAGTCAGCGAGTGAATGAAGTCGTCCATTTGCGAAGAATCTATGTACATATATACAGTGTGACATTAGGTGGACGTAGAGTGATCATTAAACAACCCAGGAGGATAGCACCACTTAGCTACCTCACATATCTAAAAGAAAGTGACCGGGGTATCAAATCCAAAACACCAATAGAAAACGAGAGAAGAGCGCAAAGGCACAAACGATTGTAGTATCCGTCTAGTAAGCCTTGCGAGGAAGAGAGGTTCATGATATTTCATAGTGCTTCCATCTATAGTAAGAGGACAGCGGAAAGGACCATAAAAACCATGGGCCAGTAGCCGCTGATTCTAAGCACCCTTGGAGGTGCCATGGACTGTTTTGGGTTGTCATCCGGCGCAGTTGTTCCATTTGCCAATGTACCGTTGATGAAAATGGACATCGTACCGTTTGCCTCTGCAATTCTAACGATTGAGGAGGCGCTTGTGATGTTGTTTGGATCCGATTTATTCAGCAACGTGTCGATATAAGTGTTGTTATTGTTGTCTTCGCATCCGCAGACAGAGTACTGCTGGCATAGACAGGTAACCGGGAACAGCTGGTCCCTCATTGCGGTTCTATTGTACCATATATAGGGGTCGGAGTGGTGATAGGCGTAGACGCCATAGAGCCAAAGCCCAGGGAAGAATGCGAGAGCAGCTAGAGGGAGGAAAGATGGGCTACGGCCTAGAGGTGTTCGGCCCCCGGCAGCGAACGGCACTCTAGCTCCTCCGCCGTAAAATCCACCGAAGCTGCGAGGAGTGCCTGATCCATAGGGAGACGTACCACCAGAGTTGCTAGATACCGATGCCAGTTAGCATGACGCCCTGCCTAGACGAGTAACATGGGTGTTCTTAATACTTACGCTGGCCTTGGAGGAGATCCGCTACTTCCGCCAGGGCGTGGCCGCCCTCCGCGTCCTCCGCCTTTACCTCCGCCTTTACTACCTCCTCCGGAACGTCCGCCTCCGCCCCGCCCTCCGCCGCCGCCGCTGCTTCCGCCCTTACGCTTCTCTAAGTTGACAGCATGCTTAGGGCCCTGTGCAAAAGTAGCCCAGGTTTCAGGATGCTCCAACTCTCCAGAAGCGACAAGGTCCGTGGTAGGAGGGATATTTCGCGACGCTACATTGGAAGATAGTAGCAGTAAAGATAGCGCAAAGCTCACAGAGAACTTCATTGCGACAGCCGGACTCAAACCAGAGTCGTTCGTAACAACAGGAAGTAAAAAAAGCCGAGAAAGTAGGATATTGAATAGAACAACTATGTAAATGATCCTATCGATGCTTGACCTGATCAATGATGGGTGAAACGTGTTTGAACAACCAGTAGACAGAGCAGGTACATGGTCAGTTATATAGCTAACTACCCAGGTATGCATCTGTCGAAACTTCCCAGGAAACAAGCACTGCCTCCTCGAACTCTACCTTGTCGTGACCTCATCTTACACCTGACGGGCCGGGTTTCTTCCATGGCCTTGGCTCGTTAAGCTAGTATGACCAGCATCGCCACGACCCGCTGGTTAAACGAGCTGGTCTCAGGACAGGTTCACTCATATTCATCCTGCGGCAAACAACGCATAGCCGCAGTGAGGCTCTGCCGAAGCTTGTCATATATATTCTATTCTGCGTGTCTCTCTGTCTGTCCCAAGCGGAGTCTCTGGTAACCAACTAGTTAGTTAGTCGTGGAACAAGGCTTCCCAGAAAGGGGCTTTGCTGTGAGCCTTTGCAAGGGAAATTAGATGATGATAATGCCGATGACTACGGAGTACACTGACCCCAGGCGTCTTCCCCAAGCCCGCTTGGCGCAAAGAAGCGAGCAGCAGCCCCTGAAGTAAGATATTCCATGAAACAGACGGAGTGAATACACCATGCGATATAGCTCACCGATTAACCAGCGCAGCCATCCCCGTGTCCAAGTCCGAGTCCGCCACCCTTTTCTCTTCTTCGTAGTTGTTGTGATGACTAATATTAAGCATTACATAAGCACTTGGCGGCTTAAAAGGCAAAGAAAAAACTTCTTTTCAACGTCCAAAGAAAGACGACAACAACTAACGATGATAAACAACGAAGACGCGGGCGAACAGACAGACTTGCGCTGGCAAAACCTGCTTTGAGTCCTCTCAGAAGATGATACTAACGGTCTAGGATAACCGAACGCCCGGCATATTGACGATCAATACGCTTTGACTCGAGGCGTTTTCGTCCCTGTGGTCTCTCGGTACTTCGTCGTAAACGACCCTATCAAAGACGGACACTTCTCACCGCAATCCTCGAACCCAACTGTCCACCCGACATTGGGAGCTCCACGGACTTTCGTTACGAAAACAGCCCGTATCTGGTCACGTCTTGTGTCAGTGCATGGCTGGAGTTGGTTTCCCGAGATGGTTTGGGTGAGACACTTTGCTTGTCTTTCCACGACGATTCTCAGATTGCAATAGCAAGTTTTCAAACAGGGCCTTCATAGTTCATGCTGTTCTCTGTTCCCAATCGGGAGGTTTCCACAGAGAGCATGACTCCTTGCGCACCTACATATATGTATATACGACCCTTCTATTCTGTTATCTGCCCAACTAGTATATATCTATTTCTGCTGCTGGCTGGTTCAAAGTTTACTAGATGGACCTGCATCCTCGCCTTCGGGAATCTGCACGACGACCTTACCCCAAGTCTCTCGCCCCCCAAGTGCCCGCAGAGCCTGGGGAACAGACTCTAAGCCAACAAACTTCTCATCGGTGAAGCTAGTGCCCTTGAATTTTCCCTCCTTGATTAGGTCGAATATACCGTTCCAGACAGATACCATCGTTTCTTTCTCAAAGGTGGCATATTGTCCCCAGTGCAGGCCCACAATACTGACATTTTTCAATAATACTCTATTGAGAGCGACCTTCTCAATTTTCCCCGCCGCAAACCCAATAACAAGGAGTCGAGCATTCCATGCAACGCACTTCAGGCTCTGCTCGATCATACCGACTGGATCATACACAATGTCCACTCCCGCCTTGCCGTTTCCGCTCCTGTTCTCGGCACATAGCTTCTTCACTACCTCAGGCCATTTTGGGTTCCTGTAGTCAATCGTATAATCGGCTCCAAAGTCTTGTGCCACTTGTCTCTTTCGTTCAGTGCCTGCCGTAGCAATTACCGTAGCACCTTTAGCCTTGGCAATTTGGACCGCTGCGAGGCCTACACCGCCGGCTGCGGCATGGACAAGGACCCAATCTCCCTTCTGCACGTTTCCTCTGTGGACAAGCCCGCCGTATGAGGTTGGAGCAGTAACAAATAGTCCTGCAGCATCTTCAAAGCTCCAGCCTTCTGGTAGCGGGAATAGCGATGCTTCGGCAGCGAGGATATGGGTGGCATATGCACCTTGGGTGGCACCAAACACTCGGTCCCCAACGGCAAACCGAGGGTTTTTGCTAGCGGTGGGAGTGCTAAGAATAACTCCAGCAAATTCCGTACCGGAAACCCATGGAAGCGGTGGCTGATGTTGATATTTGCCTTGTATCTGAAGCAGGTCGAAGAAATTGGTTCCTGCCGCATGTATTCTGATTAGGTACTTATCCGCGCTTGGGGAAGGGGTAGGCAGGTTCGACACCGTCAGGTCGAGCGGACCCTGTTGTATTTTGTTGTGGCGGTTAGCAAGCTGAGAGCGTCCATTCATAAATCCTGCATGTATTCAGGCCATACATACCTTTACATATTCTTTAACCTGGATTGCGCGCATCTTGGGTGGAGTATATTGTAAGTTATATGTTGATCCTGGGATATATATATTTGTCTTTTTGTACGGAGTATGTTTCCCGTCAATAATAGTTGGATTATTGTGTATTAACCAGAGAAAACGACGTTGTCGAGGAGCCTGAGGAGTTGCTTTAACTACTTCGCCCACCTTCGAGTTGTGCCGAGGTCCACGGCTTCTCCTGGTCGGCAAACTGGAAGTAACTACAACAACCACCGAGTAAACAACAAATACGCATAATAGTAACCAAGTGATAGAGAATTGGCTTTGACTGCAATGAAAATAGGGAGCTGAGCGTGTTCAACACAACCTGATGTTGTAAGACTGTAGTTGACGGGATAGACTTCGGCCAGCGCCGCGTCGGACAGAGAAGCCTGTATTTGGTCTCTATTGCGTTTGGGGTCCAGGCTGTGATATGCAGGTGGGAAATAGGAGTGAAACCAGCAGGGAATAAAGGCCATTGGGCATGCATGTATTCCGCATAGTTATAACCTGTGGGGGCTCAACTTGCATCTGACATTAGTTCAAAGGGTAGATAGGGACATGGAAAGGCAAAGAATTCCGTTTATCAAATAGCACCACCCCCATAGCTCTATAAAGTTATGGGTACCTGCTTGCGCAACGTTCAAATACCGAAAATCTAGTCTTGCAAAAGAAGAATACAGCGAGTTCATAGATAGGAGGTTTTCGGCTATTCCCTCCAGAAATCGTACATAACCAGCTGGTGAAGACGTATTTCACATGGCCAACAAAGGCTTTTTCTTTTCGAGGAGTATCCAGCTCCTAACAAGTATTATTTCGTACAAGCAACCATTCACCGTAGAGGGCATAGGCATAGTTAAAAAAAAAATGAATGACATCAAAAAGGACAGATAGACAGACAAAGGGGTAAGACATAACGCCCCATTCAGACAGATTAACCCTATTAATATTCCCGTTCAGTTTCCTTCCATAGCTTCGCCTTGACCCTTTTCCCATGCCTATGTCATCTAGAAGAAGTGAAAAAAAGTGGTAAATATGGAAGAAGAGACAGACAAGAAAACATAAAAAGCACCATACTCCGTGATAAAAGACATAGACGTACGTATCAAGAAGAGATTCAAGAAACGTACTGCGCCTTTTCCCAGAATTGAAAGAGATATTCGGGTGAAGAATCGTTCCAAGGGATGAATTATGATATGCTGGCCATTAGAATTAAAGCGAATGTATTAGAAACCAGTTATTTTTAAGGAGAGGCAAAAATGGGTATCCAACATCATGCAGTGTAAAAAGATTGTTTTTTTTTCCTTCTCCCCTTCAAGATAATATGGCAGATGCAAGCAAATACTCATTGCTTATAGCATCGGATGCGTATGGTTGATGGGATGCAAGTCCCATGGAGTCAGTGGTCCCCCCAATAGCAGAAATGTCTAGCGGCCCTGGTGACTCTATTTTCGGGTATCCATTGGTGAGAGCCAGGATAGAAGGCGACGTTACGACAGTGGTACATGCCGCTGAGGTTACTGGAGGTTGTGACTTTGCGTTTTGACAACCTCGCGAGGGAGAAACATCTCCTGCACACGAAAATTGGACCGAGCCTTCTCCGCTGGAAGAAGGCCGTTTCCAGGCTTTCACGGAGAATGAGTCAAGTATTTCGCCGTCGTTCAAAGGAAGATCCAAGACGGATGGGTAAGAGAGGTTTTCTTCGCTGTTCAGATACTCTTTCACATAGTTAACTTGCTGCTCCACGCTGGAGTCGTCTAGGGGGTAGATGGTGGGTGAACATCGCTGACACATATCGGGGGTAGGGTAGCTCCATGGGCTTGTGGGTTGTATGGCAGGAGATGGGAGGGTTGATCCTGGAGTGCGGACTGCATGGTGAGTGCTATCGGGCGATTGCCAGCCCGCTGGAAGTCCGCCCGATGCAGCATCGCTTGTTGGTGTGATGTCACCCGAGGAGGTGGTAAGATTGGGGTTGATTCCGGAGAATGCTTGTGCTGAGCAACTTTCGATGCTAGAAGAAGATCCCTGTGTTGGGCTTGCATTTGGATATTGGCGATTTGTGGGGTGAGTATGATGATGATGATGATAATCAGAGTAGCCGATTGGCGATTGGCAAGGGCCTTCAACCAGAGAAGCATTCGAGGAGGCGCTAGCTCGGCGGCCGTCGCAGCATGGAACGACTTTTAGTTGATGCGCATGATTATGAGAAGGTGCCATTATCCAGCGTACTCGGGTATCCCATGATTCTGGGTGAACTGGCTGCCCGGCGGGATGAGGGTATCCAAGAAATTGAGGAGGGTAGCTTTCATTGGCGCGGCTGCGCAGTTCAACTTCCTGAGCTGGTGATAGCGATAGTTGTCCTCCGCGCTCTGTAGGGCGGCTTGCAGGCCTCTTCCGTCTTTGCCTCGACGGCTTGGTGACTCCCCATTTCTTGAGTCTGCTGCGTAGTTGGGTTTCACTGTAATTGGGGCCCAACGTAAGCTAAACTTGCTCCTCCATTTGATAACCATTGATCAATGATGAATTGGTTAACCGAGGAACACAAACTTACGTTGGGTTGAAGTCTTCAGTGCGAATCTTCTTCATGACCTGCTTGAGCGGCCATTCCTCTTCTGTGTATAGATTGGATATCTGAGCGCGCTTGGTTTCCCAAACATCAGACGGGATTGTAGTCTTCATTGCCGCTGAATTGGGTCAAAACACAAAAGGGACTGGATAGCACAACAACCGAGTCTCAGGTTGTGACGGAGCCTGAGAAGATAGAATTGGGCGACGGGGCTATCTCGGGTTATATCTCGCATCAAGAGACACAGAATGATGCAACAGAGGACGGAAAAAGAAATGCGGAAACGGCGAAGCTATGGAGTACTTGCATACACACGTAAGACTCTGCACACCTGAGTAGGAAAGGAATAAACCTGTCCTGCGTACTAGGTTTGTACTCCAGCACCAAAACAATCCTCGTATCATGGGTCTTCCGAAGCTGCGCCAGCCACAGCAGCGGTGCCTTGCTAGCTAGCAAGTTCAAGCTTACTTAGAACGGGCCCTCCAAGACTTCGCTGGTACGTCTGTATGTATGTACCCAACGGAGTGAGGGTACACCGACGTCAGCGGCAGCCAGCACCACAAAAAGGGCAGATAATCATTTGCCACTAGCAAATTGACAGGGAAGAGTCCAGCATCCAGGGCTTTCTTCAGCGCGATGTGACAGGTCAGGTTATCTCCTGTGTGGCTCGCTGTCGGATCCATCGTAACTTCTATAAATTACCCATGGGCTCACCACATTTGTGTCAGTTTCTTCAGGGGCGCCACAACCACACCTGAACCCCTCCCGATAGACTCCTCCATCCTGGGCCCTCTACGTCTTTGGCGTAACGCGACTGGGTTATCCTGCATGCAACAGCGGAGCGAATCCCTCGCTATTTTGCATATACGCGGGTATTGCTTCGTACATGGCTGGGGGAGCGAATAATACCCTCTCCCTGAGCTTTTACCCGGATTTTCGGAGCATCGGGCGATGAGATTCCAGGCGATTGGTTGACGATTTGTTTAGAGGTACCTTCTGGTTCGATCTCTTGTCCTTCTTCGCGGTAGGGATCTAGCATGTTGATACTCGTGAAGGAGGAGCTTGCGCTTCAAGATATCAAGTAATGCCCCATTCATTACCGATTGGCGGATAAGGGTGGTCAACAGACCTGTCACTCGAACAGGGCTTGAAGAAGAGCTCAAATTGGAATCCTATCTCTCATTGATTTTGCCCTGTCCCGTTTTGATTATCGATTATTGATCTTCTCAGCCAGCCAGTGATGGGTTCCTCGGCTTAGCTAGAAAACTCTGGCACCCATAGCAGGTACTCTGCAGGGGACGATCTGCGAGCCACCAGAGAGCCGTGATGTCGTGCCTTGATCATATCGTGGGCCTTTTGAGTATTTTTGCAAGTCTACAGTTGCATTCTTCCGTCATGTTCTAAGGAGCATCAGGCTTGCAAGGAGGAAAAAAAACAACAGTTTGGAGGGGAGAAAAAGCAAAATGGAAGAAGCCTGTACATAGACTTGTAGATAGAGTAATTCACCCCCGTACTCCGTAAAGGGAAGGGAAAAGGAAAGGGAAAAAATAAAACAAAAAGAAAAAGAAACCAGATGTAATCAGATCGACAAGTTAAATTCAAGTGGGAGTTTGAAGGCCCCCAGAGCTTAAAAAACGCCCCAAGGGAGATCTTCACACCTTCTCCATGCGCCCAAGGAGCTCCGTTCTGGGAAGAGAAGAAAGCTGTCCTTGATGCCTGTGGCTTCACCCTTTCTCTACCTGTGCAGTCTTGCAGCTAAGGATACTAAAACAACCACCGGACTGCGTCAAAGCACGATGGCTTGCTTGTAGAGCTACTAGATGGCATGAAAATAGCTAGTCTGCTCGGGAAAGCCGCCAGGCGGAGCTACCGGACAAGCAGGAAGGGCAAAAAAGCCCCCTTCGGGTTATCGCCCTGAGCTCTCCTGGAACTGTGCTCTGCAGTGGGTACCGAGGCCGTGGCTTGCGAGTTTGCTTTTGATGACCTGTCCCCGTTGTACGGCGTCGATACGGCTCTCTGAACATGCGAAGAACTGTTCTATCCTCGCTGTATCTGCATGCAGATAACGGAGGAGACAACCGTATGGATACTCTGTACATGCCTTTCGTATCCGCACTGAGTCTATCTTCCGATGAAAAGGGGTTGTGCAATCTGTTTGTCACAATGCCTCCCCGGAGACCTGGGAACTGGGGCTGAGCTGAACAGCAGCGCTGCGAGACACGTCTGGAGGGGAATTGTCACCCTTCTCCTGTACGAAGTACGTTCCACTAGTTATACTAGTTAGTTATGGATACTCGTGGACGCGGAGTCCCCTTTCCTCTCTCCGCGGCGTGCTACCGCTGCCAACGGCCGCGATTGGTGATGGTCACTATAGTGACTTCGTTATAGCCATCTCTAGCTTGGCGAATCTCCCGCCAGTAGTAAATGCTCGACGGGCCTTGTCACCCAACCAACGGGCAGCCAAGCGGGGTGCAAGGTCGGGGATACGTGCTTAGCTCGCCTCTCTCGAAATCTCACTAATGCGGTGACATCGTGTCGCGTTCAAGTCCATTAGTTATTGTTATTATGTTATCAGAAGTGAGCCAGGCAATAAGCAGAATGTTATTCCGCCGGAAGCATTAGCCGAAGCTCTCCTTTAGGCAGCTAAGGGGGTGCGGTTAAAGCGGTTTTTCAATGGTGACTCTCTTGAAAAAGCAACATTTACACTTCGCGCACCTGAGAGGTCTCCGTGTAATCCGTATAAATAAATTGATTCCAAAGGGTGATATCCTCTGTATGGCAATAGGGCCCCATCTTCAAGGAGACCTCTTGCTTGCTGTCGAGGCCCATGATGAGTTATCTCCCTCGCGGCAGTTGAAATGGGGCATCTGACGGGCAGGAGAAGCCAGAAAACTTGCAGCCACTAGCGGCCGAAAGAATATGAGCCGAGTTAAGTAGCTGCTTCGACGTCACAGCCGAGAATTCTAGGTTGATCGTCTCCATCAGTGGGCACTCAGTAGTTAATCACGAGGGTTGATCGGCTTTCCGGTGCGGGTCTACCAATTGTCTCCTGAAAGACGGCAAGGTATTCCATACGAAGGAGTTACCATGCTTTTCCAAGGAGGCCTTCTATTGTGACTGTTTGGGTGGGCTGGAAAGAGCAGGTAATCCCGCGAGAAACCTGAGCCCAGCACTCTTGACTCCGTTCAATTTTGCTCCATAGCAGTAAGTAAATACGCTGTACTCCAATAGGCAGGCATGGATGCATAGTTGTTGTGACTATGTGATTCCGTCTGTTTGGGCCGACGGGAGATTCCCGCAATGCATAATAAAGCGATCCGTACCTCAAGTCGGTGTCCGATTGAGTTCTCACCTAGATGGAAATACATAGTTGGTGGCCCCTTGTTGATAGAATAGATATTATAACTAGTCGTGTTATAACTAGTTAGTTAACCGGTAGGTCTAATATAATATCCGAGCATCATATGACGGGGATTAAAAGGAGCCAATTTCGACGGCGTTATATCATTGGGGACCCCGGAGAGCTGTCAGAAACTCTACGACACCATCACATCACTCGAGACTGGCCACTGACATCGTCTCAAGATCGTGATAGCACCATGCCGACAGCAAGTATGACAAAGCCTGTGATAGATCGTCGTGATGGACATTCTTCACGAGGCTCTCGCGGCTGCTGGAGTCCCTCAATGGCTCTCCTCCCCTCTTCCAACCCTGCCCTCCTGCCACTCTTAGGTCGGGTGAAAATAATGGGATGAGAAAGAATATCCCATTGGATGGATTAAGGAGGGAAAAACAAGAGAGAGACTCCAGACGATTACCTGATGGCACTTTCGATATTCTGCGGTTGGAACTCAAATATCTTCCTCCTGGCTGCTCAAGGGCCATAAAGATATATCTGTACGGAGTACTCCGTATGTATCTGCACCAATGCCATGTATGCGTATATACCTCGACTTACATGGCGACGTATACTTTACCCCATCACTTCAAGTTGCTTGAGATCTTCTGTCATCCTCGCATGCACTTGCAAACCTCCACGGGATAATCGCGGAAAGAATACTGCTCTTTTGATAAATATATATTAACTTATGCAGAGTCCTGGGCCTGATGTGCAGCAAGCCTCCACCAGCGATCATGCATAAAGGGGCTTTTGTAGTTTGATCGATATACTTATTATGTAAAATGTTACCCTCTTTTCTCTCATGCTGGAAGGCTGGAGACTGCCTGGCTAGCTCGTTGTTGAAGTAGATCCTGGCTCAATTGAACTGTTGCACACTCACATTAGCCATGCACAGGTTTTTGACACAATCAGGCGGGGAGAAGGGGGAGCTCGTTCTTCTACAAGTTTCGTATAGTCGGTTAGCCAATGTAGAACAGTTCAAGAGAGAGCAGAAAGAAGTGCAAACAGCTGTCCAGGATTCAGGCCTGCTTCGGTTGCATGGGCATTTTCCCTTTCCATTCTGGCCTATCAACACAAAGGCTCCCCCGCCTCGTCCATCCACAGGGCTTGTCATTACAGAAGAAATATATATATGCCCTTGGAGGAGAATGACAAGTTAAGCCGACAGTGAGATTGGCCAAACCACTGCATTGTGTCTGTTGATCCATTCAAGCCCCCGTTTATGCTGTGTAACTGTTTGGAGGTGGTGAAGCTTCCGCCGAGATGGAAGTCGACGCGCGAGAGAAGGACAGCAGTGGTCAATCGTGTAACCATACAACATAGTCCACATTGGCTCGTGGAGCGGAGATTAAAAGAGGGCAAGCAGAATGGCCAGTGGTGATGAAATTGAAATACTAAATAAGTTGTAGTGGAATAACGTTATTTGTTAAGACAGTGGTGGAGAATCAAAAAGTGAAAATAATGATAGCAATGGACAAGAAGCGAGCAAGGCGACATATTGGGCAGGACGAGAAGGAAGGGAAAAGAAATACAAAAGCACAGGTGAAAACGCTCAAATGCACCTCACGATGCGTAGGTTGCCTTGAACCTCGCTGCATACCGGCTAGTCAACTAGTCAGTGTATAGATAGAGTGAGAGAAACGAAAACAAGGCTAAAAAGAAACGTAACGCCCTGCATAGGTTATGCGCTCTAAATAATATTGGTTGACCAAGGCAATGTGACGGGGAAAAATTTTTGTTTTTCGTCGATTCCTCTGGGGCGCAGGGCCGCGTTTGCTTTTATTTCATGATTCCATACGGAGTAATGATGATGGCAATGGGGCCTACTGGGAAAATATGAGATATCCTGTGTACGGACGGCCGTTAGGAATCTATCTCTTTCTTCGGATGCGATGTTCCCTTCCCCTCTTTGATTTCTTTCTTTGCTTATCGGCCGGAAGCACAAGTGGCTCGTCTCTGAGGTTCCACTCCATAAAACGAAGCAGATAGTCATCGATATGGCCAATGTGGGATTCAGAATCATCACCTTCAACAGGACAGCGGTCATCGGGGGTCACGGAGATGGAAACCGGATAAGTATTGCCGTTTGCGTGTGATACAGAACGTTCATACTCGCCTGCTTCGGTGGGTGCAGGGGTCCCTAGCAGGCTTTGGGTGGTAGGGTGCTGTTGTCCTTGCGCTGCTGCTGGCGTCTGTGGAGTGCTGACATTATCGAAGTTGCTGTCATCAACAGTTTGCTCAAGTTCCTTTTCAGCCGTCTTCGCGGCATCAATGTCTTCTCTATCCTCGGCTTGCTCGAAGATACGCGAAGAAGTCCCGTGAACCTTGGTATCCAGGACCCTGTCCATGGCTGCACCAGCCTCGTCATGACCTTCGCCCAGCCCCTCGTCACCTAGTATACCGCTGACGTCGAGTCTGTTGAGATAGTCGGTAGTGAACTCTCCTTCTTGTATCACTACGTCATCCAACATCCTTTTCTGGTTTGCTTTACGTAGGATATTGGACTCGATCGTATATTCGGAGACAAACCTGTAGATGTGCACATCTCGGGTCTGACCAATCCGGTGGCAGCGGTCCTGGCATTGTTTGTCCATCGCTGGGTTCCAATCCAAGTCGTAGAATATGACAGTGTCTGCACCCGTTAAATTGATGCCTAGACCGCCCGACCGACTTGAAAGAATAAAAGCCAAGATCCGTGTATCATTGTTGAACCTCTCCGTTAAGAGTTGCCGCTGTTCAATCTTTGTAGAGCCGTCTAGCCGGAGGTACCGATGACCATGGATATTCAAGAACTGCTCTAGAATATCCAACATTTTGGTCATCTGAGTGAAAATCAAAGCTCGGTGACCACCAGCCTGCAGTGTCCGAAGTAGTTTATCAAGCTGCTGAAGTTTCCCACAGTCGTATTGCAGTAATCGCTTGTCTGGAAAGGCAATTGATAGTCGCACCTGGGCTTCATGGAACGGGTCATATGCAGGAATTCGCTGTGAAGGAGTAAAATAGCGTGATGTGATGGGTGTGAGCGTAGCAGCTGTAACTCCTTGGGCAACAGCAGCTGGCGTGAGACATGCGAACTTTCGTACCAACGGTTCCATTACTAGCGATGTTGATTCCACGGATCGTATCATCGAGGCAAGTACCAGAGACTTATTTGAAAGCCAGTCGAGGAGTAACTTTCGCGGCGGCCGATGCCTGGTCTCTTGCTGGAGGGGAGTGATGATGGTAAGCTGATCGATAAGGCTCTGGCCATATACTGGACGCTGGCCATGGCGTTTGGATTCGAAGTACAAACATCTTTCCAATTCCCTCATACGGGACTTCCGAGCATTGTTGTCCATTGAGCGTAAGGTTGACCGTACAGTGGATCCATCGAAGTTCATATCCCAGTTTGTTCGATTATACTGTCGTTGTCGAAGAGAATTCAATGGATTGTATGCCATGATCCGAGCACAGTCTTCAACCAATATCTTCGAGCCCTGTTCCCGAGAGATCGGAGCAAGATTCAGAAAGTCCAGGTCCAGCTTCTCTAGGATATTTTCTTTCAGCAATCGTCGGCGAACAAGAAGGTCTTTGATTTCAAAATCTGACACAACAGAGCTGGGCATGGCAAACGAAGTACTAATTGGCCGTGTCTCAAACAAGTCGGGATGGTTACAGACTTTACGGAGTTGCATCAAACAGTTGATGATGGAGAGGTAATTCCCCGAAGCCAGTGTCTCCTTCGTTTGGGTTCGAGACATAAACCCATCATAGAGATACCGCTGGCGTTTTGATAAACGGCAGGCAACAACATGCTCGTATTTGGCGGGCATTTGTTTCTCAACATCCACCTTAAGACGCCGAAGTATGTAAGGCCTTAGAATGGTATGTAGTTTCGAAACAACTGCTTTGGCCTCATCGTCCATCGTTTCTCTTCCGTGCTCTAAGATCTGCTCGACAGGGCGACGGAACCATTCTGAGAAATTCCGGAGATCCGCAAACCCTTCGATGCCATTACCGTCTTCATCCGATGGCATGAGGAAGAACAAAAGCGACCATAGCTCTGTCAGGTTGTTCTGTAGTGGTGTTCCTGTAAGAAGAAGCCTTGCTTGAGTCTTGAAAGTAAGCAATGTTTGCCATCTTTGGGACCGGAAGTTTTTGATATTGTGGGCTTCATCGAGCACCATATAGTGCCAGTTTCGTCGTCTGAAGATTTGTTGATCCTGCAGGACAAGTTGGTATGAAGTGATGCATACATGCCAACGGTCGTCGTCCATCCAACCTTTTCGCTTCTGCCTTCGTTCTTCCTGAGTGCCATAATAAGTAAGTATCTTAAAACCTGGACACCACTTTTTGAACTCCATCTCCCAGTTTAGCATGACACTGGTTGGAACTATAACGAGATGTGGACCCCAGACCTCGTGCTCGACGGCTAGATGAGCTAGAAGTGCTATTGTCTGGATTGTTTTTCCTAAGCCCATCTCATCTGCAAGAATGCCGTTTATATTGCTTGCGTATAGACCAGCGAGCCAGTCGAGGCCAAAGTGCTGGTATTCACGCAATTTCCCTCGGAGAAGATGGGGGATAGGAGTCTTGATACCAGTCTTCTCGACAGCTGAGGCCGTTTCGTCAACACTCGTAGCTTTAGGACTGCCAGCCCGAGAAGTTGAGATCTGTTGGTTCCCCAAGGAGGTCACTTCGGTTAATGTCGGGTTCTCTGCAGTTTCGTCATTGGCGTCTGGTGCCAGAGATGTTGCCTCTCCTGAATCACCGTCCAACATGGGGGTATCTTCGTTATCAGATTTCGTTTCCGGGCATTTTGGCGTACGATGTGCCTGCTTGTCACTTATTCCAGCGTCTTCTTTAACTTCATGAATACCGTTGACAGCTGGATTTTCGGCATCTTGGGTGGTATTATTTGAGCCTTCAAAGGCCCTATCGCCGTTGGGGATAGTGGTTTCGGCTTTGGAGAAAAAGCCTAGCAAACCTCCTCCTCCATCATCACTCTCATCGCTTTCCTCACTGTCATTAGCGTCATCAGCATATTGGTCTTCGTCCCCTTCATCGCTATCACCCATATCATCATCCATGTCGGTAGACTCATCAGATTCATCGAGTAGTAGAGGATCGACCTCCTCTAGCTTGACGAAATTTAGATCTTCCTCCCCGGCTAGTGATATTTTATCTTTCAGCAGTTCTTTAACATCATCATCCCCACCAGGCACTGTCTCTCTATCCTCATCTTGGTCCTCATCCTCATCCTCATCCTCATCCTCCTCGTCTTCATCTTCACTCTCACCGCTAGATTCACCGGAGACTATGGAAACGTCCATAGCTGCAAGATTTGCATACTTTGCACGAAGTGCTTCTGGGCTTAGTTGTTCATCGTCGTTGCCATCCAGGCCCTCATCGCTTTCGGTCTCAGAGCCCGAGGATGACATGTTACTGTCATCCACTGAGTCCCCAGTATCACTAGATGTGGTTTCCCCTCCTTCATCTGTCTCATCTCCCTCGTCATCCTCATCATCATCTTCCAGTTCGCCTGTTCCAATTCGATCTGATCTTCTTCTCTCAAATAGCGCCGTGGATTTCTTCAGAGCATTGTTCAAAGCTAGCTGTTCTTCCATCTTACGCTCTTGTTCCCAAATAGCTAACCTAGCTTTGTCAACTTCCGCACGGACTAGATCAAACTGCCGTTGCAGGTCCTTGATTAGCTGCCGGCGTTTCTGGCGTAATTCATTGTGTTGTTCTTTGAGAATATCTTCGGGAGCCTTGTTTCTCTTTTTCCATGCATCTGCACACCAGTGCGCAAATAACCTGGCAAGGTTTCTATGGTGCTTACGCTCCTTATCAAGAAGTTTTTTGAAATATAACGCGTGGGCCACAAAGTGGTCTTGATGTGAATATTGACGGGGGGCGATCTCTTCGGGGTCTGTCAGGTAGAATGAACAGCGTTCTTTACTAAGAACTTGGTTTGGCTCTCCTGCCTCCTGTAGTCTTAACCTGGTCCGAGCCTCCTGCAAGGCCTCCTGTGGAGTAGAGAAATGGATATCTTCATCACCAGGTGTAGTCTTGTATAGCCATTCATAGAAGGATGAATATTGTTTGGGAGGGAGGACGTGCGAAGGGTGCTGGATTTCCAACGAAGGTATTTTGACGCGAAACCGTAGTCTTGGGAGCTTCTGGTTTGTTCCATCGTCCCCGTCCCTCGCCTCGGACCGACTCCAGCCCTGATGGCCTCCATTTTCCTGCTTTACAATGGCTGTACCGTCACTCTGCCTTCGCCGAGGCCTTCCTGGTTTACGCTTCACTGGAGGATCTGACGGAGAGTTAGGGTCGACGGCGTGGGACGATCGTGGGTTGTCAGAGACGCGCCTCTGGGACAAAGGTTGAGGCTGAGAAACACTTTTCGCAAATCCTGAAGCCGCCTTAGATATAGTAGCGCGTCTAGAGGCACCATTCGGAGAAGAAGCTGGATCCGCACCATTATTGGAATTGCTGCCCCCTAGCACACGTCTACCATTTATCTCCGGCCTGGCACCCCCGAGGGGTGACGCAGAGCCACCACGCCCCTGACTCCAGCCCTGTATTGTCTTGTTAACCAGCCCCTTTTGCACCGGAGACTGTGTACGTCGTGGATCACCCTCGGGCAGCATCTCGATAGGTATCATGTTCGTCCTGGTCGACCGCCGCTTGCCATCTTCCATAAAGGAAGTAGGTCCATCGAATCCGGCGCGTTTCCATGGCGGAGAAGGCGGCCGTGGTGTGCTCCTCCCCAAAGTCCCTCCAAGCTTCCGCCGCTTTGACGGCGGTCCATTAAGCTCATTAAGCTGTTCGTGTTTCGCGATGCCATTACTGCTATCCTTAGTATCTTCGGGGAGAGAGTCTGACTGTGGTTGCTGGGAGGGAGTATCGGTGGGCGTCGAAGGTCTGGCTATGCGCTGAAGGCCACTGTCATGTTCAGGAGTCGAAATATCGCGGCTGTGTCCCCTGCCGTTCGGCGTGCCGTTTTGCATGTCTTGTCACTAAGGAAAGACCAAAAAAAAAATTGAATGGGGGGAAAAGGAAAATAAGCTAGAGAAAAAGAACCCAACCCGTGGTATCTGGGCGAATATGCGGTCAAATATACCAAATTTCCCATCAATCGATAGATCTATGTCCGTCGAGGCCACACACGAAACCTGGCATCGTTATCGGCAAATTTGCGCTGTTGGCGGGCGAAAAGATGGCTGAGTCTGAGGATTTGGCGGGAAGTCGTTAATTTTCGCCGCTGAAGCTCGCGAGTTCACTAAACTACAGCGATGACTAAGCATATGACTAAGCAGAGATTGAAACCAGCAGCAAAAGGCGAAAAGACGACGAAGAAACAAGACGAGCGAGAAGAGACACGCAAGACAGCGACAGCAAGCCGAGAAGTTGCCAATGGTGAGTGGTGCCTGGCCCTGGGAGGCGGCAGGGGGCTGATTACGGTGGTTTTTACTGACGGTCGAGAGCAGATGCTGTCGAGACGAGTCCTGTCGGCGGCGCGAGTGCCAGCGCTGGCTCGCATGCCAACAACCCCCAGAATTACAGCGACACAAGTCAGATATGCCTCTCAGGCTGATATACAGGACCCCGGCATGGTTCGTCACCGGAATTTAAACAATTGGCTCTGACGAAGAGGAGTACGGGGAGGAGTGGTGTGTTTGAGCTGACTGTGGTTTACAGAATGGAGGATATGAGAACCCGCCAGCAGTGAAGCGCCAGTTCCGTGACCCAAACGCAGGGTGGTGGGATCCTCAGGATAAACGAAACTTTGGCGAGCCGGTCCATGAAGACAACGATATCTTGACGACGTTCAGCCCGGAGGAGTACACTCACTTCAAGGCTCCCAAGGCCTTTTTCCTGCTCGGCTGCTCCATAGCCAGCGTGTTCGCCTTTTCCGGCCTCGTCAGCCTCTTCTATCCAGATAAGCCCAGCGCCCCCCGAACCTTCCCAGACGGACTTGAGACTGAGCTTGGTGGACCAAATGCTTTATCTGTGAGTGCCATGGCGGATTCTTGGAGCCTCAAAGTGACATCGTAACTGACAGTATCTACTCTTTCTTACTTTTAATAGGCGAGAAAACCTCATGAGGACAGCTGGTGATGGCCGAGGAGGCTATTGTACTTGTATATAAAAAGGCAGCCTAGAGATCCAATCACAGAGTCAGTGCGAGAGTCTACTTCTCTCTTTCCCCCTTTCTTATACCGCGAGTGCATTCGCCCTGCTTTAGCGGGACATGGCGGTCGAGAAGGCTGTAAAATGCTCCTATTGCCCGGCCATAGTCACACAGCTCAACATCAGCTACTGGCCCGATTTATAATGAGCAATCCATATGGCGGAGGTAGTTACCGACACTGATCATGCCTTCATGGCTAGACTTAGTGAAGGCGCAACTCACCGCTCCGGCTAGGAAGTCCGGTAGTTTAGCAGCCTAGATATGGTATGCTATGCCTCTCGCAATCTCCGCCAGGAGGGAAGCCATAATATATATGCATTAGATGTACACATAGATATAGCAAACCGTAGAAACAGCCCGAGACGGAGGGTTTTTCCCTATTTATTGACTTTATGCTCGATATAAATATCAAGCCATCTTCAATGCAGGGGGTCCAGCAGCAAGCCACATGAATGAGATGCGACGCACTACGTCAGAGGCCAAACAAAATCCACGTCGTTTCCCCTGGGCGGCAACAATCAACCACATCGAGCTGCTTCTTCTGCTATTTTTTTTTTTTATTAAATTATTCCTTTCTCTTTTTTGCTGTTATTTGATAGCTCGCTGCGCCCTCGACTCGATTCAGCCAAAGTATCACAGGGGCTTCGCTTTTCCTTCTCGCCGAACGCTGGGTGGCCGTGCTTCTGCCCCTTTGGCCTGTAACGTGACGCTGGCTGTGTTTTCTCTTCCTTCACCAACACAAGCAAGCAAGACAGCGTCATCCCGAGGGTTTCTTACTTCCTTCTCCTCATATCTCTCTTTCTCAATACAGGTGAACCGAAGCGACATTCTATCTCTAGGCCTGGGACGTTATACTGAGTACTGAGCTTCTCTAGATCTATGCGCGACGCCGACGTTGACAGACTGCCATCCCCTGGACGTTGGACCACTAAGCTCTGATGAGCGTGAGCATCAGCGAGACGGCTTTCATGTCGGGCTCCCAAAGACACTCTGTGGGCGGTATCAGACGCGTGGACAGCCCAAGCAATAATGTCCGGCGTCACTCGAGAAATATGTCTGCCGCCCGCCGGCGTCGGGTCAGCAGCAACGATGCCTATACCTATGCCCTTCGGGTCGCCTTCCTAGCCTACCTTCTTCAGGCGCGAACAAAGATAGTGCAGGCTGCTCCTCCTGCTGCTCGGCCACCGTCCCTCAACCGGGCTTCAACCTCCTTTCATGACCTGATGAAGGATTTCAGCTTGGTGCGGGACTCAAAGAGCACCAGGTTCCCGCACGGGTTTATCAGTGAGCTTGAGAGGCGGCTGACAGGAGTGCTTATTGGCAGGGAACATAGAAAGGAGTTTCAGGATTCTACCGTCAAAAGGACGTTTGGAGCCTTTCTAAACTCATTAAAGGAGCAGACCTTCAAGAAACGGATGGAAAAGGACAGACGGGTTGAGGATCTTGTGCTTATTTTCTTCTCCAATGCAACCAAGGAACTGTCTAAGGGGAAAGTCCCGGAGGATACTAGCTGGAAGCTGATGGTGGATCGTCATGTTGCGTTGTTTGTCCGGCTTATCACTTTCATTCTAAAGGACCATGACTGGATTAAGGACCGCCCAGAGCTGGCAAGCAGGTTAGCGACACTAGAAAGCAAACTGCTTGCCCATGACCAAGATCTTACTGTATCCTCGCAAAAGGATAGCCACACCATTGAGGTTACTGCTCCACTAAGCTATGATGTAAAAGACATGCCTCTAGTGCAGACTGTTGCAAAAGCATTTGGTCTACGAAATTCTCAGGTCCAATCGGATATCAACAAGAACAAGGATTCCTGGACTGGAAAGGAAGCACTGCAGGATTTGAAGTTATATCAAGCACACCTTAACCTCAATACTGGAGGCACCCTCTCTGAAGCCGATTTCGAGGTTGAAGAGGGCTATGAAGCATGGAGAAAAGCGGAGGGTCCAGACCTCTCACAGATGATGTTAGCTATTATCCAATCCAACCCAGAGCTCGCAAAGAGTACGGGTGCAACCTTGCCACAGTTCAACGCTCAGATGGCAGACAGTCCAATTGGGGATGACATAAACCTGGATCCGTATCCCAACACCTCAGAAGGCTCCTCTTATGTGATCGACCAGCCAGTGGATATGAGCTCATTATCTCTAGAAGACCAGACCTACGAACACCCTGACACAAACTTGTACACATTCATACCCCCGGATCCACGATCATATTATAGGTTTCTGCTAAACCAATTACTCACCCATGATCTCCGTGACCAGTCGCTCGATGCTTCAGAGGCTACTTCGGAAACCCCTGCCTCAAAATTACTATCAAAGCAGTCGACCGAGTTGCTTAATGAAATATGTCTACGGTGGAGGATACCCAACTTCACTCGAGTAGTTCTTTTCTTGGACGTATTTCGGGAAAAGTACGTGGACCAGGAAATCAGCCTGGACACTCTCGATTCAGCATTCACGTTTGTCAAAGATCCCCCATCGACCAAAAATAAGCGCGCTAGCATAGTCATGGCGCCCATACTGTACGATAGGAACAAGTGGACACAGGCGGATATATTCTGCATGCGACGTGTCGTAACTGGGATGCATGAAGGTTTGCTTCGACAGTTGTATGAAACAATGATGTCCTGCTACGAAACCAAAATTCCGCCAATAGGCCCGGTGATGTACGTTCTAGAAAACCATGTCGAATCTGATCCGTATTTCGTGGAGAGTACGGAAGGGCGAGAGCGGTTCTGTGAATATGCCTCAGAAGGGCTCTTAGAGAAGGCCAAAGCTATCTACCAGGAGTCCCTGAATAAAGAGATTCCTCCTGAGCAGCATGAATGGGAGTTTCACCACGTTATTCAGCTTGGCAAGGCTGTTATGAAAGTATGTCAACGGATACAAAACGATACAGGAAGAATCCTGATATTTTAGGGTAAGCAACCTATGGAGCATTCTAGCCTCAAGACCAGTCTAACCACTTTTCCCATAGAGTCAATCCTATTACTGTCTTGGTGAATTATATTCTCCCTGTGTATGCTGAAGATGCAAGGGATATGATTATCCGGATAATGGAGCAGGCACAGGAAAAGAATGAACAGATTGAGATGCAGGATGGCTTCGATTTATACAGCGAACTTTCTAGCATTCGACAAACTTACATTGAAGCCCTTCCTGGTGAAAAATTTCCTTTCCACCTCGAGGAACTGCTGGCAGAATTTGTCTGGCGATGGATACAGGTTACAGACACCAAAGTGAATGACTGGGTAAACCAGGCCGTTAAACAGGACAATTTCAAAGTTCAGACAGTTTCCCCAGGCGAGATACCTACTGAGGAACAACGGCATAGTGTCTCAGTAACGGACGTGTTTCGGTCATTTAATCAAGTTGTGGACCAGATAGCGCAATTGAATTGGGACGACGATGTAGGATATGCGAAATTTATGACAGCTATTTCACGATCGATTGGGAACGGAATGGCAAGATACTGCGAAGTTTTAGAAGGGTTATTTAGCCGGGAGATGGACAGATTGACACCGGAGCAGGAGGCTGCGGCAAGACAAACAAAGCAGGAAAAGTGGATGCAGATGGCAAAGGATGCTTGGAGTAGCAAGGAAAAGGTTGAACCGTTTCAATTCTTTCCAGAGGTATGTTACATCCTCTTGTCTCGTTTTATACCCTTCCTCATTCATTCCCTTGCCTAGTAAAAGGACTAGCTGCTTACTATAACCTCTCTCAGTCATTTGTGAAACTCAACAACATTGAGTATGCACTGCAGAAATTTGACCAGCTAGAACGTGACATCAATGTCGATGCATGCGCTGAGGTGTTAGCAAGGAACGCACCGCCTCTAGCTAAGCGGCAACGCAAAATAACCAATTATGTCTTCACTGTCAAGATTGTCGAGGCCGAAGACCTCAAAGGCTGCGATCTGGACGGTCTGAGTGACCCATACGTTGTCTTGACCGATGAATACCAAAAGCGAATCTCAAAATCCCGTATCATCTACAATAACCTTAATCCACGATGGGACGATACGGTAGATATCATGACAAAAGGCCCATTGAACATTATTGCAACAATATGGGATTGGGATGCTGTTGGGGATCACGATTACGTTGGCAGAACGTCAATGAAGTTAGACCCTGTGCATTTTGCAGATTTCGCACCACGGGACTACTGGCTAGACCTGGATACTCAAGGGAGGCTACTACTGAGGGTGAGCATGGAGGGGGAGCGCGACGATATCCAGTTTTACTTTGGCAAGGCTTTCCGTACGCTCAAGAGAACGGAGAAGGAGATGACGAGAAAAATTACGGAAAAAGTAAGTCCTCTTCCCATTCGCATATGGTATCCAACAACTCAGGTGCTAACCTGGCTTATAGTTATCGGCATATATAAACCACTGCCTATCACGACGAGCTCTTAAAGCCCTACTCTCACGGGGAATCAGCATGTCAACTGTCTCTAATTATTTTAACCGGAACCGGACACAGTCAAGTCAAGCCCCGACGCAGGCGGAGGTTGAAAATGCTCTTACGCCACTCTTTACGTATTTTGATGACAACTTTTCTATCATGAACCAAACGCTTACGGGCCCTGCAATGCGTACCGTCATGGCTCGACTGTGGAAAGAAGTCCTTTCTACGGTTGAATCTCTCCTTGTCCCACCATTATCTGACAAACCTTCCAATCAAAAGCCACTCACGCAACTAGAGCTTGACATAGTCCAGACCTGGCTTGGATTACTTCTTGCCTTCTTCAACGCCGTTGATGAGGAAACGGGGGAAGCCAACGGAGTACCCATAGATGTCCTCAAAAGCCCAAAGTATCATGAGATACAGACGCTGTTCTATTTCTATTTTGAACCCACGGAGCAACTGATCCGTACTTCAGAGCGCATGGCTAGCGCTACTGCTGCTAGACAGCAGGCGAACCGTAACCGCCTATCTACCTCAACCATGACTTTAGGTGTCCCAGGGTTTGCAGGAGTTCTCTCCGCCAGACGAGGGAAGAGTATCTTACTATCCCGCAACCTGGGCACAATGAAAAAGGCGAAAGAGGAGAAGCGGCGTGAGGCTCAGGCCGAGCCGAATGATGATATGATATTGAGAATTCTTAGAATGCGTGTGGAAGCTGCTGGGTATCTTCGAGATCGAAGCAGGCAGAAGGAGCGGCTGGCCACGGCGGCTGCTGCAGACCTAATTGTTAAGCAGAGTCTGATGGCCGGCACCGGAGGGCGTATGTCAGGAACTTTACCCCGATATTGAACAGCTACGAAATGTTTTTTTCACTTGTTTTTCTACTTCTCCTGCTTTTGGCGTCGGAATTAATGTTATCTCGTTCGGGCGTGTGATGGTTGCATGAACATGATGCGCGCTGGTGGAATGGGATGGATGGTATACCAATCTTTCATCAATTTTTTGTACTGGCATACATAATAATATCAATTAGTATTATAGAAGTTTGATATCGTCCTATTCTGATATTCATGATCTTCCATATATATATATACGTATGCCATTATTCATTTATCATACCATGATACAATGGGTTGTTTCTTTCTTAGGGAGATGTACACAGGGTTGAATGCCGTCTACTGGAGAGCAATGCACTCAAGCTCGACTGGAACACCCTTGGGAAGCTGGTGTACTGCAACACAGCTGCGAGCGGGTTTGTGGGAAAAGTACTTCTCGAACACACCGTTCATCTCAGCGAAGTCAGCCATATCAACGAGGAAGACCTGTATACTACAAGTTAGCATTGAACCTCCCTCTTTCACAAGTGGCAACACGGAAACGAGTGCGAGGTAGAACATACATTGACCTTGACGACCTTGTCAATGGAGGAGCCGGCAGCAGCTAAGACAGCGCAGATATTGCGGCAGCAGAGGTCAGTCTTCTCAGCAATGCTTCCCTCAAGGAGCTTGCCGGTGTTGTCGGCGGGGATTTGGCCGGATACAAAGACCTGCCCGGCAGCCTTGATGGCTTGACTCTGTAGATTATTTAGATCAATGCTTTCAATTGATACAACATATCCACAGAGAAAAGGGTAAAAAAACGCACGTATGGGCCAGCAGCTGGAGGGAATCAGTTAGTCTATCTTGCTAACTCCTTGAATGAAATAGCCGGCGGGGCAAGCAATGGAGGGGTGCGGTTTTCAACTTACGGGGACAGGCGTCTTTGGTGAAGACGGGTTCCATGGGAGCAGACATGATGGCAGTTCTGGTGAGTGTGCGCGTGTGGCAAGGCGGAGTTGCTGATAGACGTGAGAGTCGAAGCGGACGAAGTTGAGCGTAGGAGGGAATCAGTCGGCGAGCCAGCATCAGGATGCGTCTTTCGTAGTTGATTTGTATTTATAAGAGAAACGCAAGGGGTAACTGCCTAGGTTAGGTTACGCTAGTGAGTTTAGCTAAGGCAGTTCCCCGCGGTCTTTTGCGGTTAAAGTTACCCGGATGACTAAGCCGGTAAACTCGTTGGCATCAAAATCAAGACTCCGGGAGACAAGATGAAAAGTGTCGAGAAGACTGGACATTTGGATTTTTCTCCTATGCTATTGACAAGGTTTCTAGAGCTTGGTTTATATATTGTACTTTAAGAAACAGTACTCCGTGCTCTTGATCAACGCAGTCGTTTAGGGGCTGATCAAGCTTTCCAGGCCTTTGCTAGGAACTCCCTCATAGCGACCGGCTTAACATCTGGGAACATGTTGTTGACGCGGTTCTCCTTTGGCAAACTGAAGCCGTCTATAACAACAACTTGGCTCATATAGGAAACAATCCAGCTAATTATTTCTGGAGGGTATACAACTTTGTCCGATTGCGGGAGGGGGGTGGATTCGTTCTTCTTTACCTTCTCCAGGCTGTCATAAGAAACTTCAAATTTGGTGCCTATAGAAGCCGGAAAAGGTTAGTTCAGCCAATAGGAAGTAAACACCATCATGACGCCTCTTATTAGAGCCATACCGCGAATCTCTTCTGCCAGGCTTAACAATTCATTGAAAGTGAGGTCGTCTCCTCCCATATACGCAAGCTCCGGCCACTCCTCGGCACCGAGTAGCTTTACAATGAACTTGGCCATATCGTACGAATGGGTGAGGGTGATAACGTTATTGCCATCACCGGGGATCAAAGCTCGGCCGCTGGGGATATCAACCCCATAAGCGAGTGGCTTCAAATGAGTGCGGGTATTTGGCATACCCCAATAATCCATAAAGTAGCCTGGGAGGATTCGGGTGTATTTTAACTTGGTCTCTTTGAGTGCGTTGATTGCGTCGATGTACAGCTGTACTCCAGGAGTAATATGAAGGATCCTATTCCTAGACTGTTAGTAGGTATCCTTCTTGCTATAATATTTTGTGGGGTAGATTATAATATTACTCTTCTGATTGAACGAATGAATACTCGCTGGGAATGAATCTTTTGGTTACAGAAGATTTTTCTGCAGCCTGTATGAGGTTCACTTGAGACTGGCCTGCCTCGGGGGTGACCATGCCGATTGTGCAGATTACGGTATCTATATTGTGTTTCTCGAGTGAAGCGGCAAGGGAAGAAACGTCATTGTAATCTACCTCAATCTGCTCAACCTGGTCTGGAAGGCTGGAGGCCTCCTTTTTCTGTTGGCTGTCAGCAGGTAATTTCCAATATAGTGGCGCTAGGCTTTCATACACGGGTGAGAACAGCGACTTGTTTCTGATACTCGGGTGTTTCTAAAAGCGTGTCGACAATCGTCCTCCCCACCGGCCCCATGCCTGCGATTGCGATAACCATTTTGTATAACTTGAAGGGTCTGGAATGCGACTAGAAAAAGGGCTGAGAGTTTGGAGGAGGACAGTATTTTTGGCAATGCTAGAATGAATATTAGATAGGGAGAAGTCAGATAATCATGGGTTGGCCCAAAGTATTTATTTTCCTATAGCGAACCAACAAAGAAGAGGGGTGAATGACTGTTATCCCTGGCAGCTGGAACTACTTCTCTCGCATAGGATAGAATACTCAGTACAAGCCGGATGATGTAATAGCCCTTCTAATGGAGACCTGTCGAGTTGCAAACTGAACTGCATAGAATGATATACATACAAACAGCCACCATGGAGCATCTTCCTGTTATTATCTAACCATCCAATTAGCTCTTCGAGGCAGAGAGTCAAGGGGGAGAACTAATAGTACAATTGAAGCTGATTACAACAGACCCTCCAAGGTTCTGGTCAGTCAGCCCGCTACATGTTAGCATTTCTCAATTTTTCTTTTTATCAGCGGCAGTGCTGCGAAAAAAGTCTCGTCTGTTTCTGATATTTGGGATGAAGGTGACGTCGGTGGACCCGTAGCTGAATAATTGTCATGGACTAAAAATCAGATCCTAGAAACTGGATACTTGGGATTTATTCCACTGTATTCCGTAGGGCCACTTTTCGGACTTTAATGGAACGTGCGAAAAAAGAGAGGATGAGAAGCAGCAGCAAAAGCACAGATGTAATGCTCCTGGCTTATCGTTGACGAAAAATTTACCCCTCTTTAATATATTCTTATACAGTTACACACTCAATTGAGACCCTGCCATGCGCGGTCAAAAACGCACCTGTCTGGTGAACCATTTTTTACCTAAGTAACTGTCAAACATGGAGTCCAATGGGGAAAGAATATAACGCCGGTATCAAGCCAGGCGGCTGTCTATTTTGTTGAATATACCTATATATAATCGGCATACTAAGGCATAAATATGATCCAACGAATATCTCCACAGTCGTAGAAAAAAGAAAATTGGCTACTAGATTGATATCCAATATTTGTGTAACCAAGAGGTATTGGTCTTCTTATTTTATGGTCAATATTTCCTAGAAAGCATTAAAAAAGAAAGAACCAAGCCAGGGCGACCACCTTAGGTCTCCAACAACACTCGTATCCTTTATGGCTCAAGACACACACGGAAATTTGAACCATGAGTGTACTCCGTAAGCAAATAGGCTGTTTAGCAAGTGTTAACTCATTTTTCGTGCACCAACTGACTTCACTACTGCATGGACCAAAGTATTGGTAACCACCGAGATTTTGTACGACGGAGATAAGGTGATTGCTAGCTGTTAGGTAGTAGCGGAACGCCCGCTGAAGAGATGTCATATTTGCTATTCGACTGCATTGAGAAGATTTGTACAGCCTGTAATCAAAGAGAGGTAATTCTACGGACAAAGGCCGTAACTTGTCAATGCAGGGCTTCGAAACTCAACATCCCAACAGTTTTCGAGAGAAGCTGACGAATTATGATCCATTACTGATAACATTTTATTTATGGCTGCATTGATAAGATGCGAAAAATTGAGTAAGTTGAATTATCTTATTTTGGCGGGGCTGTGATGTCGCTTGGTATATCTTGTAATTTGGTTGGATATCGCTGAAATAACTAATAAGAGGGTGATTTGGGGTCTATAACTATATAAGACGAGCTTTCTTCTGGGGACATTAATTTCACAACCTTTTCAGACGGCCAAACTCTCTACATACCAAAGCCCTTGCTTGTAACTCAAATACTATCTGGTATGTAAGTGCTCCATGATATTCAATAACCGGGAAACTGACATTTATCCAGTCAAGACAACTTATAAATAATTATCCACCATGGAAAATTCCGCAACTGCGAAAAACACCAAGCCCGTCTCAACAAAAGAGAAGCAAGCCGTTTTAAAGGCAGCTCAGTATTATGTGGATGGCCTGATAACCGGGAAGGTGGACCATAGTCGCAAAGGATTTCACCCAAACGCTGGAATGTACGGCTGGATTGATGGAAACCTAAAAACTGCCCCCATTCAAGAGCTCTTTGATATGATTGTGGAGCGAGGATGCACACCGGAACTGATTTACAACCTGGATATTCTTGCGATCACCCCATCCACAGCAATCGTTGAGGTCGACTCAGAGTTGGAGAATGGAGGGTTCCGAGATCATTTAGCGCTCGTGAAGGTGGATGGTGAGTGGAAGACTGTTGCAAAATTGTTTCACATATACGATTAGTGGGGAGCTATATTGTTGGTATACACTCTTCAGTTGTAGTACACCACTTTATCAATCAAAACTTTCATGAGACTTGAGTGGAGAGAACAGCGTCAACCTGGTAGCGTAAAAGAATGCCTCTAAAGCGGCCCACTCAATTTGTACGAACTTCATCTCTTGTTGAAATTGGTTCAAAGCTCTCTCTCGAGTGTTTTTGGCACAACTGGCCACCACTCCTCGTCTTGGCCGTGACGTGGCAGTTCTCATCTGAACAATGCATGTGAAAACAAGATCAGCCTTTTTGGTGACCCATAATTAGGCTAGCCTGCCTTCAGCTGTATTTTACAAGTTGATGCAAATTACAGCTAGAACGCTCAATCCCCTCGGCCCTTGCGCGGCTGATTGCCAAGAAGATTATGCCCCATTATTAATTATGGAACGGGCCGAGCCACATAACTTTATTTCAAGAGACTCCCTTGTCTGTGGAACCACAACAACAAACACGATGTTATTTACCATGTAATTTATTGTTACTGTACAGAGCTACGCATATAAACACATTTCCAGTTGGAATGGAAATTGCACAAATTCGAGAAGTTGGCAGATGCTCGTCTGCGCTTCTGTGCGTAGAAACCTTGGATCTGACGATACTGCTTAAAAAGATATAGACTCAATCAACAGAATCTTGAGTAATGAAGCAAAGAGCACTTAGTAGAAACCATGGATTACTCTTTAAAGAAGCCCCTATTCATATAAATAAATATAGCATTATCATAGGATCATAGGATACCATCGCAAACTGGCAGTGGTGCAACACCTAGACTCCTAAAGTCTCAACTGTCCAGGTTGGGCCCTTGAAGGCGAGTCGGGTCGCGCTTTCTCCGTAACAATTGCCTCTGTTCCCTCACGGATGCGACGCGCAAGCTCAGACGATACAAGTTCGAACGTATCGTAAACTCGCTTCCTTAGTTCATCTGGCCCTGGGGCAATCGACTTGCACAGATTTTCAACCATTCTATCCTGGAACTCCTGGCTACGAAATTCGGGGAGGACCTCATAGTACTCCCTAGCAAACTTGTAGTCATCCTCATGTGGGTGAGACCATGCCTCTGAGGTAACCTGGGAAAGCCAATTGTTGAACTCAGGGCCAAGATCCTGTTGGCAAGAAGTTTCCTTGCGGCGAAGAGGGGCTTTGAGGTGATCAATTCCTAGGCGGTAACGCTGAGCATCCGGGTATGCAAACATACGAGCTTGAAGAATAGGGTCTTCAGAAGGTTCCACACCAGGAACAAGGTTGGATGGTGAAAACGCGAGTTTCTCAACTTCAGAAAAATAATCTTTCACGTTGCGATTCAGAGTGAGTTTTCCAAATGGACGAGACGGAATAGTATCTAGCCCTTTGGGATATGTTCCCAAGTTCCAGTGCTTTGTAACGTCAAGTATATTGAAGCCTAATTTAGGCGCATCCTTCGGATCGATAACTTGCACATTGGCGGTCCAGCTGGGGTAATCACCACGTTCTATGGCTTCGAAAAGGTCCTTGGTGGCGAAGTCTGGATCATTGGGGTCAATCTTCGCTGTAGACCCATCGGTGAAGTTAGGGCCACGATCTGACGCCAGAAAGAAGTGAACATATTTGAATGATCCATCAGGCATTACCCATTTGAAAGCATGGCCGACGTAGCTGCTCAGTGTTCGCCATGTAAACATGGTTCCGAAATCACTGTGCTGCAAAAGAGTCATGTGCAATGCCTCGGGGTTCTTGGTGACAAAATCCCAGGTCATATTGGGGTTCAATAGATTTGTTCGCGGATCTCGACGTTGTGAATGGATCATGTCGGTAAACTTGGCTGGATCGCGGATGAAGAAAAATGGGAAGTTGAGAGACACCCAATCCCAGTCTCCTTGCTCTGTGAAGAACTTAACAGCCATGCCCTTCAAATCTCTGACTCCGTCAGAAGAGCCACGCTCAAGGCCAGTTGTTGAGAAACGAGTGACACATTGAGTTTTTTTGCCCACTCCAAGTAGCATGTCAATATTGCAAATGTCGGAAATATCAGCAGTCACCTGGTAAGATACGCAGAAAATTTCTGCGTTAGTCAATGGCTCCGGTAAATCAAATAAACGGGACCTCCTTACCTCAAACTCTCCATATGCTCCGGTCCCTTTGGCATGAACCGGTCGCTCAGGAATTTTTTCTCGATTAAAATGGGACAATGCCTCAAGCGTGTAAATATCTCTAGGGCCATGGCTTTGAATGGAAGACGTGAATCCACTCGGGTTCATAACAGGGCATTTCTCCCCAGCATTGCCCATGACGGGGCATTTGTCCGCAGCGTTTGGAGCCATCGTAGGTAATTTAATGCAATGGTATACCGGAACTGGCCTATAATGAACAACAAATTGGCATAAGAATGGGTGTAATCAAGGACGACAACTTCGAGGGACGGAGGAACAATTCTTATGGTCAGGCGAGAACTTATGCTTGGTAAATAAGAACAAATGGGCAAGACCAGTAAGCTCCAAACTTGCTTTGCTTATCATTCCCTTGTTCCTGTTTGGCTACCCGGATTGAGACGCTTTGGTTATCTCAATGGCTCAAAAATGAGCCTTTCAGAATGTAACGAGTCCAACGGACCATGTAGACACCAGAATATCCCACCAAGGCCATTCCCATTGCTCCTACCAATCGCAGCATCATATTGTACGACCTTCAGGTAATTGTTCATGCAGGCGTCAGTGTCAAAATCGCACAGGAAAGACCTGCGTAGAATCAAAAATCATATTTGATAATTGACTGCAGAAGCTATTGCAATACGAGGCCAAACTCACTCATTCTTTGGGTAATGACGGTACAGATCTTTGGTTGGCCGCTTTTCAACCAGACATACAAGTTCATGATGCTTATTTCGTCGTATTGTTTTCTTTTTTCTACGTAGCTACTTTTATCAAAGTGACTTGATAGTTAGCTATCAAGTAGTTAAATCACCGTTTGAAACAGGGCGAGGTAAGATACTTATTTTTGAGTACCCCAATCCACCGCTAGTTGTGTGGGGGCATTTGAGCTAACTACTGCATTTCGGAATCAGCCAGCCTAGTAAGCAGGCCACTTTACAATGCAAATCATTCAAGTACGTTAGTGCTTGGCAGCTGTTAACTATTGTTGAGACCGTGGCGATATGTGCTGTCTGTTCGGGTACGAGCCAGGGAAGTGCGCGGATACAGAGCGAATTAGCGAACGCTCTACACTGAATACGTAACATATACTCCATAGTCCGGGCGAGTTCTTCTGCGTATCAAAACCATGCACCAAAAATGGTCCTTATAACAATGTGTCAGCTATGTAGGTCATGTCGCCGATCTCTACTCTACATGAGGCCAATATTCGGATTTTATGGGCCCAAATTTGTGTATATGTGTCTAGTAACCAATCACGGCATGCAAGCACCAACATTGATATTGGCCCCGAAGACAGGACGAGAATCTTCACTCAACAGCCACACGATAGTCCGGGCAACGTCATCAGCTTCAATGACAGAGTAACCTTCCTTCTTGTACGTCTCTTCGACCTCTTCTTGCGTTTTTGCATTTGGTACAAACTTCGGTAGCATCGGGGTCCTTGTGATGCCTTGATGTATTTCCATATGTCAATATCAATCAGGGGACAAGGGGTTTTCTTTCAAGACTTACCAGGGGAAACAGTATTAGCTCGTATTCCAAATGGCATCACATCCTGTGCAACACAGGTAGTGAAATAAGCACATCCTGCCTTTGAAGTTCCGTAGGCGAAAACATCCGGCATGTGAGCCATTGATGCTATACTAGCCACGTTGACAATACTTCGGTCCCCAGGGCTTGTCAACGAATATTCCTTCATTGCTCGGACTTCTGCTCGGGTGGAATACAGAATACCGTCAAGGTTTACCCGGAATACCTTCTTCCACTGCTCATCGTCCTCTTCTAGGAGGGTCGGCGTCTGCCTCAAACCAGCACCCTGGGCAATGCCTGCAATGTTGGCTGCTCCATGAAGCTCTCCAAACGTAGTGATAATTGCTTTGACCCATTCATCGACCTCTGATGATGACGATACATCAAGGACAGTGCAGTGAACTTTTGTTTCAGGGTTGATTTCTTTTATTTCCCTCTCTAGTTGCTTCATGTTTTCGCTGGAAAGGTCCCCAAGACAAAGAGCAGCAGCTTCCCGCTGCGCAAGTAGGCGGCAGGTGGCTGCGCCAATTCCAGATGCGCCTCCTGTAATAGCAAATATCTTTGAAGTAACGGATGCCATTTCTTTCGCAGGTTAAAGGGAGATCCTTTCAAAAAGGTGTTGGAGTAAGGACGTAAACTGAGTTGGTTCCCTTTGGATTTTAGGAGCGATTCACAACTGAGGTTGTAATAAATATGTACGGAGTACTCTGTAACTAGTTAAAGCAAAACGGTTTGACATAGACTATCAATAATTCTAAAATATTCACCCACGCCGATACTTATATATCTCTACAGAGTATTGTCTTTTATTTGAGTCACAAACTTTATCTAGTTTATCTAACTTGGAAGAATATTTTTTTGTGCTGAATGCTAGTTCCATCTCACACGAAGCCGATAGACATGGCTTGATAACCCCTCCTCCCAGACTAGCATACATGGTACAATTTCTCGGTATATTATAGGACTAAACGCATGTTGTAAATATTTGTAAGAAAAGAAAATGTGATAAAGGATAGTATGCGCTAAGGTGGATATTTTGTGCCAGGAAATCCAAATTTGAGTGAGTATCCTTGGGAGATACATGTGGTCCCGTTATCCAGTGAGACAAGAAAAAGGAGAGGAAGAAGTTGCTCGTTTATCCGTATTTAAAGCTCGAAAGGCACAATCAAGAAGGACAAAGATAATCAAGAACTCCTACTCCACCATTACCTGACCAAAGGATATAATATAAAGATATTGAAAACCACCATGGGAAACATTAATCCCCCACAAATCCTTGACATTCGTCGAAGCAAATTCGAAGAATCAATCCCTAAACAAGTCGAAGCAGGTTTATTGTCGAGCCCAAAGACCCTTCCTGCTCTTCTCTTTTATAGTACTGAGGGAATACAGCATTGGAACCGCCATTCACATGCATCCGATTTCTATCCTAGGCGAGAAGAAATACAGATTTTAAAGGAGGAGGCCGCAGATATTGCAGCATCCATTGCAGATGGGAGTGTTGTTGTGGATCTCGGAAGCGCGTAAGGTCATACCTACTCCACGGGCTTCAACTTCTCGCCAACTAAATTGTCGTGTAATTACAGAAGCCTAGACAAAGTCATACACCTCCTGGAGGCCCTAGAAGCTGCTCAGAAGAACGTGACCTACTATGCGCTAGACCTGAGCTTCTCGGAGCTCACCTCAACTCTGCAAGCCATACCAACGGATCGATTTATCCATGTACAGTTTTCTGCTCTTCATGGAACATTTGAGGATGGCCTCCATTGGCTAAAAGAGACTCCGGTTATCCGAGACCAACCACACTGCCTCTTGTTGTTTGGGTTGACAATTGGCAATTTCTCCCGTCCGAACGCAGCCGAATTCCTGCGAAACATTGCCTCCCACGCACTTGTCGAGTCTTCTTCACAAAGCTCCATCCTGCTCACACTGGACAGCTGCAAAGTCCCAACCAAAGTCATCCGTGCCTACACGGCAGAGGGCGTCGTCCCGTTTGCATTGGAATCACTCAACTACGGAAACACTCTATTCCCTCAAAATGGAGAAGAAAAGGTCTTCAATTCCCAAGACTGGCATTTCCTAAGTGAGTGGAATTACGTTCTTGGAAGACATGAGGCGTCATTGATACCCAGGTCAAAAGACATCAAACTTGGACAGCCCCTGGATAACATTGTGGTAAGTAAGCACGAAAAGGTTCGTTTTGGGTGCAGTTACAAATATGACTGTGATGAGCGGAAAGAACTCTTTGCGGCTGCTGGGTTACGCGATGTGAAGTCTTGGTCCAAGGAAACCTGTGATGTGGCATTTTACCAGTTGAAGTGTTGCCCAAACTAGAGAAACCGCAGGCCCCAATTTTTGGTTTTGTGGGCCTGGCGATAGTAAACCTTATTTGAATATCTGTGCCACATAGAGTTAGTTCGCTCCAAGCATCGTCCCGAAACCTAAGGTTTAACTTTGAGCATGAGCCTATTATCACCTCTCAAGTCACTGCTGTGTTCCAAAGAATCGTAAATAGTATACGCCTTCAGTCGGGTTTTAAACAGATTTTCAGCCAAAAGGCGGGAGGAAAAAGCGCATTAAGCCTCATAGTTCGGTAAGAAGCACTGGAATGAAATATTCTCGGGTCCGCATGCCTACAAGCTTGGGAGACAGCGTGTCTGGCCCTCATTACAACACAAATCTTACACTACGTGAAAGAGACCAGGGAAACATACGGAGTACTCAACATAAAAATAACATTCAGGCAGCAAAGCTAGCCTTAAAATAAAGTTCAATCATCGGAGAGCAGCTCATGCGGGAGGTAAACAGAGTTGTCTAACGGCAAGATAACCTCCGCATTGCTAATTCTTCAGCGTGAAAGTAGTCAAAGAGATGAATCTCCTCATTTTCTGGTAGAATGCCTCCTGATGCTTCCGGCACATACCTTCGGAGTCCCATTTTTCGCTACCAATACCAAGTTTGCTGAAAAAAAGATCCGTAGTATCCCATTTCTTCTTGATATCAGAAAGGCGTCCATAATTTGATCCCCAATAGACTTGTTGAAAGTTTTTTTCATTAGGGTCTCCAACATTGCGATACGAAAGCTTGAACTTAGGATCAATAGCGTATAGCATAGGCATCTGAATATTGGTTAGCTTTTCACGAGCTTTTGCCCTGCCTTCAATGGAAGGCTCGACTGTATGTACGTAATTGAGGAGTTGCGAGGCTGCACGCCAAGCAGGGTGCATCGACGTTTCAGCCAGTCCCCCATTGAGAATAACACGACCACCAAGATTACTGGTAAAGAGAAGGTCGCCAGGGGACATGGGGAGATTTGCAAGTGCATTAGCAACTTTCTCCGGCCCCTGGGGGGAGTCGAATAGCTGTTGGGAAATCGCCACAGTAGATCCAAGAACGCCGTAATCGTTGTCAGCGTGGATATCTGGAACCTGTCTGTAATTGGAACTGAAGTGTGGTAAGCCCTTAGATGAATATGCGTATTTGACGTTGGCGCGGCTGAGCTCAGTAAGAAATGATTTCATGCGGTGATCAATGGCGGCCGTCTCGGTTGCATCGAGAAAAAAAAACTTGATGCTTGCCTGAACTGCAAGCTTAGGCAGCACTACAATGACTAGTTGTCCACCAACATTTTCGCGGTTAAGCGACTGTAAAGCAGTAAGAACAACTGACAATCCCTGGGTCCATGATGACGAATTGGATTTGGAGGCCTCAAGAAGGATCTCAGAGATCACAACAGGAACATCCGGAAAGACACGCATGGTGGCTCGAGTGACGACACCAAATGTCCCCCCTCCACCGCCTCGGAGAGCCCAAAAAAGGTCCTGGTTTTGGAGTGCATTAGCAACCACGATCTCTCCCTAAAGTAAAAGATTAGTAACGAAGGGCAAAATTTCATGATATGTTACAAACTTGGTAAAATAATTCAGGCACTTACATCCGCTGTCACAACCTCATACTCGAGCACGTTGTCAACACCTAACCCTTGGTTAAGACTTAGAAAGTCTGACACTCCTCCTCCCTGAAGGAAGCCTCCGACTACTCCGACTGTCGGGCAATCCCCACCAAGCACCATGTAACCATTACGAGCAGCTTGAGAGTAGAGATTTCCCATCATTACACCTGCACCAACCGTCACTGCTGGCCCTAGGGACGCATTAGATCCATTGAGACGCAGATTGGTGTGGAAATGGATCTCCTGTAGGCGATGAGTATGAATTTGAAAAGAGTCTGGGGCACTCGATCTCCCCGCTAGATCATGTCCAGTGTTACGAATGACAAGGCGAAGGTTGTGCCGTCTTGCAAATCGAACTGCTTTCTGGACCTGCTGGGCTGACTCCACCCCGACTGAGTACAGAGGGATACGGCCTTGGTGACAAGAATTCACGGCAGAGACCGTCCGCAGGGACCCCACTGGACAGGTCTCGTTGGCTGTTTCACCAGCCTCCCACACCCAATCCTGCAGAACACCTGTGAGGACCAAAAGTGTTAGCTGGAAATAGCGAAATGTGCTTTCGAATAGCTGGAGCCTTTCCTACCTGGATTGGACGCCCTCCACCCACTGTTCCTTGATAAGAGTAGCATGTCATCGCAGGCGCTCTGATTGAAACTGGACCCATAGCAAACATGTGCCGCTGGCTTTAGGCGATGAAGGTTCCCATCAACAGACGAGTTGAGTGAGTTCCAAATTTCCTCGGACGGCCAGCATGATTCCCATGGCCGGCAACGACAAGAAGCTGGTTGCGTTTCCTGCGTGTAAATTAGCCAGCTCAGAAGAGCGACCAACCCAGTCGTCAAGAATAAAAATTGCATTATGCAAGCTTGGACAGCACTGAAAAATGCAAATCCAAATTGTGGCACAGCTGTTGAATAAACAAGCGGAGAGGTTTCTGGATGGGCAAAGCGGAATTCTCCCCTTAGGGTTGTCACATTGCTCCTCTAAATACCATAATTAGTGGTCTTACAAGATAGCGCATCAGGCTTACAAGTCAATGATCCATTTTCCAGTTACTCCACCCGGTAATGAATCGGCTGGGTTGCAGACACCAAATATTGGGAGAAAGCATTCGTGCATTGCGTTGGTCGATCTAGAGCAGCTTATCAGGTTCCCCGAAAGATTTCGTGTACCACTAGGATGAAAGGCACAAGCAGCCCGAAGCTAAAGGAGAGGAAGGGTTAAAAAAAGGAAATAAATGCCAGGCAAGGATGAAAGTGAGAGGATACTGCATGAGAACTATGTATGCATCCTACCTCTAAACGCCTGTGGTTATTGATAACATAGCTATGCTATTTGGAAAGACGAGGGGATATCGGAAACGTTTCTTTTTGGTCTGGCTGGCTGATAGGTTTTGTAAATTTATGCGTCTGACGCACCAACTAGGACCATACAGCTCTGCCAGCCCTGTGGTTGGGTGATCTTCATCGTTCGAAAGATGAATTCCCATGCAGAAGTTGGTCTAAAATTTGCACCCAACTATCGTTCGTGGTCTTGTCCCCAGCTATAATTATCTCAGAGTGACCAGCCTCTCCGGTAGACACATATTCTGAGCATCATTTTCATTGTCGAGACATCCCTAATCTAGTTCAACACGATCGCAATGGGTTCCATCGAAATCCCCAACTGCTCCGGCTCACTCGTCTACAAGACGATATCTGACTTCATCGAATTTCCCAAACCATGAACAGAAGCTATGGTGGCATAGTACGGCACCGATGTTCGCTGAGATGCTCAGGGTTGCCGGTTATGACCTTCACTCTCAATACAAATTTGGGTATTTTCTCAATCACGTGTTCCGTTCCTAGAGTCTACGCTACGCGGATAAACAACCGATGCTGAGCATTTTGACCCGATAT